GCATTAAGGAATATTTATACTACGCTTGAGACCTTAGAATTCTTATAACACCACCACCACCGACTCATCCCAAGTCCGCCATTTTGTACAGGAAATGTACCCAAAGCAAAGCCCTTTGTGTGAGAAGGTCAACTGGAGACAGAAACAGAAGAGGTCTGAATTTGGGAAAAGATGGTCTCTGAATTTCCCCAAAGAAGGACCAGTAGGATGCAAACCACTTTGCCTCAATAAATCCCATTGTTTTGGGTGGGTCTAGTTTTTGTTTTTGTTTGCTTTTGCTTCCAGTTGCAGTTTGGGGTTGGGCAGGGTGAGATCTCATATTTGTTGGGCCTGGAACCAATGGACCGACCTGAATGGAAGTTGGGAGATGGAGCCTGGAGGTGGGAGGAGAGACTTCCTGGCAAGCCAGGGCTGCAGGTGTTGCAGGTAGAAATAAAGAACAGCATAACCTCCAACATTTCTCTGATCAGAATAGGGACGTTCTGCTCCATAATAACTCCGTTTAGTTAAAGCTATGCTTTTCCCAGTAGTGATGTATGGAAGTGAGAGCTGGACCATAAAGAAGGCTGATCGCTAAAGAATGGATGCTTTTGAATTCTGGTGCTGGAGGAGACTCTTGAGAGTCCCATGGACTGCAGGAAGATCAAACCGATCCATTCTGAAGGAAAGCAGCCCTGAGTGCTCACTGGAAGGACAGGTCCTGAAGCTGAGGCTCCAAGACTTTGGCCACCTCATGAGAAGAGAAGACTCCCTGGAAAAGACCCTGATGTTGGGAAAGATGGAGGGCACAAGGAGAAGGGGACGACAGAGGACGAGATGGTGGGACAGTGTTCTCGAAGCTACTAGCATGAGTCTGACCAAACTGCGGGAGGCAGTGGAAGACAGGAGAGCCTGGCGTGCTCTAAACAACAACAACAGCTCCCTAATGATAATTTTACTATTTATACCCCACACATCTTAACTGGGTTGCCCTACCCACTCTGGGTGGCTTCCAACATACATAAAAACATAATAAAACATTCAACATTTTAAAAACTTCCCTATACAGGATTGCCTTCAAACAACTTGGGGGGTCAGATAACTCCATATCCTCCAACCTTTCTCCAATGAAAATAGGGGCATCCTAAGGAAAAGCGGGACATTCCTGGATCAAATCAGAAACCGGGATGGATGCCCCTGGAAAACAGGTTGGCAGGAGCAGGGACCGAGCGACGGGAACTCACCCCGTCATGGGGATTTGAACCGCCAACGTTCTGATCGGCAAGTCCTAGGCTCTGTGGTTTAACCCACAGCGCCACTTCAAAAACATCCCTTTGCCTTTGTCTAGAACCAAAAAAGCACAAGATAGGAAGGTGCCGTATATGGAGTTGGATCACTGGAACATCTTGCTAATAAGTATTGTCAACAACGAGAACCTTGTTATTACCAACACACTCTTTCGACAGAAAAATAAATTTAAAACTTCATGGAGGCATCCTTGGTCAAACCACTGGCACCTCTTAGACTTTGTTATTGTCATAGTTGTCAACGTTACCTTTTTAAAAGGGAATTTCCCTTATTCTGAATAGGATTCCTCGCAAGAAAAGGGGAAAGTTGACAGCTATGGTTATTGTCCATGTTAAAGATCGCTGTGATGTGCTCCTTACCAGAGCTATGACAAGCGCCGACGACTGCTGGACAGATCACCGACTAATATGCTCCACGGTGGCTATCAAGATTATACCTCAACGCAGGCTTCAAGGAAGGAAATCAAGGCGCAAAATGAACACTCAAGCCCTTCAAGATCCTATTAAGCGGGATTGCTTCCAAATGACTCTTAAGGCCTATCTGCTTTCAGAATTCCCTGACAACATTGAGGAACACTGGACCAAGTTAAAAACATCCATTATTGCAGCCTGTGAACAAACTATTGGATACTAAACCAAGAAACACCAAGACTGGTTTGATGAGAATGACAGTAAGATTGAACGTTTGTTAAGATTGACAAGAAAAGGAAGGCCTTTCAGATTTGGCAAAGAGATAAAAACTGTGCCACTAAGAAAAAACCCTATGCCAACGCTAAGGCTGAGGTTCGAAGAAGAACCAGAGAACTAAAAAACGCCTGGTGGATTAAAAAAAAGCTCAAGAGATCCAGCACTTAGCTGACGCTCATGATGCACAGAGTTTCTTCAAAGCCACAAAGACCATCTATGGGCCAATAAATCATGGCATCTGCCCCCTACGCTCAGCGGACGGCACCACACTTCTAAAAGATACAGAAGCTATTGCACTGTGCTGGAAAGAACATTACCAACATCTCCTTAACCGCAGCAATGGGTCGCCAGGATTTCAGAGGGGCTCCTCTCCCAACCTGGATATTCCACCAGGGATCGAACCCGCCTCCAAAAGCAGACTCCCTTCCCTCTGAGCTATAGCCCCTTCCCCCCCATCAGTGCGCACACTAAAAAAAAACAAAACCCGTAGAGAGTTATTTTTAAATTGTGCAGGCAGCATGTGAATCAATGTGCTTGAATCATCGAAAGCACAAGATGGTGGGCTTTCTGGCTACTGCATCTGGGAAGTCTTCTGAGAGTGGGCTCAGGGGTCCAGAGGACCAGTGCGCCAATCGGGGGCGACATACTTTGTCACACCGCTGATCCTCAGAGATGCTGTCATGTTGCCACATCACCACCTTGCCGGCTGGAAAAGCGCATTGAGGCAGAGGGAGAGGGCCTTGTGGGGCGTCTCGGAGAGCGAGGCTTTGGGTGGGGAGGAGATGGCAGGGAGCATTCCATGCAAACGAGGTGAGATCAGAGTTTATACATAAAAGGGAAATGTCATTAGCGTTGCTTTAAATGGAAATGCAATCAAAGGTTCTTCCCACTCCTTTTGTCTTAATTAGGGACTATTGATATGTATTCCTTCCTCTCCAAAACCAGGCTGGAAGGTGTCTGGGGATTAATAAAGTTCATCAGAAGAGCTCTCCCGCCCCACTGCCAGCCCCCTCCAGCCCCAGTAGGGGGGCCAACTCATGCTTCTCTCCCAGGTAGCTCTGATCCCACCCCCCCTTGCTCTCCAGAGAGGGCAGAGGCCCAGATATAGGGCACCCGCGTCAGGAAGCAGAGCTGTGAAATCGCACAGTCAGGAGCACGGAAGCTGGCACCTCGGTGGGTGTCAAATCCACACACACACACACACACACACACACACCAGCCAGCCTCCACCTCACCTGCCACCATGCGCGCACACAACACACCCCGGAAGGTGGCACATCTGTCAGGCGCACGGCGGAGAGGTGGCCCTGCAAATGGGACAGACAGATGGGAAGGGGTGGCAGGAGGGGTGCGAAAGAGAGACCTGGGCCCGCGGAGACAGGAAGACACGCAGGCGCCAGGGACAGGAGGAGCACACGGCTCTCCGCTGGTGCATAGAATTTCATGCGCAGAGGGAGAGAGGGGGACATGCACGCTTGCTCTCAGGCACAGAATAAACGCATGCACAGGTGCAATTCCTGGGGCCAAGAACAGGCAGGCAGGCAGGGCTCACACGGAAATATCACACCCTCGCACTCCTCATTAAGTGATCCAGCCGCTTTGTACTTGCAAACAGCGATGGGAATGTTCAGTCAAGCCAGAGGCCTCCATTTGGGTGGGGGGGTTAAAACATACTGTGGGGTTTCACAGAATTGTGGGATGGTAGAGTTGGAAGGGACCCCGACGGTCATCTAGTCCAATACAGGAATCTCAACTGAAGCAGCTCTGGCAGGTAAAGGTAAAGGGACCCCTGACCATTAGGTCCAGTCGTGACCGACTCTGGGGTTGCGGCGCTCATCTCACTTTACTGGCCGAGGGAGCCGGCGTCCAGCTTCCGGGTCCTGTGGCCAGCATGACTAAGCCGCCTCTGGCGAACCAGAGCAGTGCACGGAAATGCCGTTTACCTTCCCGCCGGAGCGGTACCTATTTATCTACTTGCACTTTGACGTGCTTTTGAACTGCTAGGTGGGCAGGAGCAGGGACCGAGCAATGGGAGCTCACCTCGTTGCGGGGATTCGAACTGCTGACCTTCTGATCGGCAAGTCCTAGGCTCTGTGGTTTAACCCACAGCGCCACCCGCGTCCCATAGCTCTGGCAGATGGACACCCCAAAAAAGATAAAAAGGGTAAAAGGACCCCTGACAATTAAGTCCAGTCGTGGACGACTCTGGGGTTGCGGCGCTCATCTCGCTTTACTGCCGAGGGAGCTGGTGTTTGTCTGCTTCCGCAGACACTTTTTCCGGGTCATGTGGCCAGTATGACTAAGCCGCTTCTGGCGCAATGGAACCCTGAACCAGAGCAGCGCACAGAAATGCCGTTTACCTTCCCGCTGGAGTGGTATCTATTTATCTACTTGCACTTTTTGGCGTGCTTTCAAACTGCTAGGTTGGGACAGAGCAACGGGTGCTTTCGAACAGCAACAGTTGGAGGCAGTAAATGCTTCTGAATGCCAGTTGCTGAACAACGCAGGAGGGAAGAGGGGTCTTGCGTTCAAATCCTGCTTGCGGGTTTCCCTCTGGCCACTGTGAGAACAGAATGCTGGACTAGATGGGGCCATTGGCCTGCTGGTCGTATTTTCTTCTTTTCTGACGTTCTTAGGAAATGGGAGTGATAGGGAGCAGCTTGTGTGTGTGTGTGTGTGTGTGTGTGTGTTGTATTTTTCTCCGCAAAGGTGCCCAGCTTGCCTCCACCCCTTTCCCTCAGTTCCACCTCAGCAGGGTCCCTCGTCTTCAATTCAAGCAAGACAAAACCCAGGCCTCTCTCGCACTCCCCCTTTCGTGGAGGGGAGAGGGCCTTGGATGGGGTGGGGGGAAAGAAATCATGGTGTCATTTCTGTGCACCCTGGCCTGCCATTCTCCACCGCTACAGCTGTTCCACTATTCCTCCTTTCCAAGGACGGAGCTGTGGGAATGGCAAGACATTTGCTGATCTCCTTCCCTGGTGAGTGATTGATGTCGGTTTTAAATTAAAACCCTATATATTTCCCCTTCTTTTAATAAAAGTTGGTTTCTAGGAACCCCCCCTGCCTGTCCACTCCTCCTGTCCTGACCACGCCACCGCCAGATAGTTGATAGACGGGGTCCATTGTTCCCGAGGTTTGCTGAACACACAGGTTTCCAACAGCGCGGGAGGGACGATTTCAACTCCTCCACCCCAAATGAAACCGCCTTCTGCAATCTGTCACTGCTTCTTTCTCTTTTTCAGGGAGGGAAAATGTGGGCGCTTCGAATCAGCTGAAAATTCCCGCAAGCTCCTGGGGACGAGGACTAAGACCTGCCTCTGAGAGCTTGGAGGCTGTAGGGAAGGGATAAAATTGTTGTAGATTCAGGAGGGGATCTATCAAGTTCGCTCTCCCTTTCCTGATCTTTTAAATCCAGTTCTTCGTATTTCTTCAGCAACTCGCAACTCTCCGTTAAAATTATCCTCGTGAAAGTTCACCAGCGTTGTTTTAGCGAGACTTAAGGGTTAAGGGGTGATATGATAGCCATGTTCAAATATATAAAAGGATGTCACATAGAGGAGGGAGAAAGGTTGTTTTCTGCTGCTCCAGAGAAGCGGACACGGAGCAATGGATCCAAACTACAAGAAAGAAGATTCCACCTAAACATTAGGAAGAACTTCCTGACAGTAAGAGCTGTTCGACAGTGGAATTTGCTGCCTAGGAGTGTGGTGGAGTCTCCTTCTTTGGAGGTCTTTAAGCAGAGGCTTGACAACCATATGTCAGGAGTGCTCTGATGGTGTTTCCTGCTTGGCAGGGGGTTGGACTCGATGGCCCTTGTGGTCTCTTCCAACTCTATGATTCTATGATTCTATGACTTTCCCCCATTCGACACCTTTCCGGACGCAGCTTTGAGTTGTGAACGCATTTTTGCAAGCCGTTTCCTCTTGATTTGGTACGTCGCTCTGATGAGTGGGTGTGTTTATTTGCACACTTCTACCCTCGTGTGTGAATTTTTGCACCCATTGCTCAGCTGGAGAACTGAGTTGCAACATTCGGAGAATTTTTTGGAGGTGGCATTCCGGGAAGTGCGAAACGCTTCGGGAAGTGTGAATTTTGTAGGTTCCCCCTGTCAAATGCAAATGGAACTTAATCTACCCCCCAATCCCTTCATCAGAAGCCAGTCCTACAAGTGTGGGGTTCACCCCACAGAATTCTGGCTACCAAGGGGGCAGCAGGGGACCCCATTGCCAAGTCCAGATTGAACATAATCGATGGGTTACGGAGGCAGGAGCTGAGATGAAAACCGAAAGGGCCTTGCAACATCACTGTGTTGTGGTGGGATCCAGTCCATAGCTGTCAACTTTTCCCTTTTCTTGCGAGGAATCCTATTCAGAATAAGGAAATTTCCCTTTAAAAAAGTGAAACGTTGACAGCTACGATCCAGTCACAAATTCAGGGTGTGCAGTTATTGTCAACCAACTGCGTGGGAACTTTCAGAAGCCAAAAAATATTGTGATTTTTAAACATATAGTGCGAATTGTGAGTTTGAACTCATCACGCCAAAAATTGGATAAAGTCACACCAAAGACATGATTGGTGCCTAACAGCCAAACATTGACGAAGACCACTGCCCCCCACCCCCAAACCTCAGGAACCCCCAAGTTTGGCAGCAATCTCTGGAGAGGCGTCTGAACCCCCAGAGGAACAGATGGACGGATGGCAAAACTGCTTTCCAAAAGATATAGAAGATTGGGAGGTCTGGTGCTGTGACAAATCAGGATGAATGCTCAATAAACAGGTTCCTTGGAAGCCAGGAGATCGAGATGAACTGAGGATTTGGCAAAGGTGCCCGAGACAGGAGAGGAGAAGCAGAAGGATTGTGCCTGGCAGATGTGATTTCCCCGAAAGATTTTCAGGGCTGGGTTCTGACTGATTATATATATATATATCCTCGTGACTTTTATTTTTTATTTTTTGTATATTAAGCAGACTTACTTCATAGTCCAGGGACGTGGGTGGCGCTGTGGGTTAAACCACAGAGCCTAGGACTTGCCGATCAGAAGGTTGGCGGTTCGAATCCCGCAATGGGGTGAGCGCCCGTTGCTCAGTCCCTGCTCCTGCCAATCTAGCAGCTCGAAAGCACCCCATTACAAGTAGATAAACGGGTACCGCTCCGGTGGGAAGGTAAACGGTGTTTCCATGCGCTGCTCTGGTTCGCCAGAAGCGGCTTAGTCATGCTGGCCACATGACCCGGAAGCTGGACGCCGGCTCCCTCGGCCAATAAAGCGAGATGAGCGCCGCAACCCCAGAGTCAGCCACGACTGGACCTAATGGTCAGGGGTCCCTTTACCTTTACTTCATAGTCCCACCCCTACTTTGCTAATTATGCGGGTGAACCCAGGAACTACGAAAGCCATTGAAGTCACTCCCGGTTTTTTAAAAAAGATTTTTAATTTTATTTTATAATGCATATACACAACAGAGAGAGCAGTTATAACAGTAGATGAGTGTGTGTGTGTGTGTGTGTGTGTGTGTGTGTGTGTGTGTTAAGGCCGAGGTGGCAACCAATCAGGACCTTAACATCACAAGTAGGCTTTATTTTTTCCCAAAGCATTAAGGCTATTAGGGCAAGCTTGCATTGGAAATTAAGGCAACGGAATAGCTACGCAAATAATTTTTCAAAAAACAAACAAACCGCCTAATTACAAAGAGCGCTCTTCTCGCCAGCACTCAGAAATGCCTGTTGTTATTTTTTAATTAAAAACCACAAAAGTGTCGGAAGATTTGCACGCAGCCGTTGCCGGGTGTCTGGGAAATGAGAGCCCTGCGTCTCAGGGAGTGGCTGTTTCAGATGAAGCGAGCGCTTGTGGGGTTGGTGACATATTTGGGGCAAGCGGGCTAAATAAAAATAAAAACCGGGGTGGGGTTGCACGTGGCAGAAAAGGGAGATAGGCTCTTGAAAGCCCAAATTTCCTTTTCCTGGGCCATTGGGCCCTGTACACATCCAGAAAGCACATTTCTTCCCTCAAAGAATTCTGGACAATGTAGTTTGTTGCGGGTTGCTGGGAAGTTTAACTCTGCCGGGGGCACTTTAAAGGTGCAGGGTGCGGTGCAATGGTTAGACACCATTTTCCAGCCTAACCTACCTCACAAGGTTGTTGAGAGGATGAAATAGCGATGTACAGCAGCAAGAACGTTGATTGCACAAAATTGGAAGACTGGAGATATACCAGTTAAAGAACAATGGCAAGAGAAGTTGATGAACTATGCAGAACTGGCAAAAATGGCAGAAAGACTAAGAGAAAAAGACAACAGAGGCTTTGTAAAAGAATGGGAACCATTTATATTATATTTGCAGAAACAAATAAAGTCAATAGGCTTGATGGCAGGGTTTAAATAAACATCCACATTATTAGTATGAGAAAATGTTTAGATAATAGTGAAATATTATTGTGTATTTACTTTTATTTTTAGGTTTTTAGGCTTGATGTTATGTTATTAATAACTTTTTCTGTTAGGAGATAGCAAAGTGGGTGAAAACAGAATCAAACCGGAAGCGGAAGTTGAGGGAAGCCCTGGAGGGGAGGGAGGGAGGAATATATAATAAATGCTAAGAAATTGAGATGTATGTAATGAATGAAAGAGAAAAATGAATATTTTATTTAAAAATTTTATTTTTTTAAAGAGAGGATGAAATAGCGGGCAGGGGAGAACCTTGAGCTCCTTGGACTAAAAAGGTGGTATATCGATGTAATAAATAAATAAAATAAAATGTGTACACAGCCTTAATGCTGATCCTTCCATGAGTATATCAGAAGAGACTTCCTGGATCAATCCAGTGGGGCCTGTCTAGTCCAGCATCCTATTTTCCCAGTGGCCGACCAGATCCCTGTGGAAAACCTGAAAGCAGGACCCGGGCGCAAGAACACACTATAGTTCCCAACTACTGGAATACAGAGGCATGATCAACTGGACTTGGGAAGATGTGTTGGGAGGGCAACAATCTTTGTGACTTTTTAAAAAATGCATATTAAGCAGACCTGCTTCATTTGCCTAGTATATCACCCCTGATTTCCTAGTTATGAGGGTGAGCCCAGGAAGCCATTGAAGTCGCTCCTGTTTTTTGTAAAGATTTTTATTTTATTTCATAACGCATACACAACAGAGAGAGAGCAGTTATAACAGCAGGTGGAAATTAGAAGGTAAAGGCAAAACTATGACACGGGCAATAAGCGGTTCCATGTGGTTAAAGTGAGGAAAGTCCAAATAAATAATATTAGCGTTATCCGACTGGGCAGTATACTTCCAGATCTGCCAGGTTTGTGATCAAAAATGATGGTTCCATTGCATCTTACTTCTTTCCGCAGGGCCTGTAAGACAGAGTTGTTCCGCCTGGCCTTTGGCTTGGAATCCACTTGATCCCCCTCCCCCTTTCCTTTCTCCTTCTGTGATGGAACTCCTATTTGGGGACTTCCCTGGCTTTTTTCTGGCCCACGTAGGACCAGTCTGGATAGTCGTCCTTGGTGAAGATTTGACGTTTTCATCCCCCAAAAGTTTTGAGTTTCTACTGAAATGAGGCTGCATTTTAATGTTGTATTTTAATCTTGTTTTTAAGTTGTATTTTAATCAATTGTTTTTATACCTGGTGTTGGCCGCCCTGAGCCCGGTCTTGGCTGGGGAGGGCGGGGTATAAATAAAACTTCTTCTTCTTCTTCTTCTTCTTCTTCACAACAAAGGAATGCCAAACTGCATTAAAAGTGCCTGGAGGTTCTAGATATCCCAAATTATGCTCAATTCTCTCCATTTTAGCTCAGTGAGCGGCGCCAAGCATCCAGCTGGAAGTTTCATCCGGAAAATCAAAGAAACCCATATAAAGGTAAAGGGACCCCTGACCATTAGGTCCAGTCGTGGCCGACTCTGGGGTTGCGGCGCTCATCTCGCTTTACTGGCCAAGGGAGCCGGTGTACAGCTTCCGGGTCATGTGGCCAGCATGACTAAGCCGCTTCTGGCGAACCAGAGCAGCGCACGGAAACGCCGTTTACCTTCCCACCAGAGCGGTACCTATTTATCTACTTGCACTTGGACGTGCTTTCGAACTGCTAGGTTGGCAGGAGCAGGGACCGAGCAACGGGAGCTCACCCCGTCGTGGGGATTCGAACTGCCGACCTTCTGATCGGCAAGCCCTAGGCTCTGTGGTTTAACCCACAGCACCACCTGCGTCCAGCTCCCCATATACCTGCACGCTTTTTAAGCCACCACTTCCAGTCCTGAGGACTAGCAACTGGAATACACCTTGTCGGGGCTGGGTTAGATGGTCTTTGGGTAACCTCTGACTCCGTAGCTCTGTGGCACACACACACACACAACCCCCCCTCCAACACATCGCTGAGCTCAGGTGCTGCTTCCTGTGCGCTGGCTGTCCCCGTCACCTGCACCCGGTCCCCTCCCTCCAGTTCCTGGCGTCATTTCTCACTTCTGTTCTTCTGCCAGCTGCTCCAGTCCTTACCCAGAGAGAGGCAGGCAGACGCAACCCCTCTCCGTCCCAATTAACACCTCAGAGAAAGAGGTGGCAAAGGATGGCTTCGCTGACTGCGCCACCGGTGTGCAGAGACGCATGGCGAGGTCGTCTTTCGGCTTTCTCAATCATTCCCTGGCGGCGCACACAATGGGGTCTTTCCCCCCTCCCTCGCTTCCTCTGAAGAAAACCCCTCCGCTGAGGAAACGAGAGGCAGGTTCGCTGGCTGTGGGCCTGTATCCAAGGGCCTCACAGCCGGACGGAGGACTCGAACTCCTAGCCCTGGGAGGACTCTGGGTGTCTGCTGAGGTCTTTAAACCAGAGCAATACTTAGGTCACAAAGGGTGTCCAAGAGGACTAAGTAAAGGTAAAGGGACCCCTGACCATTAGGTCCAGTTGTGACCGACTCTGGGGTTGCGGCGCTCATCTCGCTTTATTGACCGAGGGAGCCGGCGTACAGCTTCTGGGTCATGTGGCCAGCATGACTACGCCGCTTCTGGCGAACCAGAGCAGCGCACGGAAACGCCGTTTACCTTCCGCCGGAGCGGTACCTATTTATCTACTTGCACTTTGACGTGCTTTCGAACTGCTAGGTTGGCAGGAGCAGGGACCGAGCAACGGGAGCTCACCACATCACGGGGATTCGAACCGCCGACCTTCTGATCGGCAAGTCCTAGGCTCTGTGGTTTAACCCACAGCGCTTAGAAGGGCTTGTTTTAAAGATCTAGCAGCCTGTATTTCCATGCTTTCCTTTGCTGCGTATTATGTGGTTTTAAATCTCTGCTGGGGTCCTCTCACCAACGAGTACTTGCCCCAGTCTTGGATCTTGGCATCCAGGAATTCTCCTTTCTATCTTCGTCTTCTTTGGCGATCCCTCGTAGCCGAGTAAGATTGTCTTCCATAAACACGGTTTTAACAGTGAGTCCGTAAGTGACTGTGGAGGCCAATTCTGGATCCACGTCCTTCCACAGTGGGGACATAGGTTTCCGGGTGGGAGTTGATCACGGTGTGGATTTGCCAAGCGTGCCTTCCTCTTAGCACGTTTCTCCCTTGCGTCCTGAGTTCGAGTGTCTTCAAAGCCCACAACACCTTTGGTCAAGGCTGTTCTCCAATTGGAGCGCTCGCAGGCAAGTGTTTCCCAATTGTAGGTGTTTATACTACATTTTTTTAGATTTGCCTTGAGACAGTCTTTCAACCTCTTTTGTTGACCACCAGCATTACACTTTCCATTTTAAAGTTTGGAATAGAGTAGTTGCTTTGGAAGGCGATCATCAGGCATCCGCACAACATGACCAGTCCAGTGAAGTTGATGTTGAAGAATCACTGCTTTGACACTGGTGATCTTTGCTTCTTCCACTACACTGATATTAGTTCGCCTGTCTTCCCAAGCAATGTCTAAAGTTTTTCGGAGACACCGCTGATGGAATCTTTCGAGGAGTTGGAGATGGCGTTTATAAGTGGTCCACGTTTCACAAGCATACAGTAAGGTTGGTAGTACAATAGCTTCGTAAACAAGCATTTTGGCCTCCTTTCTGTATACAGGTGGCGACCATTTTGCACAGGGGTTCTGTTCCTGGCCCCCTCATGCGTCGCCAGTGTGCACATAAGCCCGCCCCACCCCCATTCTGCCCTGTTCTGGGTCCAAAAGGACCTGCGTGTCGGTGCCCGCGCATCAATTGGACGTGCGCAAAATGGCCACCGCCTGTATAGATTTCCTCGTGTGTTTTTCCTTGCCAGTGGCACAAGCACTTACCCAGTGAGGGTTTCTGGCAGGTTCCGGCACCTTCTGCCCTGGCATTAAGCACCACTCTCACCCCAGAGGGAACCAGGGCGCATGAAAAGGGTGCCCACCTCACCCTCGACCAGAGTTGCTGCCATCTAGTCCTGGCCAAGAGGATCTCAACTGTGCCGTGTAGTGGTTAATGTGTTGGGGACCAGAACCTCAGGAACCAGGGTTCGAATTCTCTCTCGGCCATGAAACTCGCTGGGTGACCTTGAGGGCCAGTCATAGCCTCTCTCAGCCCTCAAAGGGCTGTTGCGAGGATAAAATGGGGGGGGGGGGAGAACTGTGTATGCCACCTCAAGCTCCTAGAAGGAAAGTTTGGATGTAAACGTAGCAAAATAAATAAAATAAATAGTATAAACCCCAATAGAAGGTTCCCTTCAGGAGCCTCCGTTTCCCACACGCCGAAATCCAGGCACCTTGTTCTCTTTTCTGCAGCAAAGCGCACTAGGTTTGGGGGGCGCAGATCACTTTGAGGGGACAGATCCCGTGGGTAATGCACCGGGGGTCCTTGACGGTGGCCTGCCCCTCACCTCGGCCTTTTGTGGACTGGCGAAATGCGCTCAAATAAATCAATCTACCAACGCGGCAACGGCGCATGAAAGCAAAGAGAGCATCTTCCGCCTGCTGCCGAGGCCCTTTTCAAAGCAATTTCCTTGGCTAATTTTGAGTCCCTGTGGTATTTTGGATCTCTTCCCCCGTCACCGTAGCAAAACCCAAATAAGAGATGGTTATTTCTGATCCGTCTGACAAGCAGCTGCCTGACCTTTTGGGGAAACGAACTCGCTTCTGAAATGACAGAAATTCGTCAAGATTTTCCCCCCTCTCCTCCTCTGCCTCAGAGCTGGGGGGTGGGAAAGAGATGCAGGCTTGGCTCTCGCACAAGTACCCCATAATATCACTTCCCCCAAGTTTGAGGTGGGGGGCCCTGGGGGAAATGTATTATGGTGACCCCCAGGTGTTGTCCCTGCGCCCTGGTGGGCTTATCTGGCTGAACTAGCAGAGCTGAGATGGGGTCTTTCTGAATTACCCACAATGCCCCAGTCTTCCCCAACCTGTCGCTCTCTGGATGGTTTGGACTCCAACTCCCATCAGCCCCAGCCAGCGCAGCCATTTTGGCCTGATGGGAGTTGCAGTCCAAAATAGCTATGTTGGCCTGGGGCCGATGAGAGTTGGAGTCCCCAAGGGCCATATGAGCTGGTTACGGGGAGTTATGGTCCAAAATGGCCGCACTGGCTGGGGCTGATGGGAATTGGCGTTCCCAATGGCCATATGAGCTGGTTACGGGGAGTTATGGTCCAAAATGGCCGCACTGGCTGGGGCTGATGGGAGCTGGAGTCCCCAAGGGCCTCACGGGCTGAAGTTAATGGGAGTTATGGTCCAAAATGGCGGCACTGGCTGGGGCTGATGGGAGTTGGAGTTCCCAATGGCCACATGGGCTGAAGTTAATGGGAGTTATGGTCCAAAATGGCTGCATTGGCTGGGGCTGATGGGGGTTGGAGTCCCCAATAGCCACATGAGCTGAAATTACAGAGAATTATGGTCCGAAATGGCTGCACTGGCCGGGGCTGATGGGAGTTGGAGTCCCCAATGGCCACATAGGCTGAAGTTACGGGGAGTTATGGTCCAAAATGGCCGCACTGGCTGGGGCTGATGGGAGTTATGGTCCAAAATGGCTGCATTGGCTGGGGCTGATGGGAGTTGGAGTCCCCAATAGCCACATGAGCTGAAATTACAGAGAATTATGGTCCGAAATGGCTGCACTGGCCGGGGCTGATGGGAGTTGGAGTCCCCAATGGCCACATGGGCTGAAGTTACGGGGAGTTATGGTCCAAAATGGCCGCACTGGCTGGGGCTGATGGGAGTTGGAGTTCCCAATGGCCACACGGACTGAAGCTAATGGGAATTATGGTCCAAAATGGCGGCACTGGTTGGAGCTGATGGGAGTTGGAGTCTCCAATAGCCACATGAGCTGAAGTTAATGGGAGTTATGGTCCAAAATGGCTGCACTGGCTGGGGCTGATGGGAGTTATGGTCCAAAATGGCTGCACTGGCTGGGGCTGATGGGAGTTATGGTTCAAAATGGCTGCATTGGCTGGGGCTGATGGGAGTTGAGAGTCCCCAATGGCCACACTACCTGGGGCTGATGGGAGCTGTAGCTCAAAATGTAGTCGTTTATTTATGGTGGAAGTATTTCCAATCCACACTTTTCATAATACTGTACCAAGGCAAGGAGCGTGACATGTGAATTGATCGTAAAATCAGCAAAAGCTTTCCATAAAACATCGTTAAAACATAGTTTAAACGGCCATGATGGCTGGGCCTGAGGGGAGTTGTAGTCCTGAAATACACTCGGAGTCGAGAGTGGATTTCATGCTCTTTATTCAGCTCATAGTAGGAATGGAAGTTCCCCGAAATGTCTGCTTTATATACATTATTTACACAATGGGCCCCACGTGATTGGCTAATTCTGGGATTCTCCTGTAGGCCAATCAGGTTGCGGATTCACTTCCACCTGGAGTTGGATTGGGTGGCTCCTGCGGACCAATCAGACTGCTGCATTCTGGATCCTATTGTTCTAGGACCAATCAGACTGCTGCAATTTGGATCCTATTCAACTCAGTACTTAACAAGTCCAAAACAGGCTGGTGCGCACCAGGTGTGCCCCACAGCAACACAAGGTTAAAAGATCTTCTCCTGATCTTACTTTTCGTAAGACCTTGCCTTTGATCGATCGATTGGTTTTTCAACTGATCGCTGCTCTCTTGGTTTGCTTTCCAACGGAGCCTGAGTTTTAATGCTTTCCTTTCTCTTTCTTTCTTACGAACAATGGTTCCGCCGCTGCGTATTTCTGGCTCATTCTAAAACAACAACAAAAGTTGACTCTTTAACACTGTAAATGTTTAATTTTGTTGGTACTTTCTGTGCTTCCCTTTGGCGACATTTGCAGGAAAGCGACGAACGGATGCTGTAAATAAAACAATGTGAGATTTCTGTTCAAATACCTACAATGGTGGTTCCCCCCCCCATATGCCCCCTTAACTTGGGGGCATCAGGATAAAAAATGCTCCGGCGTGGAGTTGTTTCCCTTTTCCAGGATACTCTATTCCGCGCACCCTGCCACACCCCTCCCCAAGCAGACAGTTTTCTGTGGCTGCTGAGAATGGTCAAGGCACACTGTGTTTCCCCCCATCCTGTAGAGTTTTCTCTCTCTCTCAAATTCCCCAAACTTCATGGTTTAGCCCCCTGACGTCTCCTCCCTGATACATGGGATGCTGCTAATTTAGAGTCATAGAACAGGGACTCCCAAAAGCCATCTAGTCCAGCATCATAGCTAAATAATCCCTGACAGATGGCCATCCAACTTCTGCTTAAAAGCCTCCAAGGAAGGAGAACCCACCACGTCACAAGGCAGTCCGTTCCACGGTCAAACAGCTCTTACTGTCAGAAAGGTCTCCCTGATGGTTTGTCGGAATCTCCTTTATTGTAACATGAAGCTGTGGGTTCGAGTCCTACCCTCCGGAGCAGGAGAAAACAAGCTTCCACGGGACATCCTTTAAGATGTTTGATCTCCTCTCTCAGTCTCCTTTTCCCCAGACTAAGCATACCCAGCTCCCTCAACCGTTCCTCATCAGGCTTGGTTTCCAGGCCTTGGACCATCACGGCCGCCTCCTCTGCGCACCTTCCAGCTTCTCAATACCCGTCTTAAATTGTGGTGCCCAGAACCGGACACAGGATTCCCGGTGTGTTTGGACACATGGGATGTGGGACGCGGGTGGTGCTGTGGGTTAAACCACAGAGCCTAGGGCTTGCCGATCAGAAGGTCGGCGGTTCGGATCCCCGCGACTGAGTGAGCTCCCGTTGCTCGGTCCCTGCTCCTGCCAACCTAGCAGTTCGAAAGCACACCAGTGCAAGTAGATAAATAGGTACCGCTCAGGCAGGAAGGTAAACAGCGTTTCCGTGCGCTGCTCTGGTTTGCCAGAAGCGGCTTAGTCATGCTGGCCACATGACCTGGAAGCTGGACGCCGGCTCCCTTGGCCTGTAAAGCGAGATGAGCGCTGCAACCCCAGAGTCGGTCACGACTGGACCTAATAGTCAGGGGTCCTTGGACACATGGAGGAGAGAGCTATCAAGAGCTACTAGCCATGACAGTTATGTTCTGCTGTCACAGTCAGAGACAGCAAACTGCTGCGAGATCAGCAGGCCGGACTAGGCCTGATCCAGCGGGTCTGTTCTGATGTACTTAGATAGATGGGTGGCTGGATGGATGGCTTTGACCCAGATGGACTTCAACAGACTGTCTTCCCCATACCCCATGACTTATGAAGGCACATCAAACTCCAAAATCACACATTCCCAAAGGATTTTCCCAGTTTTCCTGATCTTCTCCGTCCATTGCTCATTGCAGGTTTCCCCCCCTATCCCAGATCCAGGAATAAAACCTTTGCACAAGAGTATCTGGTTCCCTCTCCCCTCCCCTGGGCTGTGGATTCTTAAGCCCTGCTTTCTCGCCTAGGGAACCCAGGCGTCCGGGCTGCCAGTCAACGCCTTCCTGGCGCTCCCTCTAAGAGGGCAGCCGTGATCCTCCCCGGCGGCTGGGAGGGTGTGAGTTGTGGAGGGAGGCAGCTAGTAAAATACAGCCACCCTCTTCCTCTCCAAGAGGGAGCCTGGGGGTCAGGGCATCTTGCTTGGCACAGTGTGCTTCCTGTCGCTGGGCAACAGGTTGCCATGGTTACAGTTGCTGTTGCCCAGGGCGATGGCCAGCAATAGGAACACCTCCCTGTGGGGTGTGGTGGTGGTGAATGGAGATGTAAAATTTCTTAAGGGGGGGTGGGAAGAGATGGAAGCATGTGAGGGAAAAAAACACTCCCTTTTCTTTGGTCTCTCAACGCCACCCCCCCACTTTCCCCAGGGGGTAACCCAATGGTGGTGGCTATATAAATAATAATAAAAAATTAAATATTTCGCGTATTTGCTTGGCTCTCGAGCCAAGGGTTATAGCTTCCAGGCTCAGAAATAATATCGAAAATGAACCCATCTTGACATTCTGATGTGTACAAAGGGAAACCGGTGTTTGCAGAGAGGCCAGGGAGGAATTAATATATTCAGGACTTTATTGTGGGAGAAAAAATTTGTCTCTTTCCCCCCCTTCCACATTTCCAACCAACCAGCATTTCCTCACCAGACTCTCTCTGCCTCTTTGTCTGCATGTGTCTCTCTCTCTCCCACCCCTTTGTCTAAAAGTCCCGTGCAAAAAAGAAAGAAAAAATAAGTATTATTTCCATTGCGTTTCATCCCTATTCTATATCATAATTTGTGAAGTTGGGGCGCAGGGTGCATGTGAGTGGCGTTATCCTGTTGGCTTTCTCCCGCACCCCCTGATTCCCCAACCTGGTGCCCTCAATACCTTTTGGGGTGCAACACTCACAAGCCTCTTTCTGCCCCTTAACAAATTTCCCACTTTCCCCCAACCCACCTCGTTAAAAAAGGGGAAAAGGAACAAACAAACCTGGAGCCTCAGCCACACCTCCGGGGGGGCAGGAATGAGCAAACCTTGCCCAGCTCTAACCCTTAGGCCTCGCTCCATCTTTGAGATCTGACGTTGCACCTCAGGGAACCACCAGGGGTCAGTGCACTGTCACGGGGATTGCCATGCAGTTCCTGCAGCAGGCACCAGAGGGCGGTGCGTTCATCCCAGGCTTTAGAGTTTGGGGTGGTTGTTGTGGGGAGAGTCTTTTGGGAAAGGGGGGGGGCATTGCAGAGGAGGAAGCGTGGGGGAATCCCGCTCCCCCTTGGCTGCTTCAGGCCTACCCTGCCCCATCCCTCTTTCTCTCTCCTCCTTGCATCCTCCAACCTCCCTGTCCCATTCTCTGGTTTGGGGGTGGGCCCCATTGTTCCTCTGCCTCAAAAGCAGCCCTGACCCTCCCCAGCTGCAGTGGGGCAGGAGCAAGGCGGAGGGGGACGTTGATTGATGAGGGTCCTTTCTCCCCCCTGACAGCGCCGGCCCGGCAGCTGCCGCATGTTCCTTTCGAGAGAGGAGCCCCCCCGTCTGTCAGGACAGGAGGGGACCCCCTCCCCAACCCCCCCATCATGTGTTTGAGAGGACTGGGAGGCGATGGGAGGGACTGGGAGGCGATGGGAACAGGAAAGTTGACAGGAGGAGGAAGGAGGCTGAGGAGAGGCGATGGATGGGCCGCAGAGACCCACCACGGGCAAAGATGCTCCAGCAAAACAGATCTCAAGCTTTCGGTGGCACATGGGTATAAGACAAGGCAGGGGGTGAAGAAAGAGGGCAGAGGGAGTGTGGGGGGGGGGGAATGGAGCCCCCTTTCAGGTGTCCCCCCCAGCCCTATAAGCTTGACGGATATTTTAATAACCTGCAATGCCTACGTATGCTCAGCTGTGGTTTTAATTTGTTTAGGGGTGTACTATGGTGATATTTAATTTGTTTAGGGGTGTACTATGGTGATATAAGGGACGCAGGTGGCGCTGTGGGTTAAACCACAGAACCTAGGACTTGCCGATCAGAAGGTCGGCGGTTCGAATCCCCACAACGGGGTGAGCTCCCGTTGCTCGGTCCCTGCTCCTGCCAACCTAGCAGTTCGAAAGAACGTCCAAGTGCAAGTAGATAAATAGGTAACACTCTGGCGGGAAGGTAAAAGGCATTTCTGTGCGCTGCTCTGGTTTGCCAGAAGCGGCTTAGTCCTGCTGGCCACATGACCCGGAAGCTGTACGCCGGCTCCCTCGGCCAGTAAAGCGAGATGAGCGCCGCAACCCCAGAGTCGGCCACGACTGGACCTAATGGTCAGGGGTCCCTTTACCTTTACCTTATGGTGATATTATACTTGCTTGCGCTCTTGAATTTAGAGAAGTTTTCCAGGTGACCTGCTTTGAGGGCAGGGGACTCCTGCGCGACAGCGTCTTCTCCCGTAAAAAATGAAACTGGGTGAAATGGGTGTTGCAGGGAAAGCGGCAGCAACCTCGCTTGCTCCGCAAGGAAATCAGCTGTGGGACCCCTGATAAGACTTAGGAAGCATTGAAAGAGGTCCGTTCGTTCATTTTCACGGAGGATAAGGTTATTATTGACAGCTACTCGTCGTGATGTCTCAATGCTTGCTCCAGGATGAGAGGCGGCCCGTCTCCCAGGAGCTTGGGAGGGCGATGGCATCCGTGACCCACCTGAGAGATTCTCACCGGCTGCCGTAGACGCTCCATCACAGGAGTTTTCAAACGGATGGCCGTCTGTCAGGGCTTCCTCAGCTGCGATGCAGCAATAAAACCGCCGGCGCATTTGCAAAGCTAAGCGGGGTCCGAGGTGGTTTCAAATTGGATGGGGGACCGCGGGCCAAGATTCCTGCATTGCAAGGGGGTTGGACGGGATGATGACTGCAGTCCCTTCCACCTCTAGGATTCTAGATACGCGATTCCTGCTTTGCAGGGGGTGGACTAGATGCCTCTGGGGGCCCACAGAATCCACCACCAGCCCAACCTTGCAAAGGGGGCCTGTCCTTGGCCGGGAGCCAGCTGTTGCCTTTAGGGAGATTCGGTCTGCTAGGGCGGATCTTGTTGTGGGGGGGCCCTTCATAAGCTCTGTGACAGCCCACCCCCAGGATTAGTCTGGATCGGATCAGTCTGAAACCCACTAAATTAGAGAGGATGAATCTCTTAATGGCTGCATTAGGAGAAGGCCGCCCTGGAATCAATCTTCAGCGAAGGGCGGTGTGTAAATAATTTCCACAAATGAGCGAGGTAAAATGCACAGAGTTGTGCTAGGAAAATGGACAGATGGAGCGGTCAACAGAAAGAGGAGAGCTGCCAGCATATATATATATTTTTGGCATTTTCCCTTTGAACCCAAGTGTAGGCCTCTGGCAACGGGTGGGGTCCATTGCCCCACACAGCAGGCAGGCCTTTGGAATCTACTTTGGGGTTTGTTTTTGCTAGAACCAGGCCCCAAAGAGGGCAAGGCCAGAAACAAAATGGCGGCTCCATGGCCCACGCAAGGAGGAATCGAGGCCTTGGACTGCGAGAGAACAGAGGTCCCAAGAGCCAAAATTGTGGCATGGCATTGTGAGGGAGCCTCTCTCTTTTTTGCTGCTGCTGCCGTTACACAATCTGGCAAACGCCTGCCAGGAAAGCACCCAACCCGTCGCTAGGGCGAAGGCAGGGTTGCACCGCGGCAGCGAAGCGGGAGCTTTTGGGCGCGGCGATGGCAGACGGATGCCGTCTCCTCTCCGCCCTGCGGGGCCTGCGTGGGAGGAGAGTGACAGGGCCTCGCTCCGTCCCGTCTTGCCCTCCTGCCTGCCTTGTTCCTCCGACAGGCCCTGCGCCTTGTCAGGGACAAAGGGCAGGCGAGGCCCTCCACCCACGCAAGGGCAGTGCCACGTGGCCGCTGCAAAGGGCCGGCTCGGGCGCCGTGACCCATACCCGTCTGGGGCAGGCTCAGAAATCCAGTCGCCCGCCGACGGCACAAGCCGTCCAGGCGTTGGACTTTTTGCTGGAGTGCGACGGGACAGCCTTTCCTCTGAAATTGACCGTCGGTTTAGGCCAAAAGGGCTCCAATTTGGGGAAGGACAGCAGTTGGACGGTGCTTGTTTTCCTATCTGTTACTCTCAGGCTCCCCCAGACGTATACAACCCCGAAGTTTGCAGAATCATAGCATTGGAAGGGACCCCCGAGAGCATCTAGTCCAACCCCCTTGCAATCACAGCCAAATTCAGCTGATTCAGCAGGAATCACAGCTGAAGAACCATTGGCAGATGGCCATCAGATCTCCGTTTTAAAACTGCCACTGTAGGAGAATCCACCTTCTGAGGGAACCCGTTCCACTGTTGAGTGGCTTCTACTCTCAGAAAATTCTTCCTAATACAGTGGTACCTCGGGTTAAGTACTTAATTTGTTCCGGAGGTCTGTTCTTAACCTGAAACTGTTCTTAACCTGAAGCACCACTTTAGCTAATGGGGCCTCCCACTGCTGCCGCACCGCCAGAGCACGATTTCTGTTCTCATCCTGAAGCAAAGTTCTTAACCTGAAGCACTATTTCTGGGTTAGCGGAGTCTGTAACCTGAAGCGTATGTAACCTGAAGCATATGTAACCTGAGGTACCACTGTATTTAGTTGGATTGGCCTTCTTGTCTCTGGAGTCTACTGGTTCAGGTCCTCTCCTTCAGAGCTCGCTCCATCTTCCACGTGGAAGTATTTGCAGATAGCCATCATGAAACCTCTCTCTCCCCTCTTCTCCAGGCTAAACATACCCGACTCCCTCAACTCACTGTTCCTTGTAAGGCTTGCTTTCCAGACCCTTCTATCATCTTGGCCGCCTTCCTCTGCACACATTCGACCTTGTCGATATCCAGGGGAGAATTCAGGAGTCCTGGCTGCCTGGTGCTCCCCGTCTGGGAGTTGGGGTTGTTACCCAGCTTCAGGCATTAGGCCGTAAGGCCACCGCCCAGAGGACCCAGGCGTCCTGGCCCCCTTCCTCCATTTCCCCAGCCCCTCTTCTCCCCCTCCCCTCTTCTCTCTCCAGCCAACTGCCTAGGAGGTCCAGGTGCAGAGGAGAGAATTCTGGCAGATACAGCTTCTCTCACCCTGCAACGCTGACAAGCTGCACCTGCCAAATTCATTTTCTCCCCTAAAGGTACGGGAGAGAGCCATGCGGCAAGCAGCTGGTCAGCGATGTCCATGGAGCTCAGGTCGAAAGTTGTGCACAGAGCTCAGGATTGAACCCAGGGTGGTGGGAGCATCCGCCTGACCTTCTCCTCCCCTCCCCAATTCAGGCCTTATGGTTTCCCGTTTCCACTAATAGGGCCGGGGTTCAGGGGAAGAGATTTAGAGAGGCAGCGTCGCAGCAGGGATCGCTCTGACCACATAGCAACACCTGCATTGTTGTTTGCTTCTGACAAATTTAGCGCTTCTTCTCTTCTTTCCTCTTCCCTCCCCTCCCTTTTTCCTCTTGTGCCGTGTCTCCCGAGATTGCAAGCCCACAAGCAATGAACCGTATGCCAGGCTCCTCTGGGAGCCTTTCTGGGTAAAAATGCTCTAACAAACCTGTAAATTAATCTGCCCATCCTGCGGGGGCATTTGCCATGGAGGGCTGGCAGCAACAGCAATGGAGTGGTACCCCATCTTCTACCTTGTGTGCCAAGTTCCGCCAAGAAGCTTTGTGTGGTTTTTTTTAAGCGCACACTACGGCGCAGGTTCTGGGTAGCTGCCTGACTTGTCGCTCACGCTCACCGGCTGAGAACTGACAGCCGCCCGGGAGCGCAATTCTCTGACCTTAATTTGAGAAGCGCGGCGTGGGCTTCTGCTACACGGCAGCAAGGTAAGGGCGCTTTGCATATGCTCGGGGGTACTGCGGCACTCCCCTAGCGCGGCACAGGGCTGGACCCCAAAGCTGATGGCTGCGCCCAGGCCTGCGCTCCGATCGGGCCCTGACCTCCGGCGCAACCTGGGGCACCTAAAAGTCTTCATCGCTCCCATTCTTGGGTTCGCCAGATGTTGCTGAACTCCAGCACCCGTCTGACGCAGGCTGCTTTCTACCATTTTTGCTTCAAACCCCGAAGCGTAACCAAGGGATGCTTTTTTTCTTTTGTAGAAAAGGAAAACACAGAGATCCAAGCGAGGCCGCTTTCCCTCCTTTGATATCCCTCCTTCCAGGGGTCCGGTGCGACTCTCAGACCTCCCCAAACTGGAGGGATTCTGGCGAAGGGGGCCTCTTTGATTAATTCCCTTTTGTTGCCGGGAAAACGGCTCTCCCCCCTTGCCCTTCCTCTGGGCCTCAGCAAGGTAAACTCAGAGAGAAGCAAGGGGGAAGCCCATCTGTGTCCCTCCCCCCATTAGGCCACGCTGCCCATTCCGGGGCTAGGATGGAGAGCGTCGTTTCCCCCCCCCCCAGGTCTCTCCCAACTCCCCAAGCGCACATTTAATCCAGTCGATCCCACCCACCCCCCACCCACCCCAAGACGGGAACCCCGCAAACGCAGCCGGCCTCGTTAGCGGCGGCTCGTTCCAGGAGTGGAGACAGGAGGAAAAATGTGACCTAATTGGGGAGTGACCCCAGGCGACCCCTGGCTCCCAGCCAAGCGGCTCAGCTCGCTGAGCTAATGGGCCTCTCCCCCTCCTCTCCTGCCCCACCGAACAGTGTGGGGCCCCCCCCACTCCTCCTTGGCGCCCGGCACAGGATTTGGGCACAAGAGGCCTTCCCACGGCGGGCTGGGAGCTGGAAGAGGGGGAGCCATCAAAGGCCCTTCCATCTCGCCACCCCCAGCCCCTTTCACCTGACCCCGGAGCAGTTTTCCTGCCGGCAACGAAGACCTCGGCGTTTGGCAGCGCGGCCCACGGTTTTGCAAACCCGCATTTTGGAAAGGCCACGGCTTCGACCCCGCCAAAGGCCCACTTCGAAGTCAAACTTCCAAGGCTATTCTTCTTCTTAATTCCCAAACACCAATTTAGCACCGGCAGCCTGCAGCTCCGAACAAATCTTCAGCTTCGTTTGCAGGCTTTGAAGTGATAACGTCGAGCGTCGACTCAACGCACCTTTATTTTTAAATGCGGTGCGATCCGCGGCTTGATTAAAAAATTAAGTGTGTGTGAAAGAAGGCCAAAGCTGGAGCCCACACCCTGTTTTGAAAGCACATTTGACTCATGCTTAAAGCACAGGGCTTCTCCTGAAGGATCCTGGGAACCGTAGTTCACCCATTCCAAGCAGCCCTTGGCAAACTACGGCTCCCAGGATCCTTTGGGAGCAAGCAATGTGCATCCAGGGTGCTTTGAATTTATGGTGTGAACATGAATCGTGGCAGAGTTGGGAGGGAGCCCTAGTCCAACCCTCTGCAAGGCAAGAATCCCTGACGCATGGCCACACAACCTCTGCTTAAAAATCTCCAAGGGAGTCTGCCATCTTCCAGGAACTTGACCGAGAATTTCTTAGCCTCCAATACAACCTGGGCCAGGGCTAATAATAAACTATAGTTGGAGCGTACCAGAAGATGCAGCAGGGCAGTTTCCTCAGAGCGCCGCCCTTGTGGGCGCTGGCAGAAGTGCCTTTCCCGCACCCTGAAAAGGCTTCCTTTCCCAAAGCAAAAGACACGCTTTCGAATGGGTTCTGCGGCCCTCTGCAATGCGCCGGGACGCACCGAGAGATTGGGCTCAGCTTCTTAAGACGCAGCCAGTGCCCGCTGCTGCCCCCACGCTTCCAGGCCGCTCTCCCCCTACCCTCCCACCCCCCGTCTGTCCGTCTGTCCGTGTCGGGGCACGTCAGGGCTGGCGTCGCTCCCGTTTGCTCTGCCCCCGATTCGCGCTGCCAGTCCCAAAACAACCTACGCCAGCCGTTGTCTTCTCTGAACAAACTGACAAGGTGTCTGGATGTGGCAGGAGGCAGGCCTAGGACACATAGGTCTGAGGTTTCGTTTTGGGGAGGGGAACGGGCGCAAGAGAGAGAGGGAGGGAGGCAGATTGCGGAGGGGGGGACCTGTCACTGGTGCAGAACGTAGCGGCCTGCTGTGATCTGAGCGAAGATGAGGGAGGGAGGGAGGGAGGGAGGGAGGGGGAGCGCGCCCCACTTTGGAGATCTGCCTGCTTACGTGGCAAATCTCCTGCCCGACCCTCACGGAAACTCTCGCCCTGTTTTGAGCTCCCTTTGGGTGCTGTTTACTTAAGGACTCTGTGTGTGTGTGTGTGTTGGGGAAGAGTCCTCAATTAGATCTCTGGTACATGGGACAGACACAGCCCTGGGGGTGCTGAACGCTGTCAGACTTCATCAGGGAGAAAAGGCGAGGTTTGCTGATGCAACTGCCCAAAATGGGGATGTTGTTGGGGAGGGGGTGACGCAAGGTCAGGTGTGGGGGGCACAGCACTGGCAGGCTCCGGCCCCCTTCTGGGACAGCAGGAGGAGACGATTAAAGGACACAGCCTCTGATCCTGGCCTGTACCCCAAGCTCAAAGAACGTCTGGCTCCCATTTATAGGATGAGAAGGTTTGGGGGTACGGCGGGGGGTTAACAGGAAAGGAGTCCAACTCCTACCCCCAGTTTACTTCATTGGAAGTCTTCTGCCTTGAGAATTTATTCCCCCACTAGCCCCGAGCGATGGGACGCGGGTGGCCCTGTGGGTTAAACCACAGAGCCTAGGACTTGCTGATCAGAAGGTTGGCGGTTCGAATCCCCCGGACGGGGTGAGCTCCCGTTGCTCGGTCCCTGCTCCTGCCAATCTAGCAGTTCGAAAGCACCTCAAAGTGCAAGTAGATAAATAGGTACCGCTCCGGCGGGAAGGTAAACGGCGTTTCCGTGCGCTGCTCTAGCTCGCCATAAGCGGCTTAGTCCTGCTGGCCACATGACCCAGAAGCTGTATGCCGGCTCCCTCGGCCAATAAAGCGAGATGAGCACCGCAACCCCCGAGTCGGTCATGACTGGACCTAATGCCCAGGGGTCCCTTTACCTAGCCCCGAGCCAGCTAGGAAGGCTGCTTTCTGGCCCTTGGCCTCTGAGCACGTACAGAGTGACGTCAGATAACTGAAAACCCACCCTGTGCGATGAGCAGGTGGTGGCCAGTGGTGGTTTTCTCCACATTTTGGGTTGCGGGGGGCGTTTTCCTCCCACTGGGTGGATTTGGGGCACGTATGAACCCCCTGCGGAAAACACATGAAACCAGGAAGTGCCGATGACCATATTTTGGGTGGCTGCAAGATGAGGGAATGCCAATAGCAGGGTGGGCAACCATGTGGGTTTTTTGTGCCCCTCGTGTGGCACATTAGTCACAATCCATTTCCTCCCTCCAACCATTGCTGCCTCCATAAATATGTCGCAGCCCCCCTCCTTTAACGCCCCGATGTCATGGCTGTCGACATGCAACCTCCAGCAATCAGTTGGCTTTTTGGGGGGTGGGTTTCTCTGGGTGGTTCGGAAGGAAATAAGCAGAGAAGAGTCCAAAAGCCCAGCTGCACAAGAACTTCTATAATCAACAATGTCCAACAGTAAAATTCCACCGACAAAGCTAAGAAACTCTCAGATAAAAAAAACAACCACCTCTGTTAAAGCTGAAAAAAGACCACATTTTTCTTTTTTTTGTTTCGTTCCGTTTCCCCTGCCAAAGGCAGGAAGGGCCCCGGCCACAATCCCCAAGTCCAACACACACAAAAGTCCCTCCTCTCTCGGAGCCCCGTGAAAAAATCTCCACACACACAAAATACGCGGCTTCCGAAGGCCAGCCAGATGTTGGCCGTGGAGGGAGGGGGAAAACCAGTCTTTCAGTCTCCTCCCCAAATGGGGGCAACGCGAAGACCCTCAGAGAACAGCCCCACAACCTTACCCCCCCACGGCCGCCGCCCTGCCCAGTCGTCATCTCAGATGAGGAAGGGTGGCCATTTTGTGTGACTTTTCTTCTTCTAACAACTAAACAACGAAAAAGCGAACAAAACGGCCGCCGGACGGCTAAGCAACCGGTCCTCTTTCCAAGTCATCCCGAGTCCGATCCGTGGATTCCGCCAGCGTCTCTCTGACCCCCAAACTCCGGCAGAGAAATGGCCTCCTTCATTTTTTTGTGATCTGCGGAAGTGTATGGGGTTAAAGGCCAAGGGGATGAACATGGTTTTTTTGGGGGGTGTGTGTATGTGACGGGGGTGTCAGAAAGGGAAGGAAGGTTTCCTCAGGTGTGAGCAATGGCATGACTGTGTCTCCTTAAGCCGGCCTCCCCTAGCCTGGCGCCCTCCAGATGTTTCGAACTACAACTCCCTGTGCTGGCTTGACTCTCAAAATTCGTGGACAACCATGAAGCAGAACGTTGGAAGATTCAGGACAGATATAAGTCCCTTCTTCAGGCACGGTCGAACTGTGGAACTCCCTGCCACAGGAGGCAGTGACAGCCACCAACCTTAGATGGCTTTAAAAGAGCTTTAGGCAAATTCATGGAGGTGTAAGGCTATTATTGTTGGCTCCTAGCCAGGATGGCTGTGCTCTCTGGGTACCAGTTGCTGGAAACTACAGGAGGGGAGAGGTCTGCTCTTGAACTCAGCTCCCACTTGAGGCACCCGGTTGGTCCCTGTGAGGATAGGAAACTGAGCTAGAAGGGGTATTGGCCTGACTCAGCTGCAAGGAGGCGGGCGGGTGTGGAGGACTCCCTGGTCCTGAATGGGGCAAGTGCGCCCCCGAAGGACCATGTGCGTAGCCTGGGAGTCATTCTGGACTCACCGTTGTCCATGGAGGCGCAGGTCAATTCTGTGTCCAGGGCAGCTGTCTGCCAGCTCCATCTGGTACGCAGGATGAGACCCTCCCTGCCCACAGACTGCCTCGCCAGAGTGGTGCATGCTCTGGTTATCTCCCGCTTGGACTACTGCAATGCGCTCTACGTGGGGCTACCTTTGAAGGTGACCCGGAAACTGCAATTAATCCAGAATGCGGCAGCTAGACTGGTGACTGGCCGCAGCAGCCGAGACCACGTAACACCGGTCCTGGAAGACCTACATTGGCTCCCAGTACGTTTCCGAGCACAATTCAAAGTGTTGATGCTGACCTTTAAAGCCCTAAATGGCCTCGGTCCAATATACCTGAAGGAACATCTCCACCCCCATCGTTCTACCCGGACACTGAGGTCCAGCCCCGAGGGCCTTCTGGCGGTTCCCTCACTGCGAGAAGCCAAGTTACAGGGAACCAGGCTGAGGGCCTTCTTGGTGGTGGCTCCCGCCTTGTGGAACACCCTCCCACAAGATATCAAAGAGAACAACTACTACCAGACTTCTAGAAGACATCTGAAGGCAGCCCTGTTTAGGGAAGCTTTTAATGTTTGATGCATTACTGTATTTTAATATTTTGTTGGAAGCCGCCCAGAGTGGCTGGGGAAGCCCAGCTAGATGGGCGGGGTATAAATAATAAATTATTATTATTATTTATGGGCCGAAATTGTAGTCCAAAACATATGCGGGCTGGGAAAGGGCGCCTCAACTCTTTCCCTAGCGGAACCTAAAATGGGGGGAAACAAAATGGGACAGGCAAAATGGCTCCCCTACCCCTGCCCTGGCCTTGTGCTTTTCTTGGGCGGGGAGAGAGTTGGGTAATGGAGTTTGCCACCGAATTATCTCCTCACAGAAACCAAGAGGAACACGGCAGGTTCCGCAGAGCCAAAAGGTAACTTGGCAGAAGAAACCCTGGAAACCTTCAAGATTCTCAGATTTAATACTTGAAATGTCAGTTTTGAGGGACATATCCGGGGTGGGAAAGGCAAGGTAGCTATTAAGTCTCGGTAGGGTGTTTTCCCTGGGGGGGGGGGGATAGCAACAACATTATGCTTAACCCGTTGCTGCTTCCCCCAAAACCATCTGACCACAACAGCGTGACCCTTGAGTATGTTGTCAAAAAGAATTTGAAATTGTGCAAGGAAATTTGTGCGTGGTTTTTTTTTTAAAAAAGAGAAACACCGCCCCACTTTAATTCATTTTGGCCGATGGGTGGATGTTTATAAGTAAGGGCTCGTCCACAATTCCGCTCGTCCTTTGCCTAGAAAGCCTTTCCCTCACTGCGTTCCCCCGGGGGAAAAAATGAGCTTTATTGCTAAATCGGAACAAACAGCCATTTGCGGAAAACCCAGTTGCTGTTTGTTCCGATTCAGCGCTAAAGATTGGGTTTCCCCGGGGCAAACGGAAGTGCATATGGGCCCTAAGTCACCTTTATTTGTTGAACAGGGGTGAGAGATCCATTGAAACTGGATTGTGGGGCACACCGCAGGAGAGAAATGGAGGGATTTGTGTGTGTGTGTGTCCCTATCTGGAAAGAAATCAGCCGACGTGGAAGCCCAGTCCTTCCCCCCTTGCACCCGGAAGTGGGGCGAGAGGGGGTCTTGTCTCTGTTAAACTCTCTGGCGCCTGGCGGAAAGGGGGTCGATTCTCTCGGCCTGTCCATCTGAGCCAGGCCCAAATCCACGGAGAGAGGAGGAGAAGCAGGAGACAGCAAGGTGGAGGGTCCTTCCCTCTGGCCAAGTCCAAATCCTGGGAACCCCCCTTGAATGCCGTAGAGGGGGGGTCCCCGCAGCTGTGCACGGACCCCAGTATCCAGGCCGGGCGAGAGGGGCGGCAACGTCCCCCCGGTCCGTGCCGAGGTTCCTCCCCGCCGTTGGGGGGTGTGGTGGTGATGGCCGGGGGGCGCAGCCTCCGCCAGGAGGGAGCCGTGCTGCCCACCCCCCCCTCATACTTTGTAGTAGATGTTGGCAGGGCTCTGGGGGGGCATCTCCTGAACGATGTAGACCGGGTGGCCGTAGTCCCCGCTGACCTTCTCGTAGTGGGGGCAGAAGGCGCTGTCTGAAGTCCGGAGCGGGATGATGATGTCGCTGGGCTCCGAGCCGTTGTTGTTGCCCCCGCCGCCCCCCCGCTTGGGGCTGGTCAGGGTGCTGAGCGAGAGTGGCGGGTGGTGGGACTCGCTGTGCTTGGCCCGGCGCCGGCGGTAGCAGAGGGCGCCCGTCACGGCGGCCGCCACCAGCAGGACGAAGGCGGCCCCTCCGGCGGCCCCCGCGATGATCGGGACGCTGGACTGGGGCAGGGGGCCATTCTCGCCTCCCACCTTCCCGGTGGCGTTTCCAGTCGGGGGTCCTGGTTTTTTTAGGGGGGGAGGGAAAAAGAAGAAGAGTGTTTAGGGAGATGCTTGATTTACCAAGTGTCAGTATAAACCAGGCATAGGCAAACTTGGCCCTCCAGCTGTTTTGGGACTACAACTCCCATCATCCCTGACCACTGGTCCTGTTAGCTAGGGATGATGGGAGTTGTAGTCCCCAAACAGCTGGAGGGCCAAGTTGGGGGGGGTGCCTGGAATAAGCAAATGGCTCCCTGCTTGTCCATGGCATCGCCTGCCCCACAGACCGAGGCCTCACTGACATTAAGGGTGGGCAGCACCCACCCCTGCAGTCCGGGGCCTCCTCTGTGATGGCCCCAAAACCGTGGACCTCTCTTCCAACAGAGGTGCGTTGACACAACTCTCGAGTCTGTCCTCTGACTGACACTGGCGGGATTCGGGCTTTCAGATTTCAGTGGCGCTAAAATTCAGCACCCCTCCCTCTTCCGTTCTACATCTTTGTTGCAGTGCTCCCTTGGCTCAGCGCCCAATGTGGGCGAACGGATCGCGCTTCCCTAAATCTACTTTTGTGACCGCTAAGGTGTTTCCTGTCGTGGGACCCTGGAGCTGAATTTGTACAGGTCTGTTCTGTTCGAATGGCTTTAGAATCACAGAAGTTGGAAGGGACCACAAGAGTTATCTAGTCCAACCCCTTGCAACGCAGGAAGATTTAATTTAATTTACATTGTGAGAGTCTTACTTATTTTTATAAGGCAGGTAAAACGTTCGAAAGAAGAGGGGTGAAAGGCTGTTTCTAGGTCACAACCCTGTAGAACGAGTCTTTGGGTCTCTACAATGCCCCTCGCTCATCTGAGTGGAGGGGAGAGATGGCGCTGGAGCAGTTGTGCAAGCTGGCCTAGTGCGCAAAGACAACATCTGCATCCATTGCCCCGCCTACTTTTGTCCCTGGCCCCGCCCACCACTGGAAGTGGCCAATGGGTGGCTCCCCAGAAGGAAATCTGCCTCTCAGGCTGTGAAAAAAAGAAAGAAAGAAAAGATTCCCGTAGCTGTGATCTGGATTATATCACGTCAGCGGCGGAGGGTGATGGGTCCCCTCCGTGGGGAAAGTCTCCCTGCTTGCAGAAATCTAGCATGACAAGGAGATGTCTGGGCTGACCTGTTTTCCTGACCAGCTAGCTTTTTAGTCTATTTTGGGCACGATTCAGCACCGCAGGAGAGCCAAGCAAGCACCTCGCTCACCCCCACCCCACCCTGACATGTTCAATCCAGGAAAAAGCCCTTGATTTCCTCCTCCGAACTGGAGTTTTCTTCCCCTGTGAAAAGGAGATTTGAGTTACACTGTTTGCCTTTCCCCCCTCGCCAGTATTGCCCAAAGTGTTTCTTTTGGGTTATGTTTCCTAAGCCACTTCCTGCCGGCAGCCAAGACAGGCAGAAGGAGCGCTGCTTCTTTCGCTTCGGCGTGAACCAGGCCGTGGGGGGAAGACGCAGCCTCAAAATGAGAGGCTGGCTTCTCCCTACAGCGGCCCCCAAGTTCACCCCCCTGGCCCCAGTGAAAAGATCTCCACGTGGGGAGGTGTGGTGGAGCTTGGACTGCACACCCCCCATACGTGTGCACAACACATGGCTTCCTGCAAAGACGCCTGGGAACTGTAGTTTGCTACTGGCGCTGGGAATCGTAGTTCTGCTAGAGGGGAACAGCGGGGCCCAGGACGCTTGGGTGGAAGTCATGTGCCTTAAATGCATGGTGCGCATGCACCCTTTGGAAAACCTTGGGCCGCTCTCAGAATGCAATTCCTGCTTAATAATAATAATAATAATAATAATAATAATTTATTTATACCCTGCCCATCTGGCTGGGTTTCCCCAGCCACTCTGGGCGGCTTCCAACATAATATTAAAAACACAATAAAACATTCAAAACTTCCCTAAACAGGGCTGCATTCAGATGTCTTCTAAAAGTCAGATACAGTGGTACCTCAGGTTAAGTACTTACTTCGTTCCGGAGGTCCGTTCTTAACCTGAAACTGTTCTTAACTTGAAGCACCACTTTAGCTAATGGGGCCTCCTGCCACCGCTGCGCGATTTCTGTTCTCATCCTGAAGCAAAGTTCTTAACCTGAAGCACTATTTCTGGGTTAGCAGAGTGTGTAACCTGAAACATATGTAACCTGAAGCGTATGTAACCCAAGGTACCACTGTAGTTGTTTATTTCCTTGACATCTGCTGGGAGGGAGTTCCACAGGGCGGGCACCACCACCAAGAAGGCCCTCTGCCTGGTTCCCTGTAACCTCACTTCTCGCAGGGAGGGAACCACCAGAAGGCCCTCGGTGCTGGACCTCAGTGTCCGGGCAGAATGATGGGGGTGGAGACGCTCCTCCAGGTATACTGGGCCTTTGAGGCTGTTTAGGGCTTTCAAGGTCCACACCAGAATTTTGAATTGTTCTCGGAAACATACGTTTCCGAGCATTAATGTAAAAAAATTACTGTTGTTGTTATTATTATTGCAGGGGGTTGGACTGAATGACTCTTTGGGTCCCTTCTGGTCATAGCTGTCAACTTTTCCCTTTTCCCGTGAGGAATCCTATTTGGAATAACTGAATTTCCCTTTAAAAAAGGGAAACATTGACAGCTATGCTTCTGGTTCTACAGCTCTAGGAAGAAAGGCAGACCTGCTCCGTTGCCCCATTCAGAGGTTATACTTGCGTGGGGGAAGGCTGGTGCGTGAGCAGGGGGCGAGGCCTTGCCAAACAGCCATGCGCCTCCCTGGCGGCCACACAAGATGGCCAGAGCCTTCATGCGCAGAGCTGCACAATGCATGCAGGAAGGCTTCCGCGCTGCGCAAGATTCTAGCTCTCAGTGAGGTCTTCCTGAATGCAGCTGTGCCTCCCTCGCATGGGCATCTGTTCTGTACGGAAAGTGGGCACCAAGGGGGCAGGCCTAGCTGGCATGACCCATCCAGGGGGTGGCTGCCCCACACAGCCTGGCTCAAGCAGTAGCCTGCAACTTCCGAAATGGACCTTCTTCAATAATAATAATGGTCCGATTCGGTATACGGAGAGCGGAGGAATAACTGGAAACCTGTTGGTTGGCGGAGAGGCGCTCAAATAGCAAAGCGGGGCCTGCCTGGAGAGGGAAGGTCCTCGTTAGTGTCTGTCGACTCTGGTTAATGGAGCTAATTGCCTCCTCGATACCTCCCCCCAGCCCGGCTCGGCAGGGTTCATTTCAGCCATCACTATCAATAAACCTCAAGCCCGGGGGCCCCCTCTCCCGGCTCCCAGTTCTGTCCCCGACACGGAAGACAGGCAGAACAAAACACTTTGCAAGGAGCTAGTCCCCCCCGCCGCAAAGCCTCGTCTTCAGTCGTCCCCCCCCCCCGTCTGGGCCTGTCAGGGCCGGACGTGGACTGATCCCGGGGAGAAGGGGGAAGCAGAGAAGGAGGTGCGCCCCAAACGCTGACCCACGGGACCCCTGTCCTGGTCTCCTTCCCCCCTCCCCACAAAGATGTGAGCAGAGCTGGGAGCCAGGACTCCTGGGCTCTCCGAGGAGAGGTTGGAAGAGGAGGAGGGGCAGGAGCCAGGACTCCGGGGTTCTCTCGGAAATGGGGTACGAGAAGCCATCTCATTCCACTGCAGCAGAATTGGGGGTCATGGGTCATCTTTTATTTTTATTTTTGCATTTTTTCTGCCTTCTTTCAATTTGTGTAAGCCAGTCCATGAAAATAATAATAATAATAATAATAATAATAATAATAATAATAATAATATTAATGGCTTCCCCCGCATGCTTTGGACCAGAACTCATCCCAACCCCAGCCAACGACGCCTGCCATCTTGAGCTGGATTTTTGTGGGGGGAGGAGGGTGCCTAATGCCTTAAAGCAGGGGATTCTGGGAACTCGGACTCCTGGGTCCTGCGCCTACTCGCCAGGAGGCTGCAGGCTTCTCTTCCCTTAACAATGGACTCTGGGGGAAAGGCCCTTCTCTGCTCAGGCCTCAGGATCCTACACACCAAAAGGAGAAGGCATTTGTGGAATGCAGGATGCTGCCCCAAATCTCGCTCCCCGGACCCTCAAGTCCATGGGAGCCTCTTGGGAAAGGAGGGCACTGGGGCTACTGTGCCTTGGGGCAAGAGGGAGGGAGGGGTTAGGGAGTGAGAAACGTGGAGGGAAAACATGGGGCAGTGTGTGGGGTATGTGAGCCAGGGTTTTGGTGCAGGGGGGCTCCCTCCTCTCGTGGCTGCGCTTGGGGGGCAGAGAGGGAGTTGTAGGGTCAGGGCATACCTGGGTTCACCTCCTTGCTGGGCTCGGCTGCCCCAGACGTCCCTCTCTCCTTCTCGGTAGGCGTGTCTGGAACGGACTTCGGGGTTTTGGAGCCCGTGTTGGGATCTGGGGGGGGGCAAGGGCGCACAGTTAAAACTACGGAACCCGGTTCCCACGGGGGGGAGAGGCGGCGGCAGCCGCCATCTTGGAATGAGGACTGGAAAGAGGACTAGGCAAATTCATGGGGGCGGAGAGTGCTCTCGATGGCTCCTAGCCACATTGACTATGCTCTGTCCTCCGCACTTGGGGGGCAGCAATGGATACCAGCAGCTGGGCCCCTGGTCTCATCCAGCAAGCTCTTTTTACGTTCTGAAGGGCCGAGAGATGGCAAGTGGGGGTGGGAGCTGGGGGAGGGTGGGGCAGAGACCCAGGTAGGGGCAGACACATTCAGCCCCCCAATTTATGGGGGCGAAGCGGCAAAAACAGAGCACAAACGCACAAACCCAAGAATAAAATAATAAAATCAACGCGCTCTTTAGCAGTGCGGCGTGGTAAAAACAGAGCAAAAACACACAAACTTAAGAAGAATGAAATGAACGACAACAAGGAAACGATCCCCACGGACTCCAAAAACAGTGAAACAATTTCGTCAGATTTCAGCCACCTCCCTGTCCTTTTCGTGTGGCAATTAGGAAACACAACTGAGACTCGGTTCCTTTTATGGCGCCACTCTGGGGCAGAAGGGGGGCGGATTTTAGGGTTGCCTTTGTTTTGATTATGTATGTTGTGTTTTTAATATTGCAGTTTTATTTTGTGAACTGCCCCGATATCGATGAGTATAGGGCGGTATACAAACTGAGCAAATAAATAAAGTATATAAATAAGCAGGCCAGCTTCCGAGCCACACAGAATTCCGCAACCAGGCGGAAAAGGAGCATAGGGAGTTCTGTGTGCTTCGGGTGCCTGCATGCCTCTGCAGCTCAAAAAAAAAAAAAATTGAAAAAAATTGCCAGAGTTAAAAGTAAGGGGGGGGAAAGGGCTTCACATTCTCTTCAGGGTTTTAATCTTACAAAGCAGGAGGGCGTGGGGTGTGGTGGAAGGAACCTGCAGTACCACACAGGAACCACTAGGTTGTGCTCTCAACACTGATGCTCAGCAGCCGGTGAGGTCACCTGTGGGCGGAGCCTGAGCTCACACCTGGCGAGGGAGGCAGCCAGGTGGAAGTACCTGCCCAGCCGCTGCCAGAAACAGCCAGCACACCTGCGGGGTTTTTTTTTGCCAATAATAAGGCTTTTTAAAAACACCTGCGTTAGGTGACCTGACATTACGGGCACCTTCGTGGCTACAGAACGGACCCTGACCTTTATCTTCCCTCTCCCTCCAAAAGTGAAGATTCTTTCCAATCCCATCCCACCCTAATTTTGTTTTAGTTCTGCCTTCCCCTGCATCCCCTCTCCCAGTCTTGGTACATGGCAACGTTCTGTCTCGGCCATCCCCACCGATTTAATTTAATCTACATTTAAATCACTTTCCCGCCACAACTTCAGAAACGAGGGCAGTTTAACCTATTCATTTAAGCTTGTTTCCCTTTTGGGAGTGGGCTGATGAGCTGCCTGGCAGCATTTATTTTTTTTAATAAACCCGAAACCAAATTTCTGAACTGTGGTATTTTAAAATTCAGATTTTTATTAAATAGCTAGAGAGCAATGCAAGATTGGGTTTAAAATATCAAGTTAATGAGCAAACGAAACCCTCCCAGATGGGGGGTGGGGGTTTGCTTGAGAAAACCTCACCCCCAAATTCATTTCGCTTCTCTGTTTTTGATCTCACAACGGCCCTGCGAGGCGTGCTTAGGGACTGAAAGAGAGAGGAAAGCTTAGCCCCAGGCCACAGGCAGGCAACTTCGTGGCCAAAGTGGTGTTCAAAGTCAGGACTCCGGGCTCCAAACTCCTCCTGCTGCCGCCCTGGAATCCTCACATTTATTCTGCTCGTTTGTGTGATTTAATCTGAGGGGCAGGATCCGTGAGAGGCGGGCTGAGCGACCTTGGGCATCAAGGGGCACATTTGCCCAGGTAGGACAGGGGGTGAGAAACAGTCAGGGGTGGGAGAAAAGAAGGGGAAAGCAAGAGGGGCTGACATTCAGGATGGTAGGATCAACTCCCCCTCCTCTCCCTTGCTCCCACCCCAATCTACTCCTGCCCCCCATATCCCCATTTACTGGACGGTCAAGAGCTCATCCGAGTTCCAGCAGGAGCTGTGGGTCTGACTCATGCCATGTTCCCAAATCTAGAGGGTTTTGCAGAGGGAACGAGGAACAGGCCCAAGTGCCCAGGAGTCCTGGCTGTTGCAGCGGTGGCAGTGAAGGGGTGGGCACAAGGTCAGTCTTTGCCAACCCGGCACAGCTCAGATGTTTTAATAATAAATAATAATATACTTTTCTTTTATACCCCGCCCTTCCCGGTTCAAAAACTGGGCTCCGGGCGGCTAACAACAAATTTAAAACACTTAAGCGATGCAACAAAAAACAGTATAAAACGTGAATAACGATAAGTTCAGAATTCAAAAATCAATTTAGGGGGGGAAATCCATCCAATAAACATTAGATGATCACCAGGGCTAGCTGGCTGAATTAGTCCTATTTGGGCCAGTGATGAGACCAAGGGAGAATTAGCTGTGGGATCCCAGAGCGGGTAATCTTCATAAAAAGGGGAAGGGGGAGGGAAGGAAGGGGAATAAAAGATCAGGCTAATTCAATTTGAAAGCCAGGTGGAGTAGCTCTGTCTTACAGGCCCTGCGGAAGGAAGTTAAATCCTGCAGGGCCCTGGTCTCATGGGACAGAGCATTCCACCAGGTCGGAGCCATCACTGAGAAGTCCCTGGCCCTGGTGGAGGATAATCTGACTTCCTTAGGGCCCGGGACCTTTAAACTAGGATCATTCATCCAGCTAGCGTGCGGTCCAAAACATCTGGAGGGCACCAGGTTGGCGAAGGCTGGCCCTGGCACTCTCCCCCACCCTTCTCCCGGGGGACGGGGGTCCTCCTCATTCCCAGGATTCCCCGTTCTAACCCGCTCTCTTCCTGAAGAGGTTCTGGCTCCCAGAATGCTCTGCTCTCATGCAACGGACCCCTATTCCCCTCCCAGGGACATCTGGGTCATCTCCCCACACCCAGATCTTCTCCCACAAAGATGCACTTTCTGGATTCTTCTTTCTCCCCGCCCCCGACGACTTACGCTGCCCGACTTTCAAGACGACTTTCATGCCTTTGGAGAGGCAGGCACCGCCCTTCATGTTCTCAAGCCCTTCCTTGGTACCATCTGAAGTTGCTGTGGGGCAGGAGAGAGAGAGAGAGAGAGAGAAAGAAATTAGCCATAGTTATGGGTTACAGCCAGACTGCTGTAATGTACAGTATGCGGGGCTGCCCTTGGAGACATCTCCCCAGCCGGGCTTCCTGGCATCTCTATCTTGGCTATCTTTTCAGAGCTAGGCGAATACACCTTTCTAAAAAATTCATTTCTCCAAGTCTATAATTGCTAGAAACGGCGGTGACGGCTGCCAGGTTGCAGTTGTTTTTATTCTGCCATTTTATTCCCTTCCGAGTTTTGCTACCAACTCGTGACGATGCTTGCTTCTGTTTTTCTCGTGCAAGGTGCCCAGAGAATACTGATGGGTGGCATGGGTGTTAAATAATAAATTCATGGGCCGGCTGCGAGGGAAAGCTCAGGAGGCCTTGGACGGAGACCGGAGGAGGTGGAAGATGGGAGGCTTTTCCTGCCTGGGGTGCAGGGAGAGGCCCTAGGCTTCAAAAAGGGCCATTTTGAATTCCTTTCATCGCCCAAGACTTTGTGGTATTAAAGAGCTGATGTGGGGGGTCCAGTAAAAGGTAAAGGTAAAGGTAAAGGGACCCCTGTCCATTAGGTCCAGTTGTGGCCGACTCTGGGGTTGCAGTGCTCATCTTGCTTTACTGGCCAAGGGAGCCGGTGTACAGCTTCTGGGTCATGTGGCCAGCATGACTAAGCCGCTTCTGGCGAACCGGAGCAGCGCACGGAAATGCCATTTACCTTCCCGCCGGAGCGGTACCTATTTATCTACTTGCACTTGATGTGCTTTCGAACTGCTAGGTGGGCAGGAGCAGGGACCGAGCAACAGGAGCTCACCCCATTCGAACCACCGAGTCCTAGGCTCTGTGGTTTAACCCACAGCACCACCCACGTCCCTGGGGGTTCCAGTGGTGTCCCCCAATTAATTATAATTATTAAATTATTATAATTATTATTTATTATTTATACCCCGCCCATCTGGCTGGGCTTCCCCAGCCACTCTGAGTGGCTTCCATCAAAATATTATAATACAGTAATGCATCAAACATTAAAAGCTTCCCTAAACAGGGCTGCCTTCAGATGTCTTCTAAAAGTCTGGTAGTTGTTGTTCTCTTTGACATCTGGTGGGAGGGCGTTCCACAGGGAGGGCGCCACCACCGAGAAGGCCCTCTGCCTGGTTCCCTGTAACTTGGCTCCTCGCAGGGAGGGAACCACCAGAAGGCCCTCGGAGCTGGACCTCAGTGTCCGGGCTGAACGTTGGGGGTGGAGATGCTCCTTCAGGTCTACTGGACCGAGGCTGTTTAGGGCTTTCAAGATCAGCACCAACACTTTGAATTGTGCTTGGAAACGTACTGGGAGCCAATGTAGGTCTTTCAAGACTGGTGTTATGTGGTCTCGGCGGCCGCTCCCCAACCTTCCTACCCAGCAACTCAGACCCCCCCACACCTAACCCGGCAGCCCCCTCAGCGCTCTCAGACAAACCCGACGCAGCCCTGCCTTTCCAAAGGATGCTCTGCTGGGTCACTTAATATTTAAACAAGATGTTTAATGTTTGCACAGACAAAAGTTCCCCTCGTGATCCGTTAATAAGCCAGAGGCTGTGGAGGCGAGAGGGGCGTTTTGACGCACCTGCTCTGCCAAAGTCTGTTGGGGATACAGAGGGGGAAAAAAGAAGAGAGAGAGAGAGAGAGAGAGAGAGAGAGAGAGAGCAGCCATCTTGGCAAGCGGGCAGCCTCCCTGGGTGCCCCACAACCACTGGTATGGGGCAGCCAAACCCACAGTTCAGGCTTGCCCAGAATAGCAGAAGGAGAAATTACTGTATTTTTTGCTATATAAGACTCACTTTTTCCCTCCTAAAAAGTAAGGGGAAATGTGTGTGCGTCTTATGGAGCAAATGCAGGCTGCGCAACTATCCCAAAAGCCAGAACAGCAAGAGGGATTGCTGCTTTCACTGCGCAATCTTGCTGTTCTGGCTTCTGAGATTCAGAATATTTTTTTTCTTGTTTCCCTCCTCCAAAAACTAGGTGCGTCTTGTGGTCTGGTGTGTCTTATAGAGCGAAAAATACGGTAAATTCTGCTCGCGATCCAAGGCGAACCTCACAAACCTCTCCAAATTCTCCATCCAATGTTCACAAAAATGCGCCGATTATTGTTTATTGCATTTATATCCCATCCTTTTTCCTCCAAGGAGCGCAAAGTGGTGCACATGGCTCTCGTCCTCCTTATTTACTCCCCACAACAACCCCGTGAGGTAGGTTGGGCCGAGAGAGGCAGCGACCGGCCCCCCCAAGGTCACCCAGTGAGTTTTGTGGCCAAGTGGGGGGATTTGAACCCGAGTCTTTCCCAGGCCTGAGTCCGACTCTCTAACCACTACGCCACACTCGGTAATATGCGTAAAAATACACATATTGACCAAAAAAAAAACCAACATGCAAAAATGTGCTTCCTTGGGGTAAATTGCTTGCAAAATTAGTCAAAACTGCATGGGTTTATTAGGAGAAATTCACACAAAAATGCTGGTCAATTTTCATTAGGTTTTCTTAAAAAAAAAAAAATCTGCAAATTGCTGCAGAAACGGGGAGAACCAGATATAAGATTGAAAGAATGAGAAACTGAGAGAACCGGAACTGACAAATCCATCCGTCTCTCCTCGCAACCGACCCAGATCTGTCCCAATTGCAGAAGAGCATCGTCTTGTTCTTAAGTCTGCGTTGAGGATTGCTTTTAATCTTCCAGGCTTGCCTTTTGTGTGCATTTTATGAAAATGTTTTTTTCCCCCTGCGATGGCGATTTTAATTTACGTAAGCCGCCTCAAGTGGGGCATAAGCCCCTGAAAGGCAGAGAAGAAATCTCAGGAACATTTAAAAAAAATAATAATAATAAAAATAGAATTAGATGCGGAGTCCTCCGCTTTAAACTCAGCCCACAAACTCGCTGTTCTGTGAAAAATACCAGTCAAGGGTGCCTGTGTTAGCAAGATAAACCGTGAGAAGGACTGGCAGCTGAAACCTAACTAAATTATCGTGAGGTTAAATCATGCTGCTGTTGTTGTTGTAGTAGGTGAATTCCTCACAGCTTTCCTTTCACAGAATTGCAAGCACGGGAGAAAAACCCAGAGGCCGCCTAGATCAGCTTTCCCCAGATATTTCAGACTAAAACTCCCACCAGCCGCAGCCAGCAGGGCCACTGGGCATGGGAGTTGTGGTCCAAAATATATAGAGGGCGCCAGGTTGGGGGACGCTGATTTAGATCGACCCCTGGCCGAGGGTAGGAGCACCTATCAGCCCCACCCTTACCCGCTCTGATCAGGCGGTTTAATCCGAATTATGGCGCAGGGCCGGCTCAAGCGTTGGGCAGATTGGAGCAGCTGCCGCAGCCTCAATGCCTGGGATGGAGGAAGACGCCATCTTGCCCTCTGCCTCAGGCGGCAAAATGTCTTGGGCCGGCTCCTATGCAATGTGTGGCTAGGGTTGACCAATCCCCGCATTTGTGGGATGCTCTCCCCAGGTTCAGCTGGCATCTTCATTATACACTTTTAGGTGCCCTGCAAAAACATTCCTCTTCAACCAGACCTTGGGCTGATTGACATCCGATTCAGTTTTAAACGTGTCTTTGGTACGGGTGGAGGGTTACTGCTTTGCTTCTGTTCGAGTTTTCATTATGTATTTTGTGTTTTTTAGCTTGTGTTTTAATGCTGTGAACAGCCCTGGGATCTACGGATGAAGGGTGGTATACAAATATTATCAATAATGTCAACAACAACAACAGGGCCTTCTCGGTAGTGGCCCCTACCCTGTGGAATGCCTTCCCAAGATGCGGGTGGCGCTGTGGGTTAAACCACAGAGCCTAGGACTTGCCGATCAGAAGGTCGGCGGTTCAAATCCCCTTGACGGGGTGAGCTCCCGTTGCTCGGTCCCTGCTCCTGCCAACCTAGCAGTTCGAAAGCATGCCAGTGCAAGTAGATAAATAGGTAGCGCTCCGGCGGGAAGGTAAACGGCGTTTCCGTGTGCTGCTCTGGTTCGCCAGAAGCGGCTTAGTCCTGCTGGCCACATGACCCGGAAGCTGTACGCCGGCTCCCTCAGCCAATAAAGCGAGATGAGCGCCGCAACCCCAGAGTCGGCCACGACTGGACCTAATGGTCAGGGGTCCCTTTACCTTTTAAAATAATATAACATTTAGTAAATGTCTGAAGGCAGCCCCGTATTAAGGTTTTACGGTGTTTAAGGTTTAACGTTATGTGCTGGAAGCCGCCCGGAGTGGCTGGGTACAAATAATGAGTTGTTGTTGTTGCAGGGCCAACCAGCCCCAGGTAGTTGGGCCCAGCAGCCGCCATTTTGATTTCCCAACATGACCCCAACAGAGCATCACTCCAAAGCCCTGTGGGAAAGTAAAATGGTGGCTGGAGCCCTGTTACCTGGTGCTACCTGCAGAACAAAAATGAAATTTAAAAAGGTAGCAAGGCGGCTGTCTCAGCGGGCCCTGACTGGGCGTGGGGCACATCAGTCGCACAAAAGATGTCACGCTTTGGATGTTGGGGCCGGCAAAATAATAAAAAAAATATATTCGTTTGTTACATTTCTATATCGCCTTTGCCTTCCAAGGATCTCAAAGTGGTGCACATGGTTCTCTTGCTCCCCATTTCATCCTCACAACCTACCTGTGAGGTAGGTTAAGTGACTGACTACAAGGTCCAGGGTCGGATTTAGGTTTGATGAGGCCCTAAGCAAGGTATTGGGGCCCTTTATATGTCCAGCTGTCCTTTGTCAACAACAAATTGTCGCTGTTTGTTGTGATGAATATATGCTATATGGTAATTGATGGACCTCATAGGTATCTCAAGCCATTTGCCCAAGTTGCCCTGCAACCAGTCCATGCAGAATGTAGGCACCCTATATATAGAAAGGAGCAAACCAGTGATATTTTAGGGAGCAGGCGAGCAGGCGGGGCCCGTGACTTACATCACAGGAGCCTACATAACACAAAACACTGTTGCTGTCTGTAGGTTTTATTTTATTTGTTTTGTATCTTATATTTTGGAAATGTACAGGTGAAACTCGAAAAATTAGAATATCGTGGAATTTCAGGAATTCAACTTCAAAGGTGAAACTAATATATGAGATCGACTCATGACATGCAAAGTGAGATATGCTTCTACTTCTCAGAGGTCCAATCTTGCTCGATTTGCAATCCTTGTTTTGCTGATTTCCTTGAATATTCTAATTTTCTGAGATTGTTAATTTGGGGTTTTCATAAGCTGGAACGCCATGATCATCGCAACGATAACAAATCAAGGCTTGACAGATCTTGCTTTGCATGTCACGAGTTATCTCATATATTAGTTTCACCTTTCAAGCTGAATTATGAAAATAAAGGAACTTTTCTACGAGATTCTAGTTTCGAGAACAAATCAAGGCTTGACATATCTCGCTTTGCATGTCACGAGTCTATCTCATATATTAGTTTCACCTTTGAAGTTGAATTAGTGAAATAAAGGAACTTTTCCACGATATTCGAATTTTTCGAGATTCACCTGCATATCCAAGGTTTTTTTCGTTTAATTTTTTTGGGGGGCCCCAAGAGAGCGGGGCCTAAGCTACAGCTTGTTTAGCTTATACAGTGGTACCTCGGGTTAAGTATTTAATTCGTTCCGGAGGTCCGTTCTTAACCTGAAACTGTTCTTAACCTGAAGCACCACTTTAGCTAATGGGGCCTCCTGCTGCCGCCGTGCTGCCGGAGCACGATTTCTGTTCTCATCCTGAAGCAAAGTTCTTAACCTGAAGCTCTATTTCTGGGTTAGCGGAGTCTGTAACCTGAAGCGTATGTAACCCGAGGTACCACTGTACGTAAATCCGGCAATGCCAAGGTTACGCAGGGCACGTCATGGCCAAGTGGGGATTCGAACCCTGCCCTCTCAGGCCCTAGTCCGACACTCTATTGCGCCACATCATGCTCTCTTCCCCAGTCCTGCGGTTTCCAGCAACTGGTATAAGGCCACACGCAGATCCGTTACTCCTGGACTGGGCACTGTCATGTGTTCACAGGGTGGGACTTTGCCCACCCTACTGAGACCTGATGAAGCGGGGACTCTGACCGGGTGCTTTTCCGGAAGGTTCCAAGCTGGCGATGCCACGCGGCATCCCGAAGCCTTCGGGTTCTCTCGTTCCGCCTCTGCGAGGGAAACGGGGGACCCTAATGGATTTTTAAAAAGAAGAAAGAGAGAGATTTGGGGGGGGGGTGTTTCGCGTGCAGTGCGCGGCGTGGGACTCTCTCTCGCTGGCAGCTGCCGGGGGCTCTGGGAAGCTGGGCCCGTCGGTTCAGTTTAGACTCGCTCGGCTGAGCCCTCACAAAGAACACGCCTGGCCGGTGGGGGGCCACCCTTCGCGAGGCTGCAGACGCAGGACAGGCATGGGAGACGGCCGTGCCCACCCCCCTCTCGGTGCCCACCTCCCCGCCAAATGGCCGGGGCCTGCTTGCTTGCCCAAGCCCCCCTCTCCTAGTCCACGGGCTCCTGGCAATTGAGGGCATCCTGCGATTTCTTTAAAAGGACAACACATCCTTTTTGACTTTTTGCAGCTGCACTCTCCAAAATTAAAAGTTTCAAAAAAGAAATAAATAAAAAAGACAAGTCAGGGTTTGGCTCTCGGCGACCACTGCACCTTTCGGCCTAGTGGGTGCCCGCCTTCTAACCTTAGGTATATTGAGAGGGTGTGTGCTTGGCCAGCTTGGATATGCATTTAAAAATATTAAACTGCTTTCCCTGATACTTGCCAGGGATATAATATCTGAGCGAATGGAATGATTTACAAGGGCTGCCCAGGTTGGAGGGAGCTGGGGGCTGGCACCGTCGTGAAGCGGTGCCCTCGGGCTTGTTAGTCCTCGGAGGGAGGAGATTTGTGGCAGCCGCCCCCCCTCGGCACCCGCGAGAGCGATGCGCCCCATTTCCTCATGGCACTGGAAACGCGGCCATCACCGTTTGATTATTTCTGCCCAAGCTTTCTAGGGAAAGTGATGGAAAAAATGTTGTGGTTCCTGCATTTGGGGGTTGGTCTGGATGACCCTCGGGATCCCTTTCAGCTCTGTCGTTCTGTGATTCTACGGTGGCTGGGCTTTGTGGCGCCAATTAAGGCAGGCAAAACGTGCTGAGATGCAGCCACTTTTTTGGGGCGGGGGGGCTTTAAATGAGTGGCTTGCCGTTTCCTCTTCCATCACTTCCTGTCCTAGATGGTGCCACCACCTTCCCTGCCCCCAGCCAGCCGATTTCCTTCTTCCCTTCCCTCCTTCCACTCAGCTGTCTCGTGCTCTACCTCATGCTTGGCTGGGCATAAATTCATTTGAAGGGGGAGGAAAAACTGGGTCAACGACGCCTTGCCACCACCACTGGAAAAAACCCCCACTATGTCCGCCCTGATGCTCCCATCACCTGGCTTTGAGGGAGGGGGGCGGCGGGAAGTGTCAGTGTCTGGGGTGGGGGAAAGTGGTGGAAAAGCTGGTGGCTGTCTTGCCCGGTGGGTAGAGCAATGACCTTGATTTGTAAAAATATATATATAAATATAAAAAATAAGGTGAAAACAACGGCAACTGTAGAGATCTGGCTTCCCTTGCTTGCCCGCCCCCCCCCCCCCCGGTTGGGCGGAGGAGGAGACGCAGGGTGGTCAAGTGGGTTTCTTTCAACATTCGTCTGCTTGCCCAGGGGCACAACGCAGGCTGCAAAGCAGAGAGGACGGAAGAAAAGGCAGAAAGAGGAAGATATATATATATATCTGTATCTATATAAATTGTGTGTGTGCGTCTTTGAGAGGAGAGGGAACGGGAAACTGCTATCCACCATCCTTGGCAGCCATGCAAACCCCATATATCTGGGCCCGCGTGGCCCTAAACAACAACCCCACAGATATCGCTTGCACGCCCTGGGGCAGGAAACGGGACTTTGCATTAAACGGGGTCCCTGGTGCACACCCTCCCCCCTTCAGAAACAGTCGCATCTCAGAAATGGTCGACACGGGAGTAGGGAGGGCGCTTTATGCTCGCAAGAGGAAGGGGGGGAGTTGAGTTACACACACAGACACACCATGGAAAGAGCAGACAAATTGGTGTGTGTGTGTGTGTGCGCGCATGCGTCCGGGCTGGGGGCTGGGGGGGTGGAGATTGGCTGGTTACCCCAAAGTGGCTGCTGTGGTACAGCCAAGTGGCTGGCTCATACAGGTTTGCCAGGAGACAGTTGCCATGGCGATGGCTGAAGGGCCACCCCAGGCAGCCGGAGCTGATGAGACAGGGATGCTGAGGGGTGGGGAGAGGAAAGGGGAGGGGGGGTTAAAGGACTTGGTCCCTCTCCTCTTCCTTAAAAGATCAGGGGACGCTCACCAGCCGTGCCCCAAAATGTATCCCTCTTCCTTTGCCCCGAGGACTGAGATGGGCTAGAATAGGCCTTAGGATAGCCTAGTCAGCCTCAAATTCCCCCCAAAGGCCTAGTCCCTTTAAATGCCGAACTCCCAGCCTCCCTCACACGGTATCATTGGTTTCCAACAAGATAAACCCTGGGCAACGGCCACGCATTGCAGGTGGGGCTGCCCATGAAAAGAAAAAAAGATGGCGGTGAAACTACTGTGGTTGCCACATTTCCCTACTTTCTTGGAAGAGGCGCAAAGCCTGCCTTTTCTGTGAAGCCACCAACAGAATCAGCTCGCCTCCGTGCCCAACAGGCGCCCTCCAGGCGTTTTGAACTACAACTCCCGTCGGTCCCAGCCAGCCGCAATGAACCCCAGTATCCGAAACAAACGCACACATCCTTCTCTGCCCTCACCCTGCTATTCCCCCTGCCCACCTCTCTCCCTTTGTTTCCCTTCTGTTTGTCTCCTAGGATGTTTGCCCCTTGGGGGCAGAGACCCGAGCTTTCCTTCTTTGTAATTCGCCGTGTACACGGATGGCGCCACATCACCATCACCAACAGCGGCAGCAGCTACGGATGTTGCAAGTCGTTAAGGAAAAGGTGACTGATTATTCACGGAGTAGGTGTGGGCGCTCCTTGGCAGCAATGGGCGCATTTAATGTTCTGCTCTCCACCGCTGTGCCAGGGAATAGGCGCCTTCCGCCTTCCAAGAAGCGCACGTTCCCGCTTTTCCTGCCTCCCACTTCTCCTGCCCCAGGTATGCCTGGGGGCCCACGGGAAGCAGGCAGTTAAAGCACCCCCAGCTGTGTTTTGTGGACGTGCCACTTGGACCTTGTGCAAAAACATCGATCCTGTCAGGATGGAAGAATGTCTCAGTGCTGTTTCCCCCCGTTTTCCAACCTTGTATTCAATGCATCCAATTTCTTCCCCCATTTGTACATTTTTCTTTGCAAATGGTTCACACAAAAATCTGCGTTTTCACGCACATTTCCCGATACATCTCCATTTTGGTACACCTTTTTTCTTCTTCTAAGACTTTGGAGCACATTTTTGGGTGGCTGGAGAACAGCGTCGCGACATCCAGAGACGTGCACAGTTTTTAAGGATGTTTGGGTTTGCTTATTGGCCCGGGCAGTCTGAATTACCATATTTTTCGCTCTATAAGACGCACCAGACCATAAGACGCACCTAGTTTTTGGAGGAGGAAAACAAGAAAAAAAATATTCAGAATCTCAGAAGCCAGAACAGCAAGAGGGATCGCTGCGCAGTGAAAGCAGCAATCCCTCTTGCTGTTCTGGCTTCTGGGATAGCTGTGCAGCCTGCATTTGCTCCATAAGACACACACACATTTCCCCTTACTTTTTAGGAGGGAAAAAGTGAGTCTTATAGAGCAAAAAAATACGGTAAGTAAATTCACTTTCGAATGCAATCCAAACCAATTTCTCCCCCATTCTGTTCTTAGGGCATACATGCAAAGGAATTGAGGCACTTTCGGAACAAATAAAGGGCTGCTCGTTCATCCCTAGCCACCAACGTCATTGACTTCTGGGTGCAATTCAAAGGACTGGTTGTGCCCTAAAAACAGCCCTATGTGGCCAGGGACAAGAATATCTGAAGGATGGTCACCATCTCTTGTCTCCCCGTATAACTGAGATCTATCTCTGGTTGATTTGTATCCCATCTTTCCACCAGCAGCAGTGCAAATACAAAGATGCCATAAGATGCAACAACATCAATCTCTTTAGTGTTGTTTTTAAACAGGCACCCATGTTGTGCTTTAATTTGGTTTTATTGTTTCATTCTGATTGTTTTTAATTTTTGCTGACTGCCTTCCTCTTTAGTCTGTTGGAAAGTTGCAATGATAAATAGGTGCATTCCATATACTACGCGGGGGGGTGCGGGTGGCGCTGTGGGTTAAACCACAGAGACTAGGGCTTGCCGATCAGAAGGTCGGCGGTTCGAATGCCCACGATGGGGTGAGCTCCCATTGCTCAGTCCCTGCTCCTGCCAACCTAGCAGTTCGAAAGCATGAAGTGCAAGTAGATAAATTGGTACCACTCCGGCAGGAAGGTAAACGGTGTTTCCGTGCGCTGCTCTGGTTCGCCAGAAGCGGCTTAGTCATGCCGGCCACATGACCCGGAAGCTGTACGCCGGCTCCCTCGGCCAATAAAGCAAGATGAACACCACAACCCCCGAGTCGTCCGTGACTGGACCCAACGGTCAGACGTCCCTTTACCTTTACCTATATACTACGCATTAGATAGAAGCACACAAGCCCTGCTCCCACAGGTACATACACACAATACCCTTAAAGAACATTGGAAACACATTCTTATCCTCAAAAGATTCTGGAGACTATAGTTTACCCCTCCAGAGTTCCAATCCCTAGCAACCCTCGAACTACAGTGCCCAGAATTCCTTTCGGTAAATAATATGCTTTAAAGCAGGGTTTCCCAAAATTGGGCCTCCAGCTATTTTTGGGACTACATTTCCCATCATCCCTAACCACTGGTCCTACTAGCTAGGGATGATGGGAGTTGTAGTCCAAGAACAGCTAGGGACCCAAGTTTGGGAAACCTTGCTTTAAAGGCACAATGTGTATGCAGCCACAATTCCTCTCAGCTACCTCTGATCTGAACATTATTTTTAAGGATCTCTTACACACTCTCTCTCTCTTTCTCAATATCCTGTGTGGTGCATGGGTTTTTACCACGATTTCCTGTTCCTTCAGCCGCATCTACCGCCTGCCAGACTGGCGGCGGCACCTATCGACGGCTACAGACGTCTCAAGGCCTCACAATTCTGTGCAAGCGTGGGATTTGGTCTGCGGAGGGGACGCGCAGAAAGAAAAGGAAGTTTCCCTACCCCCCTTCCCCAGGGTGTTAAAACTTACTGATGATGTAATAGTCTTGGTTGGTCTTGAACTCGTGGCCCCAGAGGTTGGGGCTGTACTCCTGGAACTTGATTGTGAAGCGCATGTCTTGCTCGGGCCGGTCGCAGGTGAGCAGCAGGTTGGGGGTGCGGAGAATCTCGCAGCGCTCGGCCTGCTCCGTCTGGACCAGGTACAGCTTGTAATATTCATAGTCCTCTGTGGAAAAAGGGCCCAGCGGCACAGAGCGGGGGCAGATGAGGTCCAGGCGGTCGCCAATCTGGGGGTACAAAACGTAGCCCTCCTCGTTCTGGAACCTGAGGGAGCAATGGATAAAATCGGCTCAGTGGAGCACACTTGAGAGCCAAGATCCTTTCATTCTTTCTTTTCAAGTACTTTTTATTGAGATTTAAGAACACCACCACCAACCAACAAAAACATCAAGTCTTGTTACAGATATCCTACTTTATGCTCCATAGAGCTGTTGACTTCCGTCCTTCCCTTCCGCAAGTTTTCTCATTCCAGTCTATAATTCACAGTTTCACTGATTAAAAATTACACCATGACATAAGAATTAATTCAATCCTGCCAACGTTTTCATATTTCTACAGTTCTCACTTATATAAACCATGAATTTAATCCATTCTTTTTGGTACTTCGTCTCCTCCTGATTGCGAATTCTGTGTGTCAATTTTGCCATTTCAGCGTATTCAACCAACTTTATCTGCCATTCCCTTACAGTCGGAATCTCCTGTGACTTCCACTTTTGGGCTATCAAAACTCTAGCTGCTGTTGTTGCATACAAATATAATCTTTGGTCTGTCTTCTTAATATCTTCTCCCACCAAGCCTAGCAAAAATTCTTCCGGCTTTTTTGGAAAAGTATATTTAAACGTCTTTTTTAACTCATTATAGATCGATTCCCAAAACTCTTTTATTTTGTTACATGACCACCACATATGGTAAAAATCGCCATCCTTTTCCTTACATTTCCAGCAATTTTTGCTACTTGTCCCATACATAGGACCCTGCATTCTTTCAACCAGCCTCCCTCGTAACAACAAAACCCAGCGGCCCCAGCGCCTGGGGAAGTTTGCTTGATGTCCATTTCCAGGACGGTTCGAAGGTCCAACCAGGTTCCCTTCAAAGCACCTGGGATCTTGTTCTCTAAGAAGAGAGTGGCCTAGCACCCAGGGTGCCCGAGGGAGAAGGGGACCCCGCGGTGCTTAATTACGAAACCAACGTTAAATAAGTTGGAGTTCTTGTTATTAAATATACCAAGAAAAAAGCACACCAAGAACTCAGGCCAATATAAGTTTCAGTAGTGGGAGTGGTCCCTACTCGCAAATCAATAGTCAATTGTAACAAAAACTAATCCATTCAAAAGTATGCACAGTGGTGCCTCGCAAGACGAAATTAATCCGTTCTGCGAGTCTCTTCGTCTTGCGGTTTTTTCGTCTTGCGAAGCACGGCTATTAGCGGCTTAGCGGCTATTAACAGCTTAGCGGCTTTAAGAAAAAGGAAACAAACTCGCAAGAACTCGCAAGACGTTTCGTCTTGCGAAGCAAGCCTATAGGGAAATTCGTCCTGCGGAACGACTCAAAAAACGGAAAACTCTTTCGTCTTGCGCGTTTTTCGTCTTGCGAGGCATTCGTCTTGCGGGGCACCACTGTATTCTGACAAAGATTGCAAACTCAAATCACTGACTTCTGCTCAATGATTGAAACTAAGACCTTCACGTCAAATCTAACTAAGGACTAATATGAACTTATCTCTACTCATAAACTCTTATCTCTAATTCTGTAACGAATTATTGTGTTATGGTTCCTTATGCGTTTGTAATCTCTGTTTGAGTTTGTAATCCTTGGCAGAATACATACTTTTGAATGGGTTAGTTTTTGTTACACCTGGCTACTGATTTGTGATTAGAGACCACTCTCAATATTGAAACTTATATTGGCCTGAGTTATTGGTTTAATTACGAAAGCAAAGCAACAGGTGTTGCTAGCAGTGAGAAGCAAGATCGAAAACACAGTCGTGTTGGGGCTGGTTTGTGGAAGGGACATTTCTCTGCGGAAAGGCTTTCTGCAGACGCTCAGAGACACCAGCCTTTTAATGCTCAACGGGCTGAGCCCAGACGTTGGAAGAAACTACTGGTATTAAATTAAGCCAGGAAGGTTTAAGGCTCTCTGTAACCGGAAATTTGGTGGACACCTTCCAATATCATTGGAAACATGTCAGTTTCCCCATCACACGCCCAGCTGCAAACAGCTTCTCATGGCAAGCAGTGGGGTGAGGTGGTTAAGAGTCTTGGACTAGCAACTGGGAAAGACCAGGGCTCCAGTCCCCATCCGGCCATATGGAGCTTGCTGGATGACCCCTGTCTCTTGGCCTATCCTACCTCACAGGGCTTTTGCAATGCTAAAATGGGGCTTGAGAGAAGCATTGTTTACATTGGTGTATGCAACATTTGAGAGGCACGCGGGTGGTGCTGTGGGTTAAACCACAGAGCCTAGGACTTGCCGATCAGAAGGTCGGCGGTTCGAATCCCCGCGACGGGGTGAGCTCCCGTTGCTCGGTCCCTGCTCTTGCCAACCTAGCAGTTCGAAAGCACGTCAAAGTGCAAGTAGATAAATAGGTACCGCTCCGGCGGGAAGGTAAACGGCGTTTCCGTGCGCTGCTCTGGTTCGCCAGAAGCGGCTTAGTCATGCCGGCCACATGACCCGGAAGCTGTACACCGGCTCCCTTGGCAATAAAGCGAGATGAGCGCCGCAACCCCAGAGTCGGCCACGACTGGACCTAACGGTCCGGGGTCCCTTTACCTTTACCTTGTGCAACATTTGCAGATGTCAGCACCTTCCAGGTGCTTTGTACTACAACTCACAGTTGGTCCCAGGTTTTGGAAGGCAGGTCTACACACACACACACACACACACACACACACACACACAATACTTTTTGCTTCACTCTCACCCCAGGACAAACAGGTGCCCTTTCTCAAGAGAACAAAAGCCCTATACTGACTCCGTTCACCAGAGGCACAGGCAGGACCGGTGAACACACCACAATGACCTGCCACCCTGGCCCACTTTGCGTTTTTGCAAATCTCCTTCTAGGTTTATAAATCAGGGCTGCAAATTTTAATTCACTGATTGGTTCGGCTAATCAATTTCAGAAGCCTTTTAAAAGTTTGCTGGGGAAGAACATCTCCACAACATGTGGGAACCATTCATCCCTAGTGAAAGTGTAAGGAGCTGGGCTGCTTTAGGGTTGCTGGTGGTGAAAAAAAAATTAAATAAGCGTAGCATTTTGACTAAAAGTCATCACGAGAGCTTTTTGTCGGTTTTGGTGTAGTTTGGAGCGTTGTAACCTTTTGCCACGTCTTCCTAGATTGCCCCCGCCTGCCAAAATTGTTTGTATTTTGCAATCAACTGAAAATAACGCCCATATTTGACAAGTCATTTTGGCTCACCTGCCAAAATCAGACAAAAACTGTGCATAGTGAGCACTTTCTCTACAGAGGCAACTACCACCAGACATTTCAGGTATTTGACCAGAAGTCTCTAAGATAATGTCTGCTATGACAATAATAATAATATAATAATAATAATTTATTATTTATACCCCGCCCATCTGGCTGGGTTTCCCCAGCCACTCTGGGCGGCTTTCAACAGAATATTAAAATACAAAATGCAGGAATCATAAAACACAGACAAGAGACCGTGTTTCCTCGCTTCAGAACGACTGTTTTTGCCCATATGCAAATTATGCAAATTTAATCAACTGATTAACTGACAAAAACTCCCGCGACTGAAAAACGAAGGTTTCTGCAACTGGCTTGGCAGCCCTACTTATAAATGCCCTGACATTTGGAGGCGTTTAGCACATCCCTTTAAATAATAATAATATTAATAATAATCACGCAAAATCCTATTTTAAAAGCAACTGATTGAACTTGCCTCAAAGACCGCAAAATATAAAGCCCAGAAGTTCTGTGTTTTTCCACCTCCAGGGTGAAGTTCTTTGCATCTGTCTTTAATTTGCATTTCTTGGTCTATCCTCCGCGCCATCCTTCCCGAAAACAGCAGGACACCCCCCCACTCTCCCTGCTCTATCAGTTGGTCCCACATGCCCTCGGAGCATCATGCGCCGCCCCCAAACCCATGCAAGGAACCATCAGAGAACCGACCCAAGAATTCCAACCCTGTATTCAAACCTGTTGACATTTGACCCCAGAGCCGCCTGTCCCCAGCCCCCTGGGACAGATCAGCTGCCAAATGAGATAATAGCCCAGGAGGAGAAGAGGCCAGGGGTGGTGGTGTGGTTAGCAGAGCAGCGGATAAAAGACTCCTGGGTCCTACCCCTTGCTCAAAAAAGGAGGGGAGTGGCAGCCGTAGGGATTCCTAGGATCTACCCTCCAGCCTTAAGTCATTTGGCCCTGCAAATGTCTCGGCCGAGGGGTGACCTGGGACAGGGGCAGCTCAGTCCGAGCCAGACCTTCACCAAAATCTGCAAAAAAAATGTGAATATTAACTGGGCAGCAGTGTTTGAAGAGGGGCAGGAGAATTGCCACAAACCAGCAATAAGGCAAGAGCCAAAGTTGGCTTGCAGCTGGGTATACTGTATTTTTTGCTCTATAAGACTCACTTTTTCCCTCCTAAAAAGTAAGGGGAAATGTGTGTGCGTCTTATGGAGCAAATGCAGGCTGCGCAGCTATCCCAGAAGCCAGAACAGCAAGAGGGATTGCTGCTTTCACTGTGCAGTGATCCCTCTTGCTGTTCTGGCTTTTGAGAGTCAGAATATTTTTTTCCCTTGTTTTCCTCCTCCAAAAACTAGGTGCGTCTTGTGGTCTGGTGCATCCTATAGAGCGAAAAATACGGTAATTCAGAGGCCAAATGGAGCACTTCTGAGAAGGGCCACGTCACACAAGGCCTCGGGGTTGTGTTGCCATGCAGCTGGTGGGCAGCAGGTACAGTACAAGCCTTCTCAGGCTTGCTTAAGGGATGGCATTATTTAAAGCACCCTGACTCCGTTCCCCCAACATCCCAAATCAAACATACATCTGCAGAACCCAGTCAGTTCCACTAATCCCCCATCTTCCATTCTACATGCTGAACAGAGCAATGCAACTAGAGAAGATACTGTGAAAATACAAAGCTAGATGGACCAAAGCGGTTTCCCGAGTTTCCAAGCATTCCCTTGGGGGGGAAAAAATCACATTCTCCCTCCTAGAAAAATGTGATTTCCCCAAATAATGCAGAATGCAGTTCGTGAATCGTATGTGGCTGGCACCTACTGGCCAGTGCCAATGCCGCCGCGTTGCTTCAATTTTGTTTTTGCTTCCTCAAAAGCGTAGCACTCCTCACACAACTTTTGGAATGAATCGACAGGAAACATAGGCATGGCTGCCCTTCTGTATCAACAATGCCCACTACTTTTCCTTCTCCCATACAGTGGTACCTCAGGTTAAGTACTTAATTCGTTCCGGAGGTCCATTCTTAACCTGAAACTGTTCTTAACCTGAAGCACCACTTTAGCTAATGGGGCCTCCTGCTGCCGCTGCACGATTTCTGTTCTCATCCTGAAGCAAAGTTCTTAACCTGAAGCACTATTTCTGGGTTAGCGGAGTCTGTAACCTGAAGCGTATGTAACCCGAGGTACCACTGTACTTTAAAATCAGCCTTCTCCAACCCGGGCTGCTCTTTGGACCCGCTGATGGGAATTGTAGTCCACAACATCCAGAGCAACCTAGGTTGGAGAAAGCTTTTCTTTTTTTTAAAGTAGTTCTTTCAAAGCTCATTTATTTTTCTCGCTTGGGGATGGGTTGCCTCGATCTAGCACCGACAGAGCACTAAAAATAAAAGTCATTTTATTTCGCTGTGCGGAAAGTCGCCGGGAAACACATGATGAAATAGGGCCTTGATGGGAAAAATGACGACTTTTCCGCGCTGCAAAACAGGGATATGGCAAAGTCACTTACACGTGTTAACGGACATGCCCTGACCTGCCAGTATAACCACACACACTTGAACCTTTGGCCAACGGATACTCAAAATGCCAAGCCCATTGCACAGCTCCGGCAGGCAAGGGGAGAAAGGCAAACTTTGGAAACAGCTGATCTAGCAGCCTTGCATACCAGTCTCCTACCCCAGCCGTCTTGTTCCTGGAGGGCAAGAGCAGAGCAGCTGCTCTCTGCATGCAAAAGGTCCTGGGTTCAAATCCCAGCAGCTCCGGGTATGGCCGGAAGCCCTGCCTGAAATCCCGGCAAGCCTCTGTCAGTCAGTGTAGACATTATAGGGTTAGATGGCTCCAGGATTTGACTTGGCACAGGGCAACGGCCTATGCTTCTAAGCTGGAGAGGAGAGAACCCAGGAGTCCTAGCTCTGGGGCTACAATCAGCACACACCTTGTTTTCCTTTTATAGAACTGAAGGGGGGGGTGTACGGATGACTTCATTAGGGGGGAACCTGGCTCTCATTCCTGGCGCCCGAGTACTTTCTGTTCCAAAACGTTAAAGAAACAAGGACAAAAACAAACGCAGCACACACACACACACACACTCCGCCTTCACCCCCCCCCCCGCAGTGGGACCCAGGCATCCGGGCTCTCCTCAGCGCCCTCTCTCCCACACCCCAGGGAAACCAGCTCCCTAAGAGAATGAACTAGGCTCAGCTGCAATCGCTTCTGAAGGAACCCAGGCGTCCTGACACAGGCGTCCCCTTCGCCCTCCCCAACACAGAACCCCGGAGTCCTGGCTGCGAGGCCTGCCCCAAGCACAGGCCTAATTCCGCCCCCCCCGAGGATCCAAGGGGGATCCTTACCTGCCCCACATCTCCAAAACAACAGCGGCCTATGGGAGGCCCCGTCGCCCAACTCTTTTCCAGAGGTGCCCCCCCCCATCCCTTGAAAAAACAAGCTCAGGCATTGGGGCCCCCAGTACAAGATGCTCCACTCAGGGAGCCCAAGAACGGCGGCCATGTGCCCCTCATCCTAGATTTCCCCCCCCCATGCAAAAACCAAGCCCCAATCCTTTCCCCCAGGGGTGTTCCTGGTAGGAAGGGTACAATGGCTACCGTCGCCGTGGCAACACATGCCAACTGGTGATGGAGGGGCCTAGCAGGAAGCGGGTGGGTACCTCTCTAGGGTCACGAGAGGGGGCAAAGTGTGTGTGTGTGTGTGTGTGTGTGTGCATGCATTAATTTTGGGGGGGGGGGAGCTCCTCATTCTTTCCAACCGGATGTGACTCTTTTGTGGTCCAGACCAAAACTTGGGGCCTGGTAGCAGGTCTCTCTCTCTGCCTCTCCCAATTCATGGAAATGGGTCTGGAACCATTTTGGGGGGGGCAGTAGGACCTGTTGCTTCTTCTTGCCCCCCCTCCCCTCGCACCACCCTCCCCTTCCCCGCTGCCCCTCCTCCTCTCCTGTAACGGGGTCATGGGCTCAGCTGGAATTGGGGAGGGCGAGGGCGAGGAGATGAAATGGAAAGTGACAGCTCAGGAAAGGAGCTAACGAGAAAATGGAAAAAAGGGGGAGAAAGAGAGGGCGGGAGCGAAAGAGAGAGAGAGAGAGAGGAGAGGGGAGATCCTCCACCCATCGTTGGGAACTCAGGAGTCCTGGAATATAATTCCACGTCTGCGATGACCCACTGGGCCTCCCCTTCCCCCTACGCCACTGGAGGGAACCCAGGAGTCCTGGCTCACAGCAGTCTAGGCTATAAAGTCTCCCTTTCCCCCACCTCTTCCTGGTCAAACTCATTATGATCCAGTTTCCAGAAAACCCAAGATTCTTGGCTTCCAACCATTAGGCAACAATCTCTTTCTCCCACCCCACCCTCTGCAGAAACTACCTCTCCCCTTCTTGCTTGGCTGCTCCAATTGGGAACCCCCAATTCAAGAGAGCCCAGGGCTGTGTACACACCATATATTTAAAAGCGCATTCTCCAACACCACCCCAAAGAATCTTGGTGGTTTGCTCCCAAGTAGAGCTACAATGCAAAGCACCATTAACAAACTACAGTTCCCAGGATATTTTTTTTCGGGGGGGGGATCTGCTTTCAATGTATGGTGCCCCATCACCCAGCATGCCCCTCTTCAGCCCCCCTCCTTGTCTCTTCGTCAAGCAGGAATGTAATCTCTGTACTCCTGGTTAAATATTAGAGACCCCACTGCTCTCCGCTCTCCTTCTCTGCCGGTGTGACCCCTGCGGCTTACACTGCATGTCCTGTTCCAGCTCGTTGGAGGGAGAAGCTTTCTGATTCCTATCAGCTGTGGGGTTGGGGGGGTGGCCAGACCTGATTGCCTCAGCCACCTTGCCCTTAATGAAATAATTAACTCCTCCTGACCTCCCCTGCCCCGAGACAGAAAAAGACCCACATCACACACAGAGCCCCCCTTGTTCAGAGGGGATGCACAGCTGCCGCAAAGCGGGTGGGGTGCTGGGGAGGCACCCGCAAAAAGTTGCAGCTGCCTCTGGGGTGGACCAGTTGGTGAGGCGCCGACCCTGAGATTGCAGCCGCTTCTGGGGAAAGGCGGAGAAGAGCTTTCGCTATTTCGAACGGGGAACCGTGCAGCCAGACTGATGTCTGCCTTCAAGTCACTTCATTCGAGTCTCCACACTTATCTTTCGCCCCACAGAAAACCTGAATTGCTATTTGTTCCGATTCAGCATTAAAGAGCGGGTTTTCGCAGGGGCAAAAATGTATTTTTTAAAAAAAGTGGTCAGATGCAGCGATTTAAAGACAGCACAAAAGGAAGTCTGGAGGAACCGGCGGGCTTTTCCCCGGAACGCTGTCCGAGATGCGTGTGGGCTGGTTGCTGTGAGCCACAGGGCACACTGCACGTGCTCAGAGGCACACTTACTGCTTCATTAATGTTGTATTTTAATCTTTTTTTTTAAGTTGTATTCCAATCAATTTGTTTTTATATTGGATGTTAGCTGCCCTGAGCCCGGTCTTGGCTGGGGAGGGTGGGGTATAAATAAAATTTATTATTATTACTATTATTATTATTATTATCCATGTTCCCAGGGCCCAACAGAGTGGCTTTGGATGCAGACAGATAGGCCTGCGAAGGCAGCTATTTGCTGACATCGCAGGTGTGCTTATACAGCGCCATCCATGTGCGTGGTCGGGTTTGCAGAGCCTAACAGGTAAAAAAAAGGCAGGTCTCTGCTGCCAGGCGCTTACAATCGCCGGTAGGCGTGGGAGCGAACAAAGGAAGAGGCTGGAAGTGATGGGCAAAGGCAGTTAAAACACAGTTAAAATTTGGTAAGAGTCCTGAATGCGGGCAGCTGAGGATATACGATTCCTTGCCCGAGGCTCTGCTACAGCTGCCTCTGGAGAGGAGCACATAAGTGTTTGAAAAAGGAGGGAAGGGAGGGTGACCGAGCGAGTGTGTATGTGTGCATTTTTTCCAGGACTCCTGGGTCCTCGGAGCTGGAGTTTTCTCCGAGCTGCTTTCAAGTCTCTTCCAAGCCACTGACTTTAGGCCTTGGTGAGGTTTGCATCTTCTGGCAATAATTAACGGGGGTGGGAATGGAGAGAAAGACCCGGGTCCTTGGCCCCCCGTTTTCCCTGGATGGGAGGAGAAGGATCAAGAATTGACAAGCGTCTGGGCTGGATGTGGGGAGAGAGAGGACTCCCTGTTTTCAGTCCAAAGGGGAATATTTGCAGCTCTTCGCACCTGAAAGGCAGGAACCAAGGTCCCAAAGGAACCCCCAAGTTAACTGCAAGCTGTCTTAAAATCATTGTAACAAGAATTTTGGCCTTTTTCCCAGCATAAACCCAGTATTGATGCCACTCTGCTTGAGAACTTGTCTGCCTTGTTCTCTGTCGTGGTTAGCGAATGCACCAGGTCTATGAGCGACGAGTCTTGCGTTCAAATTCTCCCTCTCAGCCTAACCTGCCTCACAAGTTTGTTGTAAGGAGAAAATGAGGAAAGGCAGGGTGGATGAAGGAAGAAGCAATAAATAACCCCTGGAAGCAGCCGGGACCCCCGAGACACAGGCAAATCTCAATGGCCGTCACAGAGGACCCTAAAACTCTTGGCCTTCCCCAGCCTGACTTGATTCTCTAGGCTACACACTGCGCTTCCTCTTCCGATTATTATTTATGGATCGCTTCCTATGAAGCGTCTCAAAGCGATTTCACAATACAATACAAAGACTCGTGTGTGCGTGTATATAAAATATATATATACAGTGGTACCTCGGGTTAAGTACTTAATTCGTTCCAGAGGTCCGATCTTAACCTGAAGCACCACTTTAGCTAATAGGGCCTCCTGCTGCCGCCGCGCCGCCGGAGCACGATTTCTGTTCTCATCCTGAAGCAAAGTTCTTAACCCGAGGTAGTATTTCTGGGTTAGCGGAGTCTGTAACCTAAAGCGTATGTAACCTGAAGCGTATGTAACCCGAGGTACCACTGTACAGCTACAGCGATGGCACCTATAAAAAACAATTGCAGATTTCAAAAACTACAGATTTGTTTTTTGTAAAGAAAACCCCAATTGCATAGATTTAAAAAAACAATTCCAAATAAATTCAGAAGCACTGACTGGGGAAAAAATATGCACGGTATATAATCTGCACTTAGAGGGCTGGTTATGAAGTCGGAAACACGACACTTCAGCAGTTTCGTTGCCAACTTTTCTTGCGCAGGCTGGGAAGGCCAGTGAATAAAGAGGGGGGTGGCGGATAGGAAGATAGCATCACCCCCTTTCTTGCTTTGTTCTTTTGCATATTTTCATATCCTCGGTGTCTCTCTCTCACACACGCACCAATGTTCACACCTGCGCTAAATCCCTGGGATTTCCCTAGCCCGAACTTGCCTTCCCCAACCCCTTCCCGAGTCCTCGGGCTACATTCCCAACATTTCTGCTGTGCAGTTCCCTTATTCCACAAAGCCTTCGGATGGGAAAGGCAGATGGGCTTAGCTGGTGCGTCCTGCACTTGCGCACAGCAGCCCAAAGTTTTTTCCCCCTCCCCTCAACCCACGCCTCCGCCATTGCTGCCACCCTCCCCTCTTACACCCCAGTTGCGCTTTCTTCTCCAAAGCATGCAAAACACACCCAGCTAGGCAGCTTTCCCAAGGCCTCCTCAGCCTTCTCCCCTCGGCGCTCTGGGAAAAGGGAAAAAAAGAAAAATCGCTGGACCACCCAACCCAAAACAAGGGTGCGTCTGGAAGCCGCGCGGGACTTGTCCTTGCATATTCCCCACAGATACGCACGCTCTGCCCCATCTCGGAAGCGCAAACTCTTTGGCAAGCATTATTTAACATCTGTAAAACTCCGGCAGGGCGAGGTGCATTATTTAACGAAGGCGGGCGTGGCCTGGATCCGGCCCCAAGGTGTAGGTAGGGATGGCGAGGAGACTGGCACCTGCTCAAATGTTTCAATGTTGTATTTTAATCTTGGTTTTAAGTTGTATTCATTCAACTTGTTTTTATTATTGCTTGTTAGCCGCCCTGGGCCCGGCCTTGGCTGGGGAGGGCAGGGTATAAATAAAATTTATTATTATTATTAGTAGTAGTATTATTATTATTATCAAAGGCAGCAGGCTGGCCAGAATTCTTGCGGGCACAACATCCACCAGGGCATCAGGAATCGGCCTGACACCAAGTCTGACCGCTGGCGGCTCTGACGGCTCAGTATTGTCGACACTGGCTGGCAGCCGTTGTTCTCCAGATGAGGCTATGGGTGTCCTGACTCCGAGCCTGGGCATGGCACTGGACCGGGCGAGGGGTACTAAAACTGAGCCTCGCATTTATTTTCTAAAAATAAAATAAAGAGAGAGGTACAGTTGTGGGGTGGTCTGTCCACCGAGGCAAATGGAGCAGCCTGCTGGGGCTGGTGGAAGACGGAAGCCAACAACATGTGAGGATATACAGGTCTCCCACCTTTCCTAAAGGACCAGTATCACCAGTATTATTGATCCAGCACATGCGACAGAGGCTCAGGCGGTCTCTGAGCCTCGAAGAACCTTCTGGAAGCTTCAGCCAATATGCCAGATTGGATACCGTTCCCCGTGCTCCAATTACTGCCAGATCTGGGCTACTGCGGTGCATGGGGCTTCCCCTGAATGTGGTACGGTTGTTCTTTTAATTCTTGTGAGCCCTGCCCAGATTCTGGGCAGTGAAGTTACAGGGAACCAGGCAGAGGGCCTTCTCAGTAGTGGCTCCTGCCCTGTGAAACACACCCTCCCATCAGATGTCAAGGAGCTAAATGGCTATACAGTGGTGCCCCGCAAGACGAATGCCTCGCAAGACGAAAAACTCGCTAGACGAAAGGGTTTTGCGTTTTTTGAGTCGTTCCGCAAGACGAATTTCCCTATGGGCTTGCTTCGCAAGACAAAACGTCTTGCGAGTTCTTGCGAGTTTGTTTCCTTTTTCTTAAAGCCGCTAAGCCGCTAATAGCCGCTAAGCCGCTAATAGCCACTAAGCCGCTAATAGCCGTGCTTCGCAAGACGAAAAAACCGCAAGACGAAGAGACTCGCGGAACGGATTAATTTCGTCTTGCGAGGCACCACTGTACAGTCTTACCTCAGGTTGAAGTTGCTTCAGGTTGAGCACTTTTGGGTTGCGCTCCGTGGTGACCCGGAAGTAACGCGTTTCACCGCTCGCGCATGCGCAAACGGTCAAAATGATGTCACACGAATGCGCAGAAGCGACGAATCGTGACCCGTGCACATGCGCAGATGCAGGTTGCGTTTACTTCAGGATGTGAACGGGGCTCCGGAACGGATCCTGTTTGTATCCAGAGGTACCACTGTATAACATTCAGAAGACATCTGAATTTTTATATTCTGTTGGAAGCTGCCCACGGTGGCTGGGGTGGTATTATTTATTATTATTGTTATTATTATTATTATTATTATTATTACAGTGGTATCTCGGTTTAAGAACAGTCCTGTTTATGAACGATTCGGTTTACAAACTCTGCAAAACCGGAGATAGTGTCCTGGTTTGCGGACTTTACCTCGGTCTAAGAACGGAAGCCGAACGGTGGAAGTCCTCATTAGGGAAAGGACGCCTCGGTTTAAGAACGGTTTTGGTTTAAGAATGGACTTCTGGAATGGATTAAGTTCATAAACCGAGGTACCACTTTATTATTATTATTATTGCCTTCTCACATAAATGCCGATCCTGTGCAAACCTTCAAAGTATTTGCTCTGTGTGCCTCTGTCCAGTGAAGCAACGCAGGTAGCAACTAAGGAAGGGCCCTTTTAGTGTTGGCTCCCGAATGATGGAATAGGCTCCCCAAATTGGCTTGCCTGGCCTTTGTAGCAAGCGGGTGAAAGACCTTTCCATCCTCCCAATAATTTGCGGTCTCAAAATCGGAGTGTTTGAACACCTGCCGTGGGTTTTTATCTCTTGCTGTGTGGGGTTGAAGATTTTACTCTGCAATTCTGTTCTATTTTGTGTTTTAACGCAGCAACTTTCTCTCTTAATTCCCGCGAGCCCTGCCCAGTGCACAAGGGATGCAGGGCAGCCTATACCAAGGCAGTAAATAAATAAAAGCCAGAAAGCACTGAGGTGTCTTGGCCTGGGTCCCAATTAAACGAAAGCCAAAGGAGCCTTCGGACAAGCAGCTGGGAGAGGCGCCAGGCGGCAGAAAAGGAGCAGCGAGAAGCAATCAAGACGGCTTGAGGGAAATCTCTGCTGAACAAAAATGGGCCCGGATTCAGGTTTCGAAGATTTCCCCTTGCAAAAATAAAAATAAAAATAAAATTTTCTGGCAATTTTGAGCCCTGGGGACCAAACCTAAGATGGAGGTGGCTGAAGGCTGCTTGGGTGGCAAGCCCAGCCCACACTATTCCTCACTTTCGGTGTGGTTTTAAGCCCTTAAGAGGTTAAAAGCGATGATGAAGGCCTTTGTGGAGGCAAGACTAGGGGTGGGAAGGCAGACAAGCTGGGTCTTGTGAGCAGCAGCAGCAGCAGCAGCAGTAGCAGCAAGCACATCTCAGGGGCCGAGATGCACTGATAACACTTTGCAAAATGTACAGATAGTGTCAGGCTGGGAGGGGGGGGGGGGAAACAAGGCAGTTAGTTCTCCTGGCAACTGGGCGGGGGAGTCAGGAGAGAAGGAAAATGGGGTAACATTGCCCAGAGGCAGAAATGACACTTTGCAAAGCAGAAAAGCTCAAAAACACTTGGAGAAAACCTCAGACCAGCTCCCAAAATGTAGCTGAGTGCAGAATAATGGAAGGGTTCTCCTTAATAAAAATAAAAAGTAGCTAACTCTCTGGGGCATCAAAGTTTTCCTTTGAGTAATAAATAAGGGATGGATGGCCAGTAAGTCCGCTTGCTACTAAAACCAGCAAATCACGTACACAACACCAGTGCAGTTACGGAAAATGTACAAAACTAGTTCAAATATATATTGGAAGTGTAAGGAAAAGGAGGGGACATTTTATCATATGTGGTGGGATTGTAAGGTAATTAAAAATTTTTGGGAAATGATATACAACGAATTGAAGAAAATGTTCCATTTAACATTTGTTAAAAAACCTGAAGCATTTTTATTAGGGATTGTAGGGAAAGATCTGCCCAAAAAGCTGAAAAACATCTTCATGTATGCGACAACGGCCCCGAGAGTCCTAATAGCACAAGGATGGAAGACTGAAGAAATTCCAACTAAAGAATCATGGCCAGAAAAATGGATGGACTAGGCAGAACTGGCAAAACTGACATACAAGCTACGGGACAAGAAATAACTGTGACTTTAAGGAAGAATGGGAACCCTTTACAAAGTATTTGAAGATATAACAAAGCGAACAGGACTCCTTGGCTGGTTTTGAATAAACATTCACAAACTTTTCATTGATAATAATCAGCTAAGTAGTTTAAGGATTTATACAACTGTGTAACATGCAGAAAACAGCATTTTTAGAGAAATCAAAGACTGGAACTGAGGGAAGTCGGGGGATGGGGGTGGGTGGGTTCTGTGGGGGGAGGGGGAGGGGGAGGGAGGGAGGAAAAATGGGGGGGAAATAAGGATGATATGTTTCTGGATAATATGTTTTGTTTTAATTTTGAATAAAAGTTATTTTTTAAAAAAACAAAAAAACCAGCAAATCACAGAATCACCTAGTCCAACCCTGCTGCAATGACAGGAATCGCAGTGAAATCACCCACGACGTTTCTCCCTTGGGAATCAGAACGTGGCACGGAGCGTGGCAACGTATACCACCACGAAATGCCCAGCAGACAGGCTGGCAGCTGTGGGTAAAACACTCCAGTAAGATATCTAGATTCCAAACCGAAAGCTGAATTTAGCATTTAACAGAACGTTAACATTCCCCCCCGTTGCATATATTTGCAAGTCCTCAAGGCCATCCCTGCGAGCGAAAATGTCTAGAAACTCGTTTAAAAAGGGGGGGAGTGAGCGGAGAGGAAGAGTCTCTGGGTGCGAAATAATTGCTAATTCTGCGCCCGTCACCAGACCCGACAAGTGTACGCGACACAGAAAGAGAAGACTGGGATGTCTGTGTGCGCAGGCATCTCTGGACGCTGTGCAAAGAAAGTCAAGGCCAGCCCAACGCATTTTGCTGCCTGAGGCAAAGGACAAACGATGGGACAAACACACGTACCCATTCCAGATAACGTGGCAAATCCTGCTTCGGTACTTGCAACTGCCATGCCCCGAAGGGTGTCAGCAGGGTAGCTATAAATGTGGAGGACCAGGGGTGTTGAGACACAGCTCTCTTCTTCAAGGAGAGGGTCGGGGAGCTCAGGAGGAAGAGCTATGGGGCACCACCGCCTCCCAGAATGTGGCCGCCTGAGGCAGCCACCTGTCTAATGGCAGGGCCGGCCCCAAACACAGAAACGTGTTTAGAGCTGGGCAGCTGGCAGCCTCTCTCTAGGAGTGGCAAGTTGGCAATTCACAAAGGCCGGAGGACGATCGGCGGCCACGTTCACATTCCAGCCTATTTGCAATAAACGCAGACTTGAGGGGGTCTGTCGCAGGCCACGTCTGCGCCACAGACTCAAAGCATTTTGACAGCCCTTTAAACAGCCATTTATTTATCTTATTAAATTTGTATAGCACCCTTCATTGCAAGGCGGTACGCGACATAAAAGTACAAAACGAAAACACAAAATGGGTAATAAAACAAAACGAAGCCAGCCACCACAAACAACTATTATCAGTTGCGCAACCATTGTCAAGTTTCGAACAGGGGCCGATTTCAGCTTTTCAGAAATTTCCACACATTCCCAGACTACAAGTCGCAAATCAGTGGGGAAATTGCCTTATTATACCGTGAGCTATTGATTCATCGTCTCCCCGATTGCTTCTATTTCACAAAATGGTAGTCAACACAAATCACAGCCCCAATCCTACGCACTTAACTTAGAAAGCAAGCGTATCACAGAGCACACAAAAGGTAAGCTGTGCTTAGTCCTAGGTTGAGCCTTGCCCGCGTTTATTATTACACATTATTATTTCATCGCCGGATGAAATCAACGTCGTAGAACATGCTCGCCTGCAGAATCCTGAGCATGCGACATTTGCGCCTGCTTTTTGCACATACACCATCTAGGTCATCTTCCGCAGCGACACTGTGCAATAATGTCTGACCAAACATGTCTCTTCTATTGATTTCTGAGGGTGAAATATAGTTCTATGAGGACTCGCAGGGACCATTCTTAGTGGCTTCCGTTCTTCGCAATCCTTTTTCTTCTCACGTGCTCGACTTTGGTATTCGTCTCCATAGATGGAAACTAGCATAACCAGTTCCCACCTGTGAGCTTCCCCCAAAGGATTCTGGGAGCTGTAGTTTTATTAGGGTGCCAGGGGTCGCTCGGAGACCCCCGTATTCCCCTCCCAGAACTACAATTCCCAGAGTTCCCCGTGAAGAGGGACTGGATTGTTAAACCATTCTGGGAACTGTAGCTCAAGGGGGTCTCAGCACCCTAAACAAACAACGCTCAGCACCCTAAACTACAGCACCCAGAATTTTTTTGGGGGGGGTGGCTGCAGCGACTGTCTCAAGTGGTTTCATAGCGCTTTAAATGCATGGTGCCAAAGACAAGGTAAAAAGATTCTGGGAGTTAATCTATAATGAACTTAAAAAGATATTTAAGTATACTTTTCCTAAAAGACCAGAGGCATTTTTGCTTGGTCTGGTGGGAAAAGAAATTAAAATAAAAGATCAGAACTTGTTCATGTATGCCACAGCCGCCGCAAGAACTTTACTGGCCCAAAGATGGAAAACACAAGATTTACCAACCATCCAGGGGTGGCAGGTAAAGATGATAGATTTTGTGGAACTTGCCGAATTGACAGGAAGGATCCGGGACCAAGAGGACCAGAGATACAATAACAATTGGAATAAATTTATTGAATATATAAAGGAGAACAACATATTAAGACACTAGCAGGACTGGAATAACACCTCCAATGTAAAACAGTAGAGTTATGACAATAATATACGCAAAAAATATGTGATGTATATACCAGCGGTCGGGAGGGAGGGAAGTCAGGACTCGGCAGAGTCAAAGGGATTATAATGTGACAATAAGGATTGTTGGGAAAAGAATTACATGTTGAAAACAATAAAAATTTACTTGAAAAAATAAATAAATGCATGGTGCCAAAGAGGCCTCTGACAGACACCTTCAAGTCCGTGTTTATTGCACAAAAGAGGCAGGGAAGTTTTTAAACCTGCTGTTACCCTGCTACTTAGGTTTGCAGCTGGAATTGCTCCGATTTGTATTTTAAAATTGTGTTCTTAGTGATTTCTGCGGCGTCTCTTATTGCTGTATCGACTTATTAATTTCCTGGGAGCACCGGGCATCTGGAAGGGAGATGCTTACTAGATATATAACAAAATACGGCAGCCATTCCTCCTCAGACTCTCTCTCTCAGCTGCGCACAAACCCCTTCCTTCTTCCTCCTGAGATCTTCTGAACTATTCAAACTCTGCCAAATTCCAGGGTGGAGGAATGCCGGTTCAGCCCTGGAACAAAAACCGAGGGCTACCGTAGATGTACTCTTCTCTCGTCCCTCCTCCTCCTCCTTTCCTTTTTTTTTGGGTAAACTAGAAAAGGTAATTTCTCTTCACCTGCCAACCACCCGCCCACTCCGCAAACACATTTGCTGAAATGGGGCTGCCATCGGAGGTACCTGAGAGCGCAGATCCCTATCGATTCCGCAGGAAAATTATTGGTCACCGCCTGCCCGTTTAAGATAGGTTGGGGGGGCGCAGAGCGAGCGAGATGCCTTTTAGAGTGGAAATAAATGGACCGTTTCAAATCTGTAATCCGAATTCAGAGCTCGGTTTAAGAGAGCGGGTTGGTGAATTCCAATGTGTGCAGTCCTGTCCCGACTCTCTCTCTCTCACCCCACCCCCAATTCTGCTTTGCCATCATACCATCATAAACTAGCCCACACAGGTCATTGGGGAGGCGGGTTCGAATCAGGCCACCTGTCTGGTCCTGGAACAGAAACCAAAATAAATAAATCCCGCTCCCTTTCTTGCATCGTAGAAGCTTAAGAATTAATATGATTTGCCATCTTGAGGACCTTGAGGGCCAGGAAGAATCTTGCCCCCAACCCCACAATTTTTGGTTGCATTCAACGAAGTCCTACTCTGAGTAAGCCCACCGAAATGAATGAGCCTGCAACAGTCAAGTCTATTAACTTCAGTGGGTCTGTTTTGCACAGGGCCAATGCTGGATACAAGGGACGTGGGTGGCGCTGTGGGTTAAACCACAGAGCCTAGGACTTGCCGATCAGAAGGTCGGCGGTTCGAATCCCCATGATGGGGTGAGCTCCCGTTGCTCAGTCCCTGCTCCTGTCAACCTAGCAGTTCGAAAGCACAAGTAGATTCAAAAGTGCAAGTAGATAAATAGGTACCACTCCAGCGGGAAGGTAAACGGCGTTTCCGTGCGCTGCTCTGGTTCGCCAGAAGCGGCTTAGTCACGCTGGCCACATGTACGCCAGCTCCCTCGGCCAGTAAAGCGAGATGAGCGCCGCAACCCCAGAGTCGGCCACGACTGGACCTAATGGTCAGGAGTCCCTTTACCTTTACCTTTAATGCTGGATACAAACGCCCTTTTGCACTGTGTTGCTCTTTCCTTGCATGCGCCTTAATTGCTGTCTGCTGCCTTGACCACCATTTGGTGGAAAGGCAGAATACACATTTGATGAATAAAACAAAATAGCACTAATAATAATAATAAATAATAATAATAATAATTTATTACTTGTAACCCCGCCCATCTGGCCGGGCCTCCCCAGCCACTCTGGGTTGCTTCCAACAGGATATTAACAACACAATAAAACATCAATCATTAAAAACTTCCCTAAACAGAGCTGCCTTCAGATGTCTTCTAAAAGTCAGATAGTTGTTTATTTCCTTGACATCTGGTGGGAGGGCGTTCCACAGGGCGGGCGCCACCACCGAGAAGACCCTCTGCCTGGTTCCCTGTAGCTTTGCTTCTCACAGTGAGGGAACCGCCAGAAGGCCCTCAGAGCTGGACCTCAGTGTCCGGGCAGAACAATGGGGGTGGAGACGCTCCTTCAGGTCTCCTGGGCCTTTGAGGCCGTTTAGGGCTTTCAAGGTCAGCACCAACACTTTGAATTGTGCTCGGAAACGTACTGGGAGCCAATGCAGGTCTCTCAAGATTGGTGTTATATGGTCCCGGTGGCCGCTCCCAGTTCCCAGTCTGGCTGCCGCATTCTGGATTAGTTGTAGTTTCCGGGTCACCTTCAAAGGTAGCCCCACGTAGAGCACACTGCAGTAGTCCAAGCGGGAGATAACCAGAGCATGCACCACTTTGGCAAGACAGTCTGTGGGCAGGGAGGGTCTCCTACGTACCAGATGGAGCTGGTAGACAGCTGCCCTGGACACAGAATTGACCTGCACCTCCATGGACAGTGGTGAGTCCAAAATGACTCCCAGGCTGCGCACCTGCTCCATTCAGGACCAGGACTTAGCACTGAGGCACCTTACTCTACGAGGAGGGCAACTCCACCCAAAGTATTTCATTGCATGCAATGTAAGACCTACAAGACCGTCTTGCCCTGTATGTGCCCACTTTGATTGGCAGAACTGGCACTGCTACAGGTCCCAGATAAGACCCTTTCCATGTTCGCAAGAACTCGGTCTTCTAGTGTAGCAGCAGAAATTATCCTTTGGAACTCCCTGCCCATTGATAGCAGGCAGGCGCCTTTGCTGTACTCTGTTTGGCACCTGCTAAAATACATTTTTGTTTAGACAAGCCTACCCAGATGTTTCGAGAGTTGGTTTTGAGTCTCAGTCTGCTTTCAGTTGAATCTATTGTTGTACATTTTACTGTTTCATCTTTTTTGTAAACCGCTTTGCTTTTTTTTTTTACGATCAAGCGGTATATAAATTTTATGAAATAAATCTGAAACTTAATCCAAATTAAAGACAAAAAGGACTGCTGGCTGGAGGATCGCTTTGTCCAGGGTTGGGTGTACAGCACGTGCAGGATGAGGCCTGCTATTCCTCCTTAAGAGGCAAGTTTGCCTTGATCCCATCTACAGTGGTACCTCAGGTTACATACGCTTCAGGTTACATACGCTTCAGGTTACATACGCTTCAGGTTACACACTCTGCTAACCCAGAAATAATGCTTCAGGTTAAGAACTTTGCTTCAGGATGAGAATAGAAATCGCGTGGTGGCAGCAGGAGGCCCCATGAGCTAAAGTGGTGCTTCAGGTTAAGAACAGTTTCAGGTTAAGAACGGACCTCCGGAATGAATTAAGAACTTAACCTGAGGTACCACTATAGAGGCTTTTTCAGAGACTCAAGGGTTTATCCACATTTAGCTTTTGCCCCGCCTTTTTCAGGCTTTAACGCCCTTTTTTCTCGCCCCAGAGAAAACCCCACTCTCGAAAGCTCAATTGGAGCAAACATCAATTCAGATTTTGTGTGGATTCCCGTTTGCTCCGATTGAGCTCTAAAGAGTGGGTTTTTGCAGGGAAAGCTCTGGAGCAAAAGAGAAAATTAAGAAAAAGGATGCTCCGACGTGGAGCTTTGAATCGCGGACCATTTCTGGAACAGCGGAGAAAAGGTATGTGGGAATAAGCCATCAGGTAGCAGTTCTGGTTGCTCAAGAGCACATTTTACAAGCTATGCCCATTCTTTGGGGCAGACACGATCATGGCTGTCCATGCGCTAGTAGCCTCCAGGCTCGACTACTGCAACACTTTGCACATGCCTTGGGGAAGACTTAGGGGCTCATCCAGAGGCGAGACTGTTTGCCTGGAACTGGTTCAGATTAAACATGCAAATTACTCCCGTCTCCATGTTCTTTCGCCTTTTATACCCTCATTATTGCACCAAATGCTATCACTCGTTTAGGCGAAATGTGCTAGCTAGGCTGGTCAAGCCATTTATCCTGCCCTAATACATTCCCTTGTTTCCCATAAATGATGCAGATCGATTGTCAACTGTCTAGCCTAAATTCCTATTATTTTGGCCACAAGCCCAGCACAAACTGTTGACTTCTGCCTTTCAGACCGCTGCTGCCTAGACCACTCGCTTTTTGCTGTGCTGAATGACTTGGCTTAGAATAAATGCCTACAATTTTCTGAATTTTACAGTAGTGAGCGATGGGCTCGTCCCCGGTTCCGCTTGTCCAGTGCCTAATAAGCACGGGTCCAAGCGGTTTCCCCCTTGCACCAATCCTTTCCCAGGGAAAACCTACCACTTAGCTTTAAATTGGAACAAACTGCAAACCATGGCAAACCAAATTGCTGTTTGCTCCAAATGAGCACCAAAGAGCGGTTTTCCCCAGGGGGAAAGAAGCAGAGCAGGAGGAAGAGTTAGGCCTTAACTAACTTAAACCACAGAGTCTAGGACTTGCCGATCTGAAGGTCAGCGGTTCGAATCCCCGCAACGGGGTGAGCTCCCGTTGCTCAGTCCCTGCTCCTGCCAACCTAGCAGTTCGAAAGCACGTCAAAGTGCAAGTAGATCAATAGGTACCATTCTGGCGGAAAGGTAAACGGCGTTTCCGTGTGCTGCTCTGGTTCGCCAGAAGCGGCTTAGTCATGCTGGCCACATGACCCGGAAGCTGTACGCCGGCTCCCTTGGCCAGTAAAGCAAGATGAGCGTCGCAACCCCGGAGTCGGCCACGACTGGACCTAATGGTCAGGGGTCCCTTTACCTTTACTTTAGACCTAACTCACGTCAAGAATCCAGAACTAAAGTGTTTCAAACAGCAATCCGACTTAAAACAGCCCTACGGAAAGAAGCATTTACAGTGGTACCTCAGGTTACATACACTTCAGGTTACATATGCTTCAGGTTACAGACTCCGCTAATCCAGAAATAGTGCTTCAGGATAAGAACAGAAATCGTGCTCCGGCGGCACGGCAGCAGCAGGAGGCCCCATTAGCTAAAGTGGTGCTTCAGGTTAAGAACAGTTTCAGGTTAAGTACGGACCTCCGGAACGAATTAAGTACTTAACCCGAGGTACCACTGTACAGACTTTATTTTTAGTTCCCATATACAGTATGTATGGGGGAACCTAGTATATGAGGTGGGGTACAAATATTATTATTATTATTATTATTATTATTAGCACTGAAACTTGTTTCCACACAACTGATAAATTAAAAAACCTAACAAACGCTGGTCCTATTTGATCTGTACTCAGTGCAAGATGCTTGTTGTTGCTTTTAAGGTCCTAAATCGATCAAGACTTTGGTACCTAAGGGTCTTCCTCCGAGGGGGGTCTGTTCCCCACTCCTCAATGACCCCTCGCTTTGCATTTCTGGGATTGATATCTGGGGAAGGTCAAAAGTCGGCCTCCCAAGACCAGATGAAGGTTCAGCTAGTTAAAGAACTAAATGGAGATTTCTTTTGTTTGCTTTTTAACCGCTGATAAGCTGGGTTTTCCTTGCCAAATGCGATCTGTTCTGTCTGCTGATTTTGCTGTTGCCTTATTTTGATATTTATTGCTACGCTGTTTGCCTTTAAGAGTTCCCTGCTGGAACGACACCGAGAGAGACATTTTAAAAATAAAAGAATGACAGGAAGGCTGAGGCTTGTTAGATGCACCCTAGAAAACGCACTTCTTTGATGCATTTCATTTTTCATTAAAAAGAAAACCAGTAATTGGAGGATTTATTTCCGCACTTAAAATATTTTTGGAAGCACGCCCTGGTCTCCAAAACCTCTGAGGCTGTGTGTGTGTGTGTGTGTGTGATGCCTATCAGAATACTGTAACATTTTAGAAGTCTATTTTATGGGTAGGCAAACTACCCCCAAAAAATATATATAGCCCGGCCCCCCACAAGGTCTGAGGGACAGTGGACCGGCCCCCTGCTGAAAAAGTTTGCTGACCCCTGCTTTATTTAAACTACTTTTGCTTTGGTTTTTTTCAAAGGACTGTTAAGTTTAAATAATGGCACCACCACCTAGCAAAACCTCTCAAGGCCCTTGATTTTGGTGCTATGCGCCCTAGAAACCGTAAGAAAAAGGTTAGCGCCCCCAAAAAATAAACTTGGGACCAAGAGGTTTCCAACTCTGGAAGGGGAAAAAAATAATAACATGCAAAACCACAAACAAATAAATACAAAAGGGGATATCTTTCCCCTAAAGGGAAACACAGCATATAAGGTACAGAATAGAATTGCTGAGATCCACATTTTGTAAGCTGCCCTCCTCGCCGAAGAGTTTAAAAACTCCTTTCAAAGAGTCTGGGGCATAACATTATTTTTATTTTAGCATCAAACTGCTCCAAATTGTTCGTGACCTAATTAAGGAGAGCAGCACCAGCTACTCTCGTCTGCTCCTCAGCAAAATAACCTCAGGAACGCTTGCTGCGTAGCCTCCGGCCTAACTCCCGAGGGCTGGCCAGCGCCACAGCCCTGCGTTTCGGTGCCCTAGGGAGAAAATCCAAATAGCAACCCCAAACTCTTTAAAAAATGAAGCTGCAGTGGCTGTGAAATCCACCAGCCTCTGTCAACCCGGCGCCCTCCAGCTGCTTTGAACTACAACTCCCGTCGACGGGAGTTGTAGTGCAAAGCAGCTGCAAGGCGCCGGGTTGGCAAAGGCTGAGCTAAATGACCATTTTAACTATATTCCCTAAGCATGTCACCTCTCCCCAATGGTAGAGCCGATTCTAGAAAGCAGGAGGTGATTGTTTGTGTATACACACACACACACACACACACACACACACACAGACTCCAGAATTCAAAGATGCATAACCAAAACTGATATGTAAAATTATGACCATGTAGACATTAGAATAGAATAGAATAGAATTTATTATTTATACCCCACCCATCTGGCTGGGTTTCCCCAGCCACTCTGAGCGGCTTCCAACAGAGTACTAAAATACAGTGATCCGTTAAACATTAAAAGCTTCCCTAAAGAGGACTGCCTTCTGATGTCATCTAAGTCTGGTAGTTGTTCTACTCTTTGACATCTGACGGGAGGGCATTCCACAAGGCGGGAGCCACCACCAAGAAGACCCTCTGCCTGGTTCCCTGTAACTTGGCTCCTCGCAGGGAGGGAACCGCCAGAAGGCCCTCAGAGCTGGACCTCAGTGTCCAGGCTGAACGATGGGGGTAGAGACGCTCCTTCATGTATACTGGGCCTTTGAGGCCATTTAGGGCTTTCAAGGTCAGCACCAACACTTTGAATTGTGCTCGGAAACGTACTGGGAGCCAATGTAGGTCTTTCAGGACTGGTGTTATATGGTCTCGGCTGCCACTCCCAGTCCCCAGTCTGGCTGCCACATTCTGGATTAGTTGTAGTTTCCAGGTCACCTTCAAAGGTAGCCCCACATAGAGTGCATGGCAGTAGTCCAAGCAGGAGATAACTAGAGCATGCACCACTCTGGTGAGACAGTCCGCAGGCAGGGAGGGTCTCATCCTGCGTACCAGATGGAGCTGGTAGACAGCTGCCCTGGACACAGAATTGACCTGCGCCTAAATGGACAGCGGTGAGTCCAAAATGACTCCCAGGCTGCGCACCTGGTCCTTCAGGGGCACAGTTGCCCCATTCAGGACCAGGGAGTCCTCCACACCTGCCCACCCCCTGTCCCCCCAAAACAGTACTTCTGTCTTGTCAGGATTCAACCTCAATCTGTTAGCCTCCATCCATCCTCCATTCATTATGTCTCCGCCAAGCCGCCACAGCCAAACCAGGATGGTTGGCGACTCTGCGGCCATGTTTCGAGAGTCACACCTTGTTTGCATTTCATCCCGTCTCGCCATTCAAGGCTGAAAACGGACAAGGACAAGGAATGCCAAATCAGGGGGAATCCCAGATTTCAGGGCCCAAACCTGAGACCTGGAGGCAGCTGCTTGTGATGTCATGGGACGGGCCCCAGTGATGTCACAGGGCAGACCCTAGCGATGTCATGAACCACAGTTGCCGAGAGCATGTCATTCAAATAAAAAACGAGGCCTGAGCCGTGGAAATGGGGGTTAATTGGGAGAGGGGAGGAGGGAGAATTGGAGGGCCTCCTCTACCCTCCCAAGTTTATACTACTATTTGCAGCCAGCTCCTGCTGGGCTGAAGTTTGAAAGCTGCATGCACAATCTTAATTTAAAAATAACAAGAATTAAAGGCACTCTCACTCGCTGGGAGATTCAGACCCTCCTCCTGCCCCCATGAGAGGGGCACCAGACCAGCCTGGAGACTTCAGAGGCCTTCTACTTTCTGCCCCACGCAAACAATGCCCATAAGTGATGCATTGTGGGCAAATTGCTTCCACCTCACTGTGTGTGTGTGTGTGTGTGTGTGTGTGTGTAGAAAGCATCGCACTGTTTCCTGTTCCCCGCTCAAAAAAAAAGCGTCTTTCCACGCTCACGGTTTCGCAAGGGCGCCCATAGATCTGTTGCCGGCACTCGCGCAGCCCCATATAGATTAGTGCGGCAAATTACCCGCCGGCTGAACAGTTGCCTGTTGATTTAACAAGAGGGGACTGATTTTTAAGTGCCTCGGGAACATCGATCGGCGGCTGGGCCTCTGCTCTTTTGCTAGATGCACGGAGGCCAGGTGACACGATGGCACTTCACCAACGAACGTCCCCCGTCCCCGTCCCCCCCGTTCTCCCTGCTCTGGTTTCCAAGGGGCTCTTGAATCACACAAAGGGCTGGAAGGACGGGAGAGCAAGAAGTCAAAACAGGAGCCAAAGAAAAGGCAGGAGGAGACGGAGGAGGGAGGAAAATTATGCCACAAATAAAGGTCCCCTTTCCCACCATTCGACGTTCACAATAGATGATGATTTGACCAATTGGACACAATGCCGAGATGATTTGCCCAAAGAATCACGACCAGGAAAGTGGAAGGGGCAGGAGCTGGTATTACGGCTAGCTAATCGCCCTCCCATCACAGTGGGCCGCTGAAGGGTTTAATTTGAGCCCTCGCTTTCCACCAGAGTTCCTGGAAATGGACACAATTCAGTTCCTCCCCTCGGTGGGTATCGAGAATGGCCGCAGCCAGGCGTCCGAGATGGAGCCGCCCTCGCCCAGCCGAGTTTCCCTTCCGATGGATAACTCCAGCTTAATCCTCCATCAACAAGCTTTCAGATATTATTTTCAGCTTTTAAGGGAAGGCCCTCGGCGGCTGGTTGTGATTGATAACCGCCGTTATCGCCTTGGTTTTAAAAATAACAGCAACATGTACACGGCCTCCCGTGCGCAGTGTGTGTGTGTGTGTGTTCGGTTGCACGTTTTGCACTAAAGCAGCACTCGAGGGGGGAAACGACGCTCCCTTCCGGGGGGCGAGGGCTGCTAGGACTTGGGCTTCGAGAAGGAAAATTATTTCCCGAGTCAAATTAGGCAGCAACATAAGACGATAAGAATCGCTGTCTCAGGTCAGAGGGAAGAGCAATGTAGTTTGGCACTCCGGGTCGGCTAACAGTGGCCGGCCAGATGTCTCCGGAAAACTCAGGAGCGGGGAAGGCATGGTAGCAACTGCTAGGCCTTCTCCTGCCCCCCACATCTGGCGATCGGGGAGATACGCTGCCGGGGACAGAGAGAGGTTCCGGAGTTGTTCACCATTACCTCCCCCTCCATTTGCCTAATCCGGCCTTCCCAATCCTGGTACCCCCCCTCCAGATGTTCTGTTTTCTGACGGGAGCTGCAGCCCAGGCCATCTGGTGAGCGCCGGGTTGGGGAACGCTCACCTCGTCCTGTTAAAAGCTCGTGATCCCCTCCGCCCAAACGTGGCAATAAATTTCTGAAGTTAATTGTGTGCAGCCGAGAAGGAATTTCCTTTCCTTTCCACCCCCCACCCTCGCAGCATGTGGCTTTGCTCGCTCGCACCCATAACAACATTAGGAGAGGTTCCTGGATCAGGCCAGCGCCCCACCTTCCTGTTCTCACAGAGGAAAACCAGATGCCCCCATTGGAAACACGCAAGCAGGATTCAAGCACAATATCAACTCACCTCTCCCAGTAGCTTCCAAAAACTGGTACCTGAAAGCATCGCTGCCTCTGACCACAGATAACCATCATGGCCTGTTGCCACTGGAAGCTTTTTCTCCCAGAATCCTCTTTCAAAGTCAAGTTGGCGCCATTCGCTTCTGCCTTTGGGAGCGAGTTCCAGAGTTTCATGTGGGCTGCATGAAGAAGCCCTTCTTTTTATGCGCCCTGAATCTTCCAACTTTCAGGCTCCTTTGTTATGGCCACGAATTCTAGCGTTGCGAGAGAGGGAGACAATCCGTTTCCTCTATGTCGGGCTTAAGTGGGGCTACCTTTGAAGGGGACTTGGAAACTGCAATTAATCCAGAATGAGGCAGCTAGACTGGTAACTGGGAGCAGCCGCTGAGACCACATAACACCTGTCTTGAAAGACCTACATTGGCTCCCAGTATGTTTTCGAGCTCAATTCAAAGTGTTGGTGCTGATCTTTAAAGCCCTAAATGGCCTCAAAGGCCCAGGATACCTGAAGGAGCATCTCCACCCCCATTGTTCACTGAGGTCCAGCTCCGAGGGCCTTCTGGCGGTTCCCTCATTGCGAGAAGTGAGGTTACAGGGAACCAGGCAGAGGGCCTTCTCAGTGGTGGCACCCACCCTGTGGAACACCCTCCCAGCAGATGTCAAGGCAATAAACAACTATTTTACTTTTAAAAGACAACTGAAGGCGGCCCTGTTTAGGGAAGTTTTTAATGTCTGATGCTGTATTGTTTTTAATGTTCAGTTGGAAGCCACCCAGAGTGGCTGGGGAAACCCAGCTAGATGGGCAGGGTATAAATATATCATCATCATCATCATCATCATTAAGTTTGCCCACACCACTAAAGTAAGGTTACCAGACGTCCCCGTTTCCCGGGGACGGTCCCCGGATTTACACATCAGTCCCCATACAAAATCCACTGAAGTTGAAAAGTGTCCCCAGATTCATTGGGGGGGGGGAATCTGAGAGAAAAACCCCAATTTGGCTCTCCTTTAATGACAAGCTCACACACTTCCGAAACAATACGCGAACCGAACGACGGCCATCCACCGAAATCCACACCTCTCCAGATTTTGCAATGCTTTCTCGAGCCGTGTACCGAAAGGCGTACACAGGGAAAGTGCCTCCCAGTCTTACTGATTTTTCCACTCGCTCGCTTTCCTCTGTTGTTGCTGCCTCCTCCTCCATCTCCACCCCCAGGGATGCTGGAATATTCCTGAGGATCTTGTGGCCGCCCAAAAGCGTGGGAACATGGTCCAGTGGCTTACGGTCTGTGGCCTTCCTGCTTTTTCCTTTGTTGGTGCTTGGTGCAAGGCGTACACAAAACAGACTGGCGGCAAATCCCAGGGACATGGACTTCCCAACGTTGTCCCCGGTGTGTGTGTGCCTGGCGTGTTTTGGTTTCTTACGTTGCGTTGTGCACAGACAGGGTTTTTCCCTCAAGGGTACCGGCCCCTTTTTTTGTCGTTAAAAAGTGTGGTACTTCCTGCAACAACTTCACGGTGTTACACCGCACACACAGAGATTTATTGTTTTGATTTTTGTGGACTGTTGTCGGGCTTTCCCCCTCCTAATCCTTATCAGACAATAAATATAAGTAAGATAGAATCGATTTAGCTGTACACATAAATAGCTTTACTGACAGGGGTTGGGGATTTCATTGAACTATACAGCCGGCAGTCCTCTGCGTGGGAATATGTAACATTAGTGGCAATTACAGTTTTCATTTTAATTCTCTCGGGGATTGCTTCAACCCGGTTCACTTGGAAATAAATAAATAAATTTGTATTTTAGTTCAGTCTGATCGATTAGTTGGGCTGCTGATCATTGGGTACCCCGGGAAAACGGATGAAGGAATTTATTTATGGCTATGAATAAAGTTATCTTTCATACATTTCTGAATTAACTAATGGGCTTGATCAGTAAGTATACTGGGAAAATGAATGAATGAATTCATATTTAGGAATAAATAAATTCATATTTAATACCTTTTGGAACTAAACGCTTGGTTTGCTGGCCGCCGGGTGCATGGAGGAAATAAATAAATGTTTACTGCTTTCTTTGACTTTGGCACAGTTGCAAATGAGGCTTTTCATCGTTTGGTTTCGTTATTTAGCGGAGCCTAAAATAAACAATTAGGGCAAGGGTGCTGGGGGTGTCTTCAGGGAAATGTCTTGAGGTTAAAAATGGGTCTATGTACCCATAAAAGTTGGGAGCCGCTACACTAGCGTAAAGTGTGCATATAAATGCGTAAATTTATAAACCCAAAATAATTTTTTTAAATTTTTTTTATTTAATTATTTTTGTAAACCCAAAATAATATATATATACCGTATTTTTTGCTCTATAAGACTCACTTTTTCCCTCCTAAAAAGTAAGGGGAAATGTGTGTGCGTCTTATGGAGCGAATGCAGGCTGCGCAACTATCCCAGAGGCCAGAACAGCAAAAGGGATTGCTGCTTTCACTGCGCAGCGATCCCTCTTGCTGTTCTGGCTTCTGAGATTCAGAATATTTTTTTTTCTTGTTTTCCTCCTCCAAAAACTAGGTGTGTCTTGTGGTCTGGTGCGTCTTATAGAGCGAAAAATACGGTACATTATATTGCATTAAATAAATGCATTAGGGCAAATGACTCGTATCGGAAGAAATCAGCGCTAAAACACCTCTGTTGAATTTATTTATTTTTTAAAGTTGCATACTGATTTGGAAATGTGGAGATCTGAGACTCAGAAACTTAGGAGCCTGAGAGAAACTGAAACTGACCGATCAGCCCATCTTGATCCCCAAGTCAAGACTTTTATTTATTTTCAGGAGACGGGATACCACTTGGGACCTTGCCTGGCCAGGAGCTATGCTAGATCAGGTTCAAAGGCGATGGAGATCTGGTACAAGGGAGGTTTCCTTCTTCGCCGGCAGTCCGGCCATCGCTGCACGGCGTGAAGGTCACACCAGCGACACCCTTGCGGAGCCCGATTAGGGGCGTGCAATTATTTGCTCCTTAATTTTATCGGGAATTTCGACGTCGTAAGCAGAGGAGTCTTTGGAGACTTCGCCGCCAAGGCAGCTGAGCCTGTCCACAGAACTGTCGATTTTAATAAAAGGAGAAAGCTGGGATTTACTGGGCCGCATCAGCAGATATTTAAGTGCGCACACGGCAGTGGAAAGGACATGAGAGTCGCTCGCACAAAGGAGAAAAAGATGACCCCCCTTTTAAAAAAACCAAACTCAAAACTCTTTGTAGATCGTCTATAGTCATCACAATTTCCATTCGGTGCCTAGCCAAAAAACACCGACGAGAACCAAAAATGTTAGCCCCATAAACCAAATCTGTACCATGGAACAACAAAAAAAGCAGCGTCTGAAAGAACCACAATACAAAAAAGGACTTTGTAGATTCCCCCCCCCCCCCCGGTTCTTTTTCTGTTTTTTTTCACCGTTTGTGTGCACGGGGGTGGGCTGGGGAGGAATTAATGTAATGCGGTTTTCAATATGGGCAGGAAACCAGTTTTTAAAAGCAGTCGAGGGCCGAACAGGAAGGTGGATTTACGGTCACATGCCGAAGCTTCATGCGCTATCCTGCAACACCTGTAAGCAGATGTGCCCCACCTGAAAAGCGCCTTATTGCTCTCCCCAGCCATCATTAACCACCACAGAGCTCATTGCGCTACGAGCTTTTAAAAGGTCTCGTTCGGCGGGGAGCGGTGCGGATTGGGGGGGTTGCAAACTCAATTTAGGGGAAGAAGAAAAAAGGGGGAGAAACCTAAATTCAGGGGTATTGCAAGAGAGATTCTGGGACTTATCAGGTGCAATGTGGTGCTATGCACCATCACAGCTGTGGGTACCACAAAGGGAACATCCCTGGTCAAGAGATTAGGACCCTGCGGGACTTGACATCTTTCCGCAGGGCCTGCAAGACAGAGCTGTTCCACCAGGCCTTTGGCCAGGGCACAGCCTGACCCCCTCCTTTGGCAATCTTCACAGAACTCTACCCAATGGTTGCCATCAATTTGATTTGAAGTAATTTTTTAATGAAACGATTTTAAAATGTTGTCTTATTTTATTGTTGTTAGCCATCCTGAGCCCGGCTTTGGCTGGGGAGGGCAGGATATAAATAAAAAATATATTATTATTATTATTATTATTATTATTATTATTATTATCACCCCCCCCCCCAAAAAAAGCAGAAGTAAAATTTATGAGACTTTATTTTGGAAAACCAAAATATATATAATGAAATTCAGTCAAGGGAATTTGAGGAAGTCATTTAACAATGTTACTAAGACTGGACCAAGTTCAGTTATGATTTATGTTTGTTTGTTTAAAATTTTGGAAAATCAGTAAAATTTTTGGGGAAAAAACAAAAAACACAGAGGGGGGAGATGGCAAACGATCTTTTTCACAGGAGGAAATGTTGCGCTTCTGAACAGAGTTAATGCAATATTATGGCACTGAAGGTTCTTGCCAGGCCCTTCATGGAAGTTTTTCACGGACTCACGATCAACATCCAATGCCCTTTTATAAATATGTTGCGGGCAGCATCAGAATCTCAAGTATATAAGCCGATTGCCAAATGACACCTTAAATTTAGGTTTCGGCCGCCACAGTGCGCTGTCTAGGCACCGTTTTCTCTCCCCGCCCCCCATTAAATTTGTCGTTTGTTGCTATTCATTTCTATACCGCTTTAAAAAGACACAAACCTCAAAGCGGTTTACAACACGGAGGAACATCAAATGAAAGAACACAGAATAAAACAAATCCAAACTTCCAAGGGAAATATTTCAGAGCTTTCTCTTAAGGGACATTTTGCTTTGCCCAGCTGCCAACCTGGTATCCAGGGATCTCTATGTGGTCGCAAATGGACCCATTCGCCCCTGGAGCCTGGGCTAATTTCTATCCCTGGTTGCAGGGAAGGGTATTGGTTTGTTGTTGTTCTTGCTGCTGCTGCTGCTGTTATTTCTACAATGCATTTTGTGGTTTTCGTTTGGAATTTTAATTGTGAACCACCCTGAGATATGTGGTATACCAACAGATTATTATTATTAATAATAATAATAATAATAATGGACTGTTCTGCTTATGCATGCAAGTAGTTCTCAATGTCTGCATAACACTGTCCTCATCCGAAGACCCCTTCCCGTATTCTCTGCCCCCAGTTTAAACCAGACTGATGGTTTCTGAAGGGCCTTAAGCTTTGTTTTAACTTATTGGATGATTTTCCATGGAAGTGGTAAGTAAATGAGAATGAACTGAACTTAGAAATGGAAAGCGTAATGGTCAACAAAAGAGGTTCAAAGACTGCCTCAAAGCAAACCTTAAAAAATGGAGTATAAACAATGACAATTGGGAAACACTGGCCTGTGAGCGCTCCAGTTGGAGAACAGCCTTGACCAAAGGTGTCCTGGGCTTTGAAGACACTCGAACTCAGGACGCAAGGGAGAAATGGGCTAAGAGGAAGGCAAGCTTGGCAAATCCACACCGTGATCAACTCCCGCCCGGGAACCAATGTCCCCACTGTGGAAGGATGTGTGGGTCCAGAATTGGCCTCCACAGTCACTTACGGACTCATTGTTAAAACCGTGTTTGTGGAAGACAATCTTACTGGAAGAAGGAATGAGAAGATGACACAGGTTTGGCATTCGGATGAGGATCGTGTCATGTGGATACTGCCCTAAATTTGTATGAAGGACCGACCTGACCGGAAGAGTCCGTGACCAGAAGGAGGAGGAGTATCAAGAGGAATGGAAGAAATTCAAAGACTATATTTAGTTAAATATGTTAAGATAACTTAAATAGAATTACTTGCGAGATTGGCCTAGGATTTAAAATATGTGATGTTGTAGAATACTATGGATAAAAGTTAAAATGAAAAGAAAGATAGATGTTAATGGACTAAGTAAATTTTATGCGAAATCAGTTTTGGAAAACTGATACAATGATTTATATGGAAACTCAGCCAGGGGGATTCGAGGAAGTCACTTAACAATGATAACAAATTTCTACAGTCAGGATATATGTTTGTTTGTTTGATGTTTTCTTTTTATGTTTGTGGATATGTTTGTTATAAATTTGGAAAACTAATAATTTTTTTTTTGAAAAAATTAAAATAAAATAAATAAATTTGTATGAAGGAACAGTACCAAGGGTCGTATCCAGTGTTAAACCTGCTCAGAGGATTAACTGTGTTAAACTATTGGACTCACTCATACAGGAAGTAGCAGCGAGAAACAAACCGGCTAGCTTTTACAGAGGATTTTACAAATTCATGGAAGAGAGGGCTACGGGGGACTACAAGCCATGGAGGCAGCAAATCTTCTGAACTGCAGTTTCTGGAAACTGCAGGAAGAGAGAGGGGTCTTGCGTTTGAATCCTGATCGTGGGGTTCCCACCACGGACACCTGGTTGGCCACTGTGAGAGACAGGATGTTGGACTATGATGGGTCATTGGCTTGCTCTTCTTATGTTCTGAGGTTTATAGCAAAACTGCCCTGTGGAAGCTGCCACGAAACCACATGCACACTTTTTACAAAAATCCGCCGGAATACATCGGGTCGATTTCCAAAAATCCCCAAAAACCCAGAAAGCTGCTTTATCTCTTGAAAGCAGTAAGAATTTAATTCCACTAGCCCCGCCGTGAAAAACATCTGCAAAAGACTTGCCCCAGCCGGCAAACTGCCCTCTCTCCCAAGATAACGCCCTCACTTACGATCCCTTGTGAAAAATAGTGGGGGAGATCCTAGACGCTCCAAAATGCTTTTTGAGGCCTGGGGAAGAAAATATCTAGGAAAGTTCAAAGGAGCTGGAGTGGTTTAGCTTGGGGTTGGGAAGGCCATGAGGGAACACGATAGCAATCTTCGCAAACACGAAAGGTCTCGTCTTAAAGGAAGATGCGGTTGGTCTCCAGGTCTGCAGGGTGAAGGATAATGGCAAACCCCCAAATTTCAGATGGACGAGAAGCAGGATTTTCCAAGGATCTCAGTGGACCAGTTAATGATTTCTCCCCTCTTTCCCTCTGTGCCAGATGCTTCCGGGTTTCCGATTGAACATTCATCGCTTCCTTTATTTCTTATCCATTGCATTTTACTGCGTTAAGAACAAGTCTACGGAATTCAAGCTGAAGTACAGTGAAATGCAACAGATAAGGGGGGGGGAGAGAAAGGAGCAATGAAAATACAAATAAAAGATGGAACCAAGACTGGACTTCTGGGTACCAGGCTGCCTCCTCCCCATCACTTCTGGCCCACCCTGCTCACCTAAGAACAATCACAGACACACCTGGATGAAGCTCAGTCCATGGGAACCCTCGCCCCAAAATATAATCAGGATCCTGAGGAATTGCACCTTCTGGGTTTCCTAGATGGGTGTGGTTTTTTTGTGAGCCTGATGATCAGTCAGAACCAAGAAAGACAACCAGAGGCCTTGTGTACAATAAATCACTTCCAGAGCCTTGTTTACAATCCATATCCCTGTCTGCACAGAAGATGATCAAACAAGGTGTTTTGCAGTTGTTGTTGTTGTTTAAAAAGTAAATTTAGGCTTATCTAGCTTTCGATTTGAGGAGGAATTAAAGAACCTCTTAATGAGGGTGAAAGAGGAGAGCACAAAATATGGTCTGAAGCTCAACATAAAAAAAAAACTACCGTAAGATCATGGCCACTGGTCCCATCAGCTCCTGGCAAATAGAAGGGGAAGAAATGGAGGCAGTGAGAGATTTTACTTTCTTGGGCTCCGTGATCACTGCAGATGGTGACAGCAGTCATGAAATTAAAAGACGCCTGCTTCTTGGGAGAAAAGCAGTGACAAACCTAGACAGCATCTTAAAAAGCAGAGACATCACCTTGCCAACAAAGGTCCATATAGTTAAAGCTATGGTTTTCCCAGTAGTGATGTATGGAAGTGAGAGCTGGACCATAAAGAAGGCTGATTGCCGAAGAATGGATGCTTTTGAATTCTGGTGCTGGAGGACAGTCTTAAGAGTCCCATGGACTGCAAGAAGATCAAACCTCTCCATTCTGAAGGAAATCAGCCCTGAGTGCTCACTGGAAGGACAGATCCTGAAGCTGAGGCTCCAAGACTTTGGCCACCTCATGAGAAGAGAAGACTCCCTGGAAAAGACGCTGATGTTGGGAAAGATGGAGGGCACAAGGAGAAGGGGACGACGGAGGGCGAGATGGTGGGACAGTGTTCTCGAAGCTACCAGCATGAGTTTGACCAAACTGCGGGAGGCAGTGGAAGACAGGAGTGCGTTGCGTGCTCTGGTCCAGGGGGTCACGAAGAGTCAGACAAGACTCAACAACAACAACCAAGCTTTTGATTGATTAGCTAATAGAACTATCCGGCAGCAAAGTTTTAACCCATGATTAAAACATTCGTTGATTAATCGTACTGCCTCACTGATCAGAGCTGGTGAAAAATATCTGGGAATCTGGGTATCAGAATCAGCAATGTAGCTGTCAACACCACCCCCATCTGAATTCGCATGGGTTTCAAGACGGATGGATTATTTCTGGGCTGGGGCAGCTGCGCAATCGTTAACACTTTGTTCCAATGTAATATTTGGCAATGGCACATATGCATATGCATACCGGGATCTGCCCCTCAATGTTGCAACCGTTAATAAGCAATGTGGAAATATGAATTTGTAAAAGATGTTTCCTTACGCCTACAACAAAACGGAACCTTCCGGAAGGCACTCGGAGGGCCTGCAAAACAACAGCAACTTTTCTGCCGCATAAACATCTGTGCATCCGCCCCAAAGACGCATTTGAGAGATTCAGTGTCGGAATTCGGGAGATTTGTTTATTTGTTTAAAACGAGGAGGCAGAAAACCCCGGTTTTGTTCGGTTTGTTGCTCCAGAGAGAGAAAAGGCATCACTTTAATTTTAAAATATCTCGTTTATCCCGAACGGCCTGAGGGACTTGAAGGCGGCTGTGGTGATGGTGTTGACGCAGTGAGTCTGAAGTGCATAAAACCGGGAATGGTTTTGGAATAATTCCAGACTTCTGAGAGACAAGAGAGGAAATCAGGCTGGGCTTCAGAGTTCAGCATTATTCCTTGTGGCATCACGCACCATTCGTGAAAACCGGTCGCGAGGAAAAGGCACTTTGCACATGATCAAAGGGACTCTTGTGCCATCCATCTGCATGGTCTGGAAATCACCCCTGGGCAGAGCGGACTTGGCAGCTAGGTTTGAATCCCCGCTCAGCCATAAGGCTCACTGGATGACCTTGGGCCACTCACGGCCTCTCGGCTCGACCTACGTTGCAGGGTTGATGTGAAGAGAAAATGCAGAGGAGGAAAACCAGGTGAACCTCCTTGGAAGTAAAAGTTGAATACAGTGGTACCTCTGGATGCGAACATAAGACGTGACTGTGTGTCTGCGGGTCGTGTTTCACCGCTTCTGCGCATGCGCGTGACGTCATTTTGAGCGTCTGCGCATGCGCGAGTGGCGAAACCCGGAAGTGACGCGCTCCGTTACTTCTGGGTCGCCGCGGAGCGCAACCCGAAAATATTTAAGCGGAAGCGAATTCCTCCTGAGGTATGACTATATAGACACATACACACAGACACACACACAATACCATTAAAGTGTGTCTTTCCCTCAGGGAATCCTGGAAACTATAGTTTACACCTCACAGAGCTACATTTCCCAAGATTCTTTGCAAAGGAGCGGGGACGTGCTTTAAATGTACGGTGCGTACACACACACACAAGTCTCTCTTTTTTCCAAAGGAAGGGAAAAGAAATCACTAGCACACAATGCCTCCTCTGAAATGATAGGCTTCTGAAGGAAAAGTACCGCGTTATGCAATTACATCTCTGCAAAAGACCATCAAGGTCATCCAACCGGACCTTGCCGCAGAAGCGAGGGCAGGACCCCTCACGCCCCGAATCCTCTCCACAAGATTACTCGGCAAGACAAAAGGGTATAAAGGCTACAATCAGAAACAGATTACAGTTTGCCACACGCGGTTTCGGGGGGGGGGGACGGGACCAAGGACCATCAAGGCCAGAAGCCCCCGTAAGGGACAATGTCAAGTGACTTCAGATCGGCTGGTTTTTCATTTGCAAGGAAGGATAAAACCTGGATGCACCAGTTTAAAAAAAACGGGGGGGAAGAGAGAAAAACCAGAATGAGTGCCAGACTAGCTCCACAGAAGCACTCAAGATGTGAGATTCTTACCTATCATAAATGTCACATTTTCGGCAAAGGGGTGGCGTTTCCTAGTGGCAAACGGGAAGAATATATTCTTCATGCCGAATTGCCTGACAGGAGATAAAGACAAAAAACGCCTTAAACAATTTGACATCTGTTTGCCAAGGAATCACAGGCAACTCCCCAGGTGTCAAGAGGAAGAAAATATTTTACAAGGAGCCGAGCCGTCAAAGCTACACCCAGATTGACTGCTGGTTTTTACAGCTGCCAAACCGAAACAGGTAAGCGGATCGCTTTTATTGGGTCAGCTTCAGCGAGGGGGCTTGCAGGTTACGCAGGAAGGCCGCGGCGGGGCCGGAAAATCTCCGCATAAAACTTGCAAGCGGACTCCTTTCCATGCGGAGAGGTTAGGAAACATTGCCGGCATTCGTCGCAAGAGGCAACACCCCTGAGATGAAGGCTGCGGTTGTTTCCTGCGGGGGAAACCAAGGCAAAGGCAGACAGGCTGACGGGAACATGTGCCATTTCCGCCAGGACGTGCCCCAGAGTCCGCGGCTCGAGTTAGACCCCCTTAGTATCCGTCCGCAGCATGACACAAGCATCTCAAGTGTTGGCGTGCATGTGTGAACGTAAGCAGAAAGCCCTGCTGGGTCAGGGCCAAGGTCCATCGAGCCCAGCGTCCTGTTCTGACGGCCACCTCTTTGGAAGACCGCAAGCAGGACTCTCCCCTCTCGAGGTTTCCAACAAACGATGGAGGGAAAACACGGCCTAGCAACCACAGACAGCCTCCGTCCTCCGGGAACCCGCCTAATCCTTTTGCAAAGCCTTCCAAGATGGCGCCTGTCACTTGCAGGAGTGTAGCCCACCGTTTGGACGACGCGGCGTGACAAGGACTTTCTTTCGCCTTGCCCTACCCAGCTGCACCAAACAGCCCTGGGTTCTACGATTGCGAGAGAGGAAGGAAACTTTTCTCTGGGGTGACCAGAACTATACACAGCGTCCCAAGCGCGGTCGCCCCGTAGGTTCGCACGTGACGGCATTATGCTCTATTACTGGTTTTATTTGCAGATCGCAATTCCTCGCGCCGAATTTGCTTCCTCCCTAGCTGCCGCCACGCAGAGCGTTGGTGTCTTCACGGAGCTACCCGCTAGGACCCAAAGGCCTCGCTCCTCAACCGCAGCCAACGTGGCTTCCAAACCGCCTTAAAACAGAGATGGACACTGCTCACAATTCACACGGACGGTTATGAGTTATAAATCCCTATCTGGCTTAGGCGCTGACTGTCTCAAGGGCCGTATTCTCCCCTTTGAATCTGCCTGGGCTGTGGGATCTTTGGGGCAGGCTTTTCTCTCGCTCCCACCACCCTCACAGGGACGCGGGGCAGGGCCTTCTTGGTGGTGGCTGCTCCCAGGCAACTTTGGAACTCCCTGCTTAGAGAAGCCAGACTGGCTCCCTCTTTGCTGCCCTTCCGCCGGCAGGATAACAAAAGACTTTTATTCTGACTGGCTTTGGGGGACTAACAGTTTTGTTTTTTAAAGGAAAGGGCTTTTAAAGAGTGCTGTGCTGTTTTTTTTCTATTTGTAGTTTAATAAATTCATTTTTATTTTATTATTGTTTCTTTGCCTTTTAACTATTATCTTTTATACGTTCATAGCCTTCTGTGTTTTATCTGTGTTTTGATTTGCGTAAGACGCCTTGAGTCCCACCCTAGGGAAAGGGCAGGATATAATTAAAAACAACAACAACAACAACACAGCGGAGATTCATTAGTCATCCTCACCTCTGACTTTTGGGTATCTCATGAATACCTTTTTATGCCAACGGGCCTGATCTGTTTAATTTTTCTTATGACTGGCCCGTCATTCTAAATGATCGTTTGGAACTGTCTAATGTCTGTATGGTATTTTGTCTTTCTTATTATATTAAAGTATCCATTGTCTTACACCCCACTGATATTGTACACGAGATGGTATATAAATACTTTTGTGAATAAATGAGCAGCCCTGCAGCAGGGCTTATTCTCAGATAACCAACGGGGAGAAAACATTTTAATGCAAAATCTCAAATCCTCCCAGATCTTTTACACATCTACCGATGCCCTCCTATAGGCCAAAAAAACAGACTGCGCGTTGGGTCAGGCTAGCAGCCTTTTGCTGTCTGACACTCCGGCTGAATCCATCTGCACGCAACAGCTTTCAAAATGGTTCAGAAGTCAGGCGTTCTCTCCAGGAAACTGTGCGAAGGAGGCTGAGAATTTCTTTGAGGTCTTGGCATCGCCACCAAAACTACAGTTCCCAAGATCCTTTCAGGGTGGGCAGGAGGAAAACCAAGCAGGCAAAAACTGGTAACCAAAAACAGATATGCAAGTTTGTTGCGTAGATTAGGGGTGGATAGAATTTAAGTCTGTCAGATCTACTTTGCTTTTTACGGGGACCCAAAGATCTGCCAACCAGAGCCACATGCAAATAGCAAAATTCAGAGCACATTTGAATCTTACAGGAGCCTCCCTTTTATTTAGCATTCATCACAATCTGTTTTCAGGGAGGTTAGACCATGTGGCGTAGGAGCAAGTGTTACTATCTGACACTTTCCAGTATATCTTTCCTTATCGCTAAAAAGTCTGGTCTTCTGGGGAAGAGAATTTGTTGCACAGCACATCCCAGGCAACTGCAACTCCTAGGCCTGAATTTCCGGAATAAAATCCCACCTGGAAATAGCGAGAACCTGAGAGCACATTTGTTCTCAGCACCGGAACAGAACCGAGCTCACATAACAAAAGTCCACTCTTGGCTCTTCCCAAGTTTTCAACGTTTCAGCAGCTTCGTTTAAGGCAGAAAAGGTGTTCCTCAGTTGCTGAGAAGCATTAAACAGGGAGTCAAAAACCCTGGACGATCTACTATAAATCATTCGGAGACGATTTACCAGTAGATCCTGAACAACCGCCCGCCCGCTTCTGATGTGGATCTGCCCTACCTGTGATAACAGGAGAGAAGAGGGAAGCCAACACAATCTTTTCAGAAAGAAATATCATTGCCAGATAGGATGAGCAGACCGAATGACTTCTCGGTGTGTACACACTTCTGGGGTGCAGGCTAAAGTTGACGCAACTGAGCAGAGCATCACATGAGACACTCCCCCAGGGCAAGGGGTATACGAGAACTCCTGCAAAGTTTTTAATCCAAATTAGCGCGCCAGAGCTCAGATAAATCCACAGCACCGTACGACTACCACTAACGCACATTTTAAACTTGCACGATTTCAACCTTGTGCAGCTGGTGGAAACGGCGCAAGTCAAATCCAAGCAAAGCAGAGAACTTAAAAATTATTTTTGTACGGGGTCGTCCCCTTGGGTTACCCAGCACAAAAAGAGCTTTTAAGATCTCTGCCTTGCTTGCTAGGCAAGTCGCTCTCTCCTTCCCATACCTGCTAGCTGCAGGAGAGCTCCAAGATTTCGGGTGCACACGATTTTCGTGTATGCATGGAACCCTTGGAATTGAACCCATGCGCAAGATGCAGCCGTACTGTATAAGTTGATCGCGGCTTGTGGCCCAAAAAGCCACACAACTTTTCTCACCGGGGGTGAGACAGTCGTATCAGACAGCTACCCTGTCGCAAAAAACACAGCTTGCAACGCAACGTAAAGCAACGTCCCAAACGTGAGGCGCACGTCCCAAAAGAAGTGTGCCCCGCAAGTATTTTTATTTATTAAATACGTATACTGCCCTTCATCCACAGATCTCAGGAATCGCCTTCAACCAGGCCAGTTCTCTATGTGGAAAAACTGCCTTATACACCGAGTTAGACCTTAGCTCAGTCATTGCCTGGCAAGGTTTCAGGAAGGAGACATTCCCAGCCCTACCTGCCGGGGATTGAATCCAGCAACTTTTGCAGACGAAAAACAGATGTTCTTCGTCAGGGCAACCCCTTCCCTATCGAGCCCAGTGGTCTGCCAGGGTCTTGGACCGAGAAAGGTCTTTTGCATCGCTTGCTTTCTGATCAGAGATTTAATGTCTGAGTTTTCTGTACTGCCACAGAGCATGGGTAGGCAAACTAAGGCCCGGAGGCCGGATCCAGCCCAATCGCCTTCTAAATCCAGTGTGCGGACGGTCTGGGAATCAACTTGTTTTTACATGAGTAGAATATGTCCTTTTATTTAAAATGCATCTCTGGGTTATTTGTGGGGCCTGCCTGGTGTTTTTACATGAGTAGAATGTGTGCTTTTATTTAAAAGGCATCTCTGGGTTATTTGTGGGGCATAGAAATTCATTCTTTTTTTTCCCCAAAATACAGTCCGGCCCCCCAGAAGGTCTGAGGGACAGTGGACCGGCCCCCTGCTGACAAAGTTTGCTGACCCCTGGCCATAGAGCCACGGTCTTTCCTATTGCTGCAATTGCAGAATCCGGCCTGTAAAAAGTGAAGAAACCTGCAGTTCCCAGGCTGTTTGTGCCATCATTTTGTGTCGTGAGGGCAGGACTTTGGGGGGGGGGGGTCCCCAACCGCAGCAGAGCGGGGCTCACTATGTTATGAAAGAGGTGGAAACAACCCCCAATCTAAAGAGGGGAGCTTTCCATTAAAACAGAACCTAAAAAAACTAGTTAACTGCTCCACTGGGCAGTGAGTCGAAACATGGGACAAGCTGTGGCCACAACAGAGAAATCAACACCAGGACAACTTTGCTTGAAAGCGTTTTGGACATTGATGCGACTAATGTGCTGGTCTCACACACACACACACACACACACACGAAATTTGCCCGCTGCCTTTCAGGTCCTAAGGCCTCCCAAAGCAGCCCACTTCAATAAATAAAAGAACGAAACAATTCTTTTCGGGAAATATAGAAATCCGTTGCCCAAACACATCCGAGCCGCAGATTAGAACGACGCACAGCCTCCCACTGCAATGCACACAGAACGTCTCTGCGTACTTTCGCCGGCTTAAATATTCATTGTTGGGGCAGCCAAAGGGCTTTTCCCCTTCACAATGCTTCCATCACTCACGCTTCCGGGGGAAGTGAGGGTTTTGATCCGTGGAAATGGCGGAGCCACCGAGTTAGAGCTGGAAGATTAAAATCCAGAGCTGAAAAGGGGAGAGGGCGGTGGACTTAGAATCACAGAGGGACCCTGAGCATCCTCTGGTCCAGGCATCCCCAACCTGCAGCCCTCCAGATGTTTCGGCCTACAACTCCCATGATCCCTAGCTAACAGGACCAGTGCTCAGGGATGATGGGAACTGTAGTCCAAAACATCTGGAGGGCCGAAGGTTGGGGCTGCCTGCTATAGTCCAACCGCAGACTGTCTCTCCAGAGTGGCGCATGCTCTGGTTATCTCCCGCTTGGACTACTGCAATGCGCTCTACGTGGGGCTACGTTTGAAGGTGACCCAGAAACTACAACTAATCCAGAATGTGGCAGCTGGACTGGTGACTGGGAGTGGCCGCCGAGACCATATAACACCGGTCTTGAAAGACCTACATTGGCTCCCAGGACGTTTCCGAGCACAATTCAAAGTGTTGGTGCTGACCTTTAAAGCCCTAAACGGCCTCAAAGGCCCAGTAGACCTGAAGGAGCGTCTCCACCCCCATCGTTCTGCCCGGACGCTGAGGTCCAGCTCCGAGGGCCTTCTGGCGGTTCCCTTACTGCGAGAAGCCAAGTTACAGGGAACCAGGCAGAGGGCCTTCTCGGTGGTGGCCCCCGCCCTGTGGAACGCCCTCCCACCAGATGTCAAAGAGAAAAACAACTACCAGACTTTTAGAAGACATCTGAAGGCAGCCCTGTGTAGGGAAGCTTTTAAAGTTTAATAGGTTATTTTAATATTCTGTTGGAAGCTGCCCAGAGTGGCTGGAGAAACCCAGCCAGACGGGTGGGGTAAAATTATTATTATTATTATCATTATCACCCCCTGCAAGGCAGGAATGTGCAGCTGTCCCATACAGGGATCAAACCTGCAACCTTGGCATTATCAGCACCCTGCTCTAACCAACCAAGCTGTCCAACCTGACATCTTTCACGGCTGGGGCATGAAAGCACCTTCTGCACAAGGCAAGGAAGTGGTGGAGCTTCTCTTCGGATGTTTTCTGGACTGCTAACCCACAGCAGTTCCTGCCAGCATGGCTAGCGGTGACGGATGATGAGAGTTACAGTTGAACATGATCTGGAAGGTCACACACCTCGTCCACCCGACACAGAGGCAGGCCGTAAGTCTGTGGTCATGTGTGATGGCATGCACCTCTGGATCGCTGTGCCTGCACAGATACGACGCCTGGTGTCAAACGTCTTGCTCTCTGCTTCCCTTTGGACCACATCAGTGAAGCCAAGAGAGGGGTCTTGTCATCTGGGCAGCCCAGGACCTCCGGACGCACCTCCCAGGATTGCGCCCCGGGGACAAGCAAACGTAGCCGTTTGACTTCACCCCCGGAGGCACACTCCATTGACTCTCGGGGCAAGATGGGTGCCAACAAAGATGAACATCGAGGGCAGGTGTAGAAACATAGCTGATCAAAACCAGGCTGCAGGAGATTCTACGTTTACGGGATTCACACTGGCACCTGAAAGAGATTAAGGGCCCCGTCCACATCTTGGCTTAATATCTCCTCCAACTCCTGCCGTCCAACACTGTCCCGCTATCTAAATCCAGAGATCCCCTACGTTTTGAAAAATCCAAATAGCAGAGAGCCACAACGGTCGCATGGGTAATCTCTGGATTTAGGGGAAAGGGAAGTTGCGGGAACAGCGGGATTTCGAGGAGAAAGCCGAGTGGACGAAGGGGAATTAAAGGAGATACCCGTGGGTTCGCAATCCACAATGAGATGTAGTGTCACAGAGGCACCAGGACACTTGAGAGCCATCTCAGCCAAGTCTACAGGGTGTGGCAGAATTTCAAATAGGGCTGGGTTGCGAGAAACGAGAAGAGGACGAATTCAGATCCCTTGGAGGACAAGACATCCCATCTCTGGGGCTAAAATGTTTGCCATCTGATCGCGAAGGCAAAAAATGCAAAGCACACTCTCCTTTTTTTCACTGGGAAAGAAAGATGATAATAATAAAGAATAGATGAGCAACTCCAGGGAGGGGGAGATATTGCATTTAACTCTCACATCCTTTTAGACGTACGCGATTAATTTATTTATTTTTGCCACAATAACCATCACAGGTGGGTGTTTTTTCCCCTCTCCCTCCACAAACACCCTTCCGGCTGAGACGGACCCCAGGATGGAAGAATCGCAACCTTTACTTTTGAAAAGACGCCTCACCTTTTTTGATACGGCGGTCAACCAATTTATTGACTCATTAACTCGTCGCATTTAAATAAATTTGCACATTACGGGAACCTCAGCTCGCTGAGATATGGGAGGAAAACGCAAGGAGGCAACTATTTAAAAATCAAAAGCTGTTGCCGGAAGGAAAGCCTGCCTTTAATGTATCTGCGTGACCTTTGCAGCAGTCATACGCCGGGACCAATATCACCTCCTCACAAACAAACATGCGCCATTAAGACAGCCGAGGCAGCAGATCAATCAACTTTTAAAAAAAGCTTTCTAAGTTGATTAATCTATTGCAGCCATCTGGCTTGGGAGGAGAACAAAACAGGTACGCACAACAGACACAAACACAAATATTCCAGTTCACACCAAACTCGCACGCCAGAAGTGGCGGCTGCAGGAGTCACAAAAAAAGATGCACAACTCATGCTAAACTCTCTCTTTCTTCTGAGGGGGCTTGAGATGAGTGAAGAGAGCGGGGAGGAGAAACCCCCAGCCACAAAATGGATAGGAAAGATATACGCTCAAGCTACACAATCTTTGCTGAGTTGGGCAGAACAATTTAAAAAGCGATTGCTCTGTGAGGGTTCTCGGGAAACAACAACTTTTTCCTCTGAGAAACAACCTTTGCTTGCTTGGTTTTAAACAATCGCGGGCAGCCCACATGCCAGAGCTTCTTGAGGATATGCCCCCCCTTTGCCCACAATTTTTCCAGTGGAGAGAAGTGCTCCCCCTTCCCTAATTTTTTTACGCCACTCTAACTAGCTGAAGCTGCCTGGACCACTCTTTCCTCTGGCCCATCCTTCCCCTTTCAGACCTAAATCTGCAGGAAAATAACTACAAGAAAGCAGCAGTTGTATGTTGGAATTTTTTTTGCAAAGTTCTGCTGTGGGAGCCCCACCGGCATGAATGTGGCCTTGGGCAGAAGGCAGTCTGTGTTCTTGCCAAACCCATTCATTCCTATGGGGCTTCAACGCTGGAGAAAATTCCCACTGAATTGTGGCCACAAAACCAAGAGAAAAGAGAGAGTCTGGAGGCCTCCTCTGCTCAGGTTTGCAATTTTTAAATAAGTAAATGTCCCTTTTGATTGTTTCCAACAGAGTTTTGATGATCAGATGTGCACATTTATCAAGGAGTGGGCGAGGGGGGAGGAAATGTGTGATGTTTTAAAAAACATAATTTCCCCTCCTCCCTTTGGAGATTTCTAAGGTGAGAGAAAAGGTAGAAAGAAAGAGAAAAACGCACATGCACACACACACACACACACACCATGATTTAGGCAAATAGGCCTATTAAGTTCTAATATATATTTCTGTTGCTAGGAAGCGTTGCCTCGCATGGCGACAGAGCGCAAATTGTAGCACTTATGAATCACAGGTTTTTTTCCCCCAAGTGCGAGAGAGATTTTTCTGACAAACAACCGCCTTGCTTTCCTCTCTCTCTCCCCCCGCCCCCCCGCCCCCTCCCCAATTCCCCAACACTGTGTTTTCTTTCTTTTTTCAAAAATAAGAAATAAAAATGATGTGATGCTGAATCTCAGTTCCTATGTAAATTATTCCAATCCAACCTCCTCCTTGCTTAAGGAGAAGGGGGGGAAATGTGCAAGGAGGACTAGGGTTTCAGAAGTTATTGGGGGTTTAGCCACAATTGTTAACAGATGGGAGTCAGTTTCTGGGACTCAAGCAGCAGTGTGTGTGTGTGTGTGTGTGTGTGTGTGTTTTAAGAGAGAGAGAGAGGGGGAGAGAAAGTATTCATCCCATCTCAAGAGCTCAAGGGGGAAACTGACCAGTTTTGGAAACTCAGAGAAAAGAGGAGCAAGAAATAAAAGTATGTTTTTAGTCTGACCTATTAAAGCTGTGATCTGGGAGGGAGAGTGTGTGTCTGCATGTGAGCACATGCATTTTACAAAAATGGGCAGCGCATAAGAACTTCCTGTCCTGCCCATTCATTTCAATGCACCGCAGAACAACTTCCCAAGCGGGGGGGGTGCCCCCACCCGCCCCCCAAAAAAGGATTTGTGCGTTTTGAACATTTAATCCACACATACAAAGAGAAAGAGAGACAGAGACAGGAGTGGATGTGAGCACACAAAAAAGGAACACAGATAGTTACAGAACCCAGTTGGCACAGACCCACCCAAATCGCCCCAAAAAAGTTGAAAGCACCAAGTCTTGCACACCAACACACCTCCACACGCCCCAGTGCCTTTTCAACAACCATTATGGAACCAAACATCAAGTGCGCAGAAAATCTCTTTGCAGCAGCTGGTTTGCAAAAAGGAAAAAAAGGCCATCGCAGCAACACATACAAGCTCATCATTCAATCTTTAGATTACAGATGAGCATGGTTTTTAAGTTATCCCCGGCCCACAGAGGGTGCAAACCCTCCTGGATTGCTGACATTCCATATTTAATTAGGGGAGTTCCACTGAAATTAACTTCCAGGAGCAAATGTGTTTCAGCATCAGGGTGTTAAGAACACAAAACACACACACACCGACACAGCTGACAACTCTTTGGTAGTGCTATTTTGCAGAGAGGGGTGGCTGGAACTTTCAAATGCGAGTTATCTTTCCAAACCCTGTGGAGTCAGGGATAAACCTCCCCTAACTAGCTGGAGTCAGTTATCAAAATAAACTCTTCAGGGCTAAGAGGGGAGGGAGAGAGAAGGAAACCACACTGAAGGAGAGGAAGACACTGGAATCAAAACTTGCCTCAATCTGGATATACTGTATATATATTTTTTAAACAAACAGCTCTTGATGCAAACCCAAGAATCAAATTCTCACCCGGTTCCAAGTCTTTTCCTCCTAACCCGGCCGGATGAAACCCACAGGAGTAGGAAATGGACGATCCCGAAGTTTGCAAAAGGGGAATGTATTAAAAATGTGAAGGAGCTGGAGCGAAACTGGTGTGAAACTAGCCTTCTGTAGAAGGACTCCCTTGAAATCTGACCACCACAACTACCCGCACCAAAGCACAAGGGAGATTGCATTTCCCTAGATTCTCTGGTTTTTGAGTCCAGGATTTTGCCAACTCAAGAATCCAAGTAAGATTTCATTTCTTTAAAAAAATAACATGATGCACACATAGATTCCCCCACCCCACCCTGTGCCAAACTTGTGCGCGCACACCCCACCAGGAGAATTTGCACAGTGCAATACCCCCCACGCCATCCCAGCACACGACATACTTTGGACCCGGTGCGTAAGCAGGGAACACAACCCACAGATACACACACACTCCAAAATACTTACTTTTTGTTCGAGGTGTTCCAATAGATTGGTTCCAAGCTGAGCCCTTCTATAAACCAGAGTTCTAGCAGAGCGAACAGGAGACCTGTATAAAATCCAACCCATGAGATTCCTGGGGCCATTACTGCGAGAGAAGCACAACTCCTTTTTTTTGTGGAGGAAGGGGGGCACCAAATCCCCTTCAGTCTTTTTCCTCTCCCCCCCCCCTTTTCTCTCTTTCTTCTCCTTTGTTTTCTTTCTTTGACAATCTCTCTGTCTCGCGCGCACACACACACAAAAATCCAAGAACGCAGAGACAGAGAACAGCGCTCCTCTTTTTTTTTGCAAACAGACCGGGGCTAAAAGCGCAGACGCACGCAAAAGAGAATACTAATAATATTGTTATTTTGCATGTTTTAAAAAAAAGAGATCGAGAGAGAAAGGGAGAGAGAGGTTGTTGTTTTTTTTAAAAAAGGATGGGTCTATCGAGGTCTGTCTAGATCCCCTCGGTCAGTAAAGTTTTATAAATCCTCGCCTTGGCACCAGCTTTTCGGCAGATCCGGAAAGTTTGAGGCGCCTGCCCAGATCCAGAGGAGAAGATTGAGACAGTAATCTGGGGAGAAAGAAACGCATCTTTTTTGGAGGGGGTGGGAAGGAAAGAAAGAAGGGGGAAGGGGGGGATCGGGGAGGGGGGGAAACGCACACACACAGAGAGAGAAAGAGAGAGGCACACACACACATATACACACACACACCCAAGAATAACAACGCAGGAACGCAGGAGAAATCCTATCCTCTTCGCCTTTTCCGGATTGTGCGCTGAGCTCCTTTGGTGCTGGTAGGCGCTGGGGGGGAAAGTGTGTGTTGCAAGATAGAAGAAAAAGGGGGCCAAAGGAAGAATTCATTTGCAACCAGTAGCCCCCTCTCCTTTTCCTCCTCCTCCTCTTCTTCCTTTTTTTTTTTTTTTTTTGGAGAAATATTTTTTCCCTCTTGCTGCGCTTATCTGCCTGCGTCGCCCCTTCCTCCGGCGCGCCTCCCTCCTTTGCGAAAAGCTCAGCAATGAATAACTCCAGCGATGAAGCCGAAATAATAGGAATAAGGAGAGAGGAGGGTGGGATTTTTTTTTTCTTTTTGAGTGAGAGAGAGAGAGAGAAAAGGGAGGAGAGAAGAATTGGTGAATGTGAAATTCTGGAACGAAGAGACACTCTGAAACGCCAGGCAGGGGAGCCGGAGTCAGGAGATGAAAGAAGATACGGACTCCGGAATCCAATCTTGCACGTTGCCAATGCAAAAAAGAGAAAGAAAAAGAGAAAATACCTCCGGGGGGGTAGGAATAAAGGAGGGAGAAAGAGCAGGAAGGTGAAGAGAGAAAAATATGCCCCCGGAACGCCACAAAAAGACTCCTTTGAAGGAATTGGAAATGTTTTGTTCCCCAGATTCCACTCTCCACCCCCCCCAAAATCATCTCTCAAGGTGGAGATTTGCTAACACGTTTTCTTTTTACCCTTGCAGGGTTTGTTTGGGGTGCATTTGTGTGGCTGCCTTTAAAAAGTGGGAAATGGTAAAAAATAAAATTTAAAAATCTAATGTGGGGTTTTTTCTCCTCTCTCTCTCTCTCCACCCCCAGGTGAATAGAATTGGAGGTAGATTAATGGAATTGCTGATTTGGAAGGAGTCGGCATAATTATATATAGAAATAGGAGTGGGGGGAGAGGGAGGAAGGTTGGCCAAATTTGGGCAAGGTTCAAGGAGGTGGGATGTTGTTGTCTCTGCGCACACAGGGGGGGGGCATTTGGTGAGCTGGCAACGTTGGGCATCGCCAAAGGGTGGCCCAGAGAGATGTGCCCCGCCGTGGGGTCAAATCGAGAGAGAAATTGGCACATTAGTAGGAAATGGGCTCAAGAACTTTTGTGTTCCCAAAACTCATCCAGAAAACAGCCCCTTTGACAGAGGAAGTTTTGGTTGAGGAGATGTGGAGATTCATTTCCACAGAGAGCCCCAGAAGGGCATGCAGATGTTTTGTTTTAATTTCGAAAAAAAGATCCCCGGAGAACCCAGCATTCAAAAGGGGCAGCTTTCCCCTTCTCTGCATGCCTGGGGGGGAAGCCACACCTGTTGAATTTCGGCCTGTCCGGCAGCTATCCTCCTCCAGATCACAAGAACGCTGTGGAGGAAGGCAGGCCCAGAGACGCAAAGCTTGCTTCGAAACCAAGCTGCCGCTGCGGACGAAGCCAGTTGTACGGTAGCACGACTGACAGGTTATTAAATAAAAATAACAGATCAACTGACAAAGGCTCAGTTGCAAACAATGTGTTGTGGTGTCGGTTGTGCAAGATGGAAGAGGCAGCACTCTCAGATGAAGAGATCTGTGATACCAGCAACTCACACGCTCCTGTGCCAATTGAACTCAATAAAAGGGAGGAGGGCGTTGTTTTTGTTTTGCGTGTTTTCTAGTTTCACAGAGCTTTTCTCCGGAAAGATAAGAAGTCTTACGAGTCTAAGTGGTACGAGTGAAGCCATCTTGGTGAAATTCCAAAATGTTCCACGGAACTAACCTCGCACTCTCCTTAAGTGACAGCAGAGGCCTAGCTGGGGGACCCAAACCAATAATTACAGAGGCTAATGTGCCTTTGAGCATATACAGAGTACTTTCCCCGTCTGCACTGGGAAACCACAGCCTGATAATCCCGGAACCTGACTTGTGAGAAATCCTTTGTTTCCGAGCTCAAAGCACTGCAAAAATCCCAAGCCAGCGAGAAGGCCTCCTTTTTATCAGCCCTCGGGCTTCCTCCACAGGGCTAACAAATACAAAAGGAATTCGCCTTATCTCCTCATCACTCACAATAATTAACCAGTGGAACCTCCTACCACAAGATGTTACAAAACACCACTAAACTAGACCTTAAGAACAACTAAACAAGCATCAAGGTGGTAACTCTGGCCGGGGAGAGCGGGGTATAAATAAAAATTTATATATATTTATATAACTCCACTATCAGCTTCGAACCAAAACAGCCGATGTGGCTTCGTTCGCAGAATATACCTCGCCGTTTTTCTTTTGGTTTTAAGATGGAATATTGCAAAGCAGAAGAGCTCTTAACATTTCGACCCCTGATTTCTATATTTCTAAAAACTTCTAGTCGTCAGTACGGAAGCAAGAAAGTCGGCCCACCTTCAGAACCTACTTAGGGTTACTCCCGTCTGGGGTTTTTCATGGTTTTGTGATGGTTCCACAAAGATACTCTATTATTGCCATCTGGAGGGGCAACTATTGTACAGCAAAGGGCGACAAAGGGAGGGGGGGACTGGAACATTTCTGGGATGAAAATATTATCGATTTTCAGGAGGAAGCTACAGCACAAACACCGGTTGAGAACAAAGCAGTACAGTGGTACCTCAGGTTAAGTACTTAATTTGTTCTGGAGGTCCGTTCTTAACCTGAAACTGTTCTTAACCTGAAGCACCACTTTAGCTAATGGGGCCTCCTGCTGCTGCCGTGCCGCCGGAGCACGATTTCTGTTCTCATCCTGAAGCAAAGTTCTTAACCCGAGGTACTATTTCTGGGTTAGCGGAGTCTGTAACCTGAAGCGTCTGTAACCCGAGGTACCACTGTACAGCCACAAACAGTATTGAAAACGGGTGGGCGTGTAACTGCCCTGATACCATCATGTACACAAATAATCACAAACGCACAATAAAATTGATTCTCAGAGGAGCCCCTGGGCTCTGCGATCATCAGATGGACACCTATGTACGTGAAAAGGAAAACAACCTCACCTGGGCAAGACTTAGGGTAGCTTTCTTGTCCGCAACCAGTAAAGAAGGTGCAAAGAGGAATGGAAGGGGCCACTCATTTCTCATAAGAAGTCCGTGCCTTCTTAAGTTATTTTGCTTCCATTAGGGGTGGGGGCCTAACCCAGTTCAGAAGACCAGAAAGTGTGCACAGGAGGGCGACCAAGATGATCGAAGGTCTGGAAGCCAAGCCTTGTGAGGAACAGTCGAGGCAGACAGAGAGGAGCCATCTTCAAATATCTAAAGACCTGGAGGATGGGGCAAGCTTGCTTTCTCCTGCTCCGGAGGGCAGGACCCGAACCCGTGGCTTCGAGAAAAGAGGTTCCGACTCAACATCTGGCAGCAAGAGCCGTCCGACAGTGGAACGGACTCCCTCGGGAGATGGACTCTCATCCTTTGGGAACATTTTAAGCGCAGTTGGGGCGGCCATTTGTCAGGGATGCTTGAGATGAGATTCCTGCAATGCAGGGGGTTGGACTAGATGGCCGCCAGGGTCCCAACTCTGTGGAAGAAAAGAGGCTCAAGCAACGTTCAGCTTTCTGGACTGCAGGACAGCCTGTCCCTAGATGAAAACCTTCTAAAACATGACTTGAGGTTTTTAATTTTTTATATAATTTTAATTAAAGATTTAAACAAAACATATTATCCAAAAACATGTCATCCTTAATTTTCCCCCATTTTCCTCCCTTCCCCCACCCTCAACCACAAAACCCACCCACCCCCACCCCGACTTCCCTCAGTTCCAGTCTTTGGTTTCTCTGTGAATGCTGTTCTCTGCATGTTACAAAGCTGTATAAATCCTCAAATTGTTTAACTAATTATTGTCAATAAAAAGTTTGTGAATGTTTATTCAAAACCTGCCAAGGAGTCCAATTCACTTTGTTGCCTCTTCAAATACTTTGTAAAGGCTTCCCATTCATCTTTAAAGTCAAAGTTATCCTTGTCCCGTAACTTATGTGTCAGTTTTGCCAGTTCTGCATAGTCCATCAATTTTTCTTGCCGTGATTCTTTAGTTGGAATTTCTTCAGTCTTCCATCCTTGTGCTATTAGGACTCTCGGGGCCATTGTCGCATACATGAAGGTGTTTTTCAGCTTTTTTGGCAGGTCTTTCCCTACAATCCCTAACAAAAATGCTTCAGGTTTTTAAACAAATGTTAAATGGAACATTTTCTTCAATTCCCTGTATATCATTTCCCAAAAAAACCCCAATTGCCATATTTTTCGCTCTATAAGACGCACCAGACCACAAGATGCACCTAGTTTTTGGAGGAAGAAAACAAGAAAAAAATATTCTGAATCTCAGAAGCCAGAACAGCAAGAGGGATCGCTGCGCAGTGAAAGCAGCGATCCCTCTTGCTGTTCTGGCTTCTGGGATAGCTGCGCAGCCTGCATTCGCTCCATAAGACGCCCACACATTTCCCCTTACTTTTTAGGAGGGAAAAAGTGAGTCTTATAGAGCAAAAAATACGGTACATTACAATCCCACCACATATGATAAAATGTCCCCTGAGGTTTAAATCTATAGGCAAAAGCTGGAGAATATTTATGCTGCTCCCCTTCTCGAAGACGGACAGGCTGACGTCAACACCTGCCTGCTCCATTTTCCAGGTGTTCTGCTTGTTCTTCCTTTCGGAGGTGTGGAAAGGCTCAAGCCTTTTGCATCACCTCCGTGGACTTTCCCCTACACACACACACACACGCCCTCCTAAATATATAAGCAGCTCATTCGAGCCACTCCTTGGGAACCAGACTTGCGTATAAGAATGTGCACACCTTACACTTCTAGCATCCGACATGGCAACCTGCGGAAACCGTGCAAGTTAAGCAAATTTGCACCTCTGTTTATCTGGCGCAATCTGATCGGTTTCCTTGCTGGTCAGAGGAGGAGGAAAGAGGGACGGAATAATTCCTCCCCTCTACCATCCCGAAAATATCTGGGAACCTTCTTCCAGCTGCTGCCACGCACCCCTTAGTCTACCTCGTGAGGTTGCCACAGGCAAGGGGTTCACGCAATTTCAGTTCATTTTAGAATCATGAGGGCTAGTAGGCTGGCGTTTGCATCGCTGCAACATGACTCTTACCTGCTTGAGTTTGTGGTCTGGTTTTTCTAAAAAAGGAACAATTGTGAGGGGGAGAAGAAAAAATAATTGGTCAAGATGCCCAATTCTGCAAATTATCAAAGCCCTGTTTTGTTTTTTTCCTTAGGAAAAACGGTTGTTTTTCGCAGTGGTTTCAGGGGGTCGGAGTTTCTTATGAACAGGGGTCTCTC